CTTCTTGACTGTGACTTCAGCACTTCTCTGCCCTCCCTCCCTCATCCCAACCCTACCCTCCCACGCTCAGGTCCTGATCTCCGACTGTTCAGCGACTTGGGACATCCTCTCGAAGTGAAAGGCACTTTATAAATGTAATTGTGTTGTTCTCCTGCTGTGTGAGCCTTCACCTGGGTCTCTGATATAAACTCAGCTGCCCTCTTGCCTTCCTGCTCAAACGTTGGTGCTAATCCAGGGTATTGACAAAAGATAACTAACACTCAGGTACTTAGACAGTGTTGGAGACTCGTTGATCGATCTCCCGCTGTCAATTTCTTAATCATCACGGATTTGCTGCCACTTAGAGGGCAGCTTTGTGCCATTTCTTCTGCTGAGATAACAATATTTTGTAGCTGACTGATCATCTGATGATCTTTGATAATGATTTAAAAAAGCAAAACAAATGTTGACATTTTGATCAAGGCTCTGAACAGATTCACACTCTGGTCTACTGAAGGTTCAATTAGTAAATTGGTGTCCAATGGACAAGAGGTTGACCCAAGGTCCTGGCATACCGAGGTCCCGCATAGCTGTTTGTGGGACACTGTTGTGCACAATTGGCCGCTGTGTTTTACCCACAAAATACATAGACAATCTACTTTACAGTATATCCCATGAAGTGGTTTGAGTCATCTCAAGGACACTATATCAAAGGCACTATATCAAATGCAAGTATTATTATTAGTTGCAGTAGTATTATCATCTGGTGGAGCTCAGTTTGGAAGAAGATTAGAGAGGTTTCCCCGATTTTCTGCTCTTACTCATTCTTTGTGAGACATTGCTGTAGCAGATTAGCTGCCATGTTTGTCAATGTGTTTTTTTTTAAGTCAATGAATCTGATACAAATGGAAACCAAACAGAGAGTTCCAAGTTTTATCCATAGGGTAGAAAGAACGCGCACCCCCCAAATAATTAAACCATTTAACAAACAGAAAACAACATTGCCCAGAGGATGAATGTCACTTAGACTGGCCAAGAGGCTGTATACCAACACTGCTTTTATTTCTGATGAGCTGCACCCATTGCAGCTTTGCTTGCAACCAAAGGATCCAATATGGAAAGTAAATTGACACACAGACAGACATTTCATCTTTATCTATACTCAGCTGGGAGGAGTCCTTTTGGAGGACTCCGTGGGATGACTCCTTTAATATACTTTTTCAGTCTCTCACAGTCTCTCTGCCTCTCTCTCGCTCTCTCAGTCTCTCTGTCTCAATCTTTCTCTGTATCTCCCTCAAAACACACAGTCAATGCACTTTGTAATATATTCTCTCTCCCAGTCTCTCTCTCTGTCTCTCTCACTTTCTCAGTCTCTCTCTATGAGTCTCTCTCTGTGTATGTTCCACATTGGAGGACTCTAGCTCCCATGTGAACCAGAAAAAAGTCCCATACATTTGTTGCAGAATATAGATGTATTTTTCTGAAAGGTGTGTGCTTTCCTCTTTTGCTAATGATAGGAGATCCCCCCAAAAAAAATATGCCCATGACATTACCCGACACAAGACCTTTCTGATGAGGTATAAATCATGTCTCTATAATAATAATGAATAATAATCCTTGCATTTGATAGAGGGTCTTATCACGTCTTCTAGACATCTCAAAGCGCTTCACAGAATAGACTGTAAAATGAATTGACTGTATATTTGTGGCCGAAACCTGGCAGCCAATTGCGCACAGCAGTGTCTCACAAACAGTCATGGACTGAAGTGACCAATTTCATTATTGTTTTTTTTTCTTGAAGGATTATTATCAGGCGTGTAGAACAAGGAACTTACCCAAGGTTTCGCCCTACCGGGAATCGAATCCAGGCCTCTCACTTGCAAGGTGAGTGCTCTAACCACTGAGCTACAGGACCCCAAAACACGTCTCTACGTCAATCAGTTATTGAGATCTTAGAGGACACACAGGTACACAGACATGACAGAAATACATCTATATTCTGCAACAAATGCATGGGACTTTTTTCTGGTTCACATGAGAGCTAGAGTCCTCCAATGTGATGAACTATTTTCTACCAAGTGAGACTTGAATGAAGTTTGGCAAGTTCAGGTGTCAGCCTGGTCGCACTTTCACCTCTGAGTCAAGTTCAGGCTCTACGTCTGCAATTCAAACTCACACAGTCTAGGCTGATGTTCCAATGCAGCGTTGGGGGAGCTACATGAGTGCAACGTGTTGACTTCAGTTTGGATCTTGTCTTAGATCGCAATCACAAAGAGCAATCCAACTGAGCCAGGCTGACATCCCTACTCTCTCCTTCCTTCCAAAGCGGGATTACTCAACACAATCTGAGTAAAGCCAGTGTCCCACCATAAGCAGCAGCCAAGTGCTGTGAGCCACAACCCAACAAGTCCAGAGTGTGTCCTCTGGATAGGACCTGATTCCCGCTTGTCTGGGCACTGCTGGCTGGCTGACAATGTAAATTGGCAAACTGTCGACGAGGACCGAAATAAAGGAGAATAATGCAGCTTAAACAAGTATTGAACAGAAGTATTAATTCATGATGGAAATTGGATCCCACATATCTGACAGAGATTGATTTCCCATTACTGTGTACAGTGAAACAGCAGCCACATTACAATGAGTAAAACTCATATTCTTGTAGGGACTCGGCGATTGCATGGTCAAATAACACATCCCCAGGGTTTTACCTGCACTCATGTTAACTTTAAGCAAATTATTCTTGCTATCACACAAAGATGGAATGGATCATAATACAGTTAATGAACCAATAACATGAGACACGACAGAAACAAAATGGACCGGGCGTGCAGAATGATGGTCACGAGCCGAAGGGTGAACAGCTCACTAGCTTTGGAAAGTGAATCCATTTTTACGATACTTTGGGCTGAAATTGCATCCTGTGATGTGCTAATTCACACATTGTTGGAAATTCCACTCTGTTCATGAATAAAAGACATTGACTGTTCTGTGGATGATTTCCCTTCCACCCACCATTCATCTAAACATCTGTCCGACCTTCTGCTCCACTGGTTGGGCCTGAAGAGACTCACATCACATGCTGGACTTGTTGGCTTGTGGCTCACAGCACTTGGCTGCCGCTTCACTGGCTTTACTCAGATTCTGTTGAGTAATCCTGCCTCAGGAGGGGGGAAGAAGGAAGGGATGTCAGTCTAGTTCAGTTGGTAGCAATGTTGCCTCTGAGTCAGAAAGTTGTAGGAAACAGCCCCACATCAGGCCTTTGAACTCACATAGTCTAAGCTAACACTCCAATGGGAAAAGAGAAGGAAATTTCTCTCCTGGCCAACAATCCCCCTGAATAAAATTGCAACAACAAGTTTACATTTATATAACGCCTTTAACATCGGGAGGCCATCAAAAACCACTGGATAGCTGAGGGTGAAAACTACCAAAGAAAGGAAGGTCAAAAAGGAAGGTCTTTAGAGGGACCTTGAAGGAGGCGAGGAAAAGAGAGAGGGGAATGGTCTCTGGGATGAAGTTCCAGAGAGTGAGGGCAGATAGGTTGAAAACCTGATCACCTATGGAGGGGCAGGTAGGGCAGGGGACGTGAAGAAAGCCAGTGCTTATCAGTCACTTATTTATGGCTGTTTGTGGGATATTGCTGTGTGCAAATGATTGCCACATCTGCTTACACATACACTTCAACATAAAATCCTGTGAATAATAATAATGATTGCATTTGTTATAGGCCTTATGTCGTTGAAACGTCTCAAAGCGCTTCACGTAACATACTGTAAAGTGGATTGACTGTATTTGTGGGCAGAATGTGGCAGTCAATTGCGCACAGCTGTGTCCAACAAACAGTCGTGGAGTGAGTGAACAATTCTTACTTGGGAGACTGTTGGCCAGGTCACCGGGAGAAAGAAATTTACTTTTTTTTGAATAGTGCCATGAGATCTTTAACATCTCATCCAAGGGACACCACCTCTGACAATGATTGAGAGTGATGATGTCTGTATATCGATCACTGTGTGTACAGTGACCGAGAGTGACAATCCCTGTGAATAAAAGTTGTAAATTCCCCCTCTTTAACATCATTTGTGGAACTGGTGGGTGGGCATTGGAGTGTTTACTGGTCGTAAACAAAAATTAATTTCTCCAGTCCCAGCACTTCACAGTGTAACACACACACATAGTATAAAACATGGTTTAACACTGGAGTTCAGGGCATTTCTGTAAGTTGATCCCCTCATTAGAAAGTCCAGGAGAAAAAGTCCATAAAACAGATCAATAGTGACACAGATCCCGTTTGCCCACAAAAGATACAGTTAATTCACTTTACAGTATATTCTGTGAAGAGCTTTGAGATGCCTCAAAGACATGATAAGGCGCTGTATCAAATGCAAGGATTATTATTATTATCCCCATCATAGGCCAGTCCCGTGGCAAGTAGACTTGAGCTCAGCCCAAGTAGAACTCTGTCCAAATACGGTTAAAGGGGACTTTATGCTTATTGGAGGACAGAATAAACGCTTTTATCTAACAATATAGATGGCAGTCAGTCAAATAGGTCGTTTTACAAGCTATGCACTTACACATGTCCAGCTGATCAGAGGAGTAGAGGCGTGCAGTGCTGATCACAGGGTGGGTGAGGCGGGGTGTGTCCCATTGTCCCATCAGGGATGTTGGTTATAATAACCCGGCTCCACCCTCACCCAGAGCATTTTGGCAGGTTGTCGGTGTAACTGCAGGAGCTGCCTTAATGCTCTGCTGGAAAGGCTGTGGACAGTCACGCTCTTCACTGTGAGCTGCTCCTAGTGTGTAGTGTGTTTGCCAGAAGCAACCCAGAGGCTGCTGGCAGGAGAAGAGGAACCAGGGAAAGTGCTTGTGATCAGTGAGATTGATAAGAAAGACAAAGTGCTCTCTCTCCACTGATTGGGGGGAAAAACCCCGTATGAACTGAGACTCACAAAGCAAAGCTGATGTCTTGAATCTGTTGTGAGGACAGTTTCTCTTGCCTGAATCTTGGCTCGGAGTGAGTGATGACTTCTGCCATCGCCTGTGGCTTAATCTTCAGACTTTTCCTTCCCCTCTGCCTCCTGCCAGGTAAGCGACTTCTTCTTGCTCCGCTCCGTGTGTGAGAAAGAATAATAATAACATAATAATAATCATTGCATTTGATATAGTGCCTTATCATCCCATTGAGACGTCTCAAAGCGCTTCACAGAATATACTGTAAAATGAATTGACTGTATATTTTGGGGGCGAAATGTAGTATCCACATAGTCATAGCTGACATTCCAAAACAGCACTGGGGGTGTACGGCATTGCTGGAGGTGCCATCCTTCGGATGAGACATTAAGCCAAGGTTCAGGCGGATGTTTGGGTGAATTCATGGCACCATTCGAAAAGAGAAGGGAGTTTCTCCCGGTGTCCTGGCCAATAAATGCCCTAAATAAAATTGGTCACTCACTCCATGGCTGTTTGTGGAACATTGTTGTGTGCAGTTGGGCTGCTGTGTTTGCCCATGAAATAATAATCATTGCACTTGATCTAGTGCCTTATTACGTCGTCAAGACATCTCAGAGAGTTTCACAGGATTTACTGTAAAGTGGATAGACTATATTTTGTATATTATAAAATACAATATAATATATTACAGTATTTACATTATATCCTGTGAAACACTTTGAGACATCTCAACAACGTGTTAACACCTATAGCTTAGTGGTTAGAGCATTCGCCTCGCAAATGAGAGGACATCGGTTTGATTTCTGAGCAGGGCAAAACATTGGGCAAGTTTCCTCACTCCACCCGCCTCTGTTTACCTAGCAGTAAACAACAACAACAAAATGACTTCTTTCACGTAGGGAGGACATCCCAAGGCGCTGGACAATCAGTGATTTGGACTCAAGCTGGGGTTCAGGATCAAGGTGGGTGGGGACAGGGGGGAAGGAGGATGACCGAAAGCACAGTCAAAAGGAGGGTTTTGAGATGGATCTTGAAGGAGGCAACTGAGGGGGTGAGGCAGAGAAACTGTGAGATGGAATTCCAGAGGGTGGAGGCAGAGTTGCTGAAGGACCGTCCGCTAATAGTGGGGTGGGTGAGGCGGGGAATGTGAAGTTGGCCAGAGGTAGCGGGCAGGGTGGTAAGGGGTTATGAGGTCGCAGAAAGTAGGGGAAAGCAAGGCCATGAAAGACTTTGAAAGTTAGGACCAGGATCTTGAACTGTACCCCCCATGTGATGGGAAGCCAGTGAAATCGGGCGAGGGTGAGAGTGATAGGATTGCGGAGCCTGGTGCGAGAGAGGATATGGGCCGCAAACTTCTAGATGATCTGCAGCCTTTGGAGAGAGGAGTTGGGGAGGATGACAAGCAGGGAGTTTGTGTAATTGAGCCTGGATGTTATGAATGCGTATATGTGGGTCTCGGCGGCCTGTGGTATGAGACACTGGCGGAGCCGGGAGATGTTGTGGAGGTAGGGGGAGGCAGAGCCGGTCATGGCATGGATGTGGGATAGTTGAGGGTCGAACAGGACACTGAGGTTCCGTATTGGCTCCGTGAGATGTAGAGTGCATTGATGGAGGGATAGGAACCCGGTTGTTACTCGATTGGTGGATTGCTTTTTTGGGGTTAATAATCCCTTCGTAATCAAATAAATAAATAAATAAATGAATGAATGAATGATAATTTGGTCACTAAATCCACAACTGTTTGTGGAGTACGCTGCTGTGCGCAAATGGCGGCCGCGTTTCGCCCCCAAAAGTACACTCAATTCACTTTACAGTATGTTCTGTGAAGCGCTTTCCGACGTCTCGAAGACGTGATAAAGCGCTATATGAAGTGCAAGGATTATTATTATTATTAAAGTGCGATGTCAGATTGTACCAGGGTTAAGTTGCTGCTCCCAATGCAGCTTCTGTGTCCTGTGATAGTTTGACAGGGTCAGTGTCTAGGGTGTGTGGACAGGGGCCAGAGTTGAAGGACCAGCTTGTTGGCTTGACCGCACAAACTGAGTTTTTGACACCTCAAATTCACCAGGGTTCAGCCTGTTAGACTGTTTCCGCTTGCTCGGCTCCACTGGCTTCCCATCACTCAGCGGATCCAATTCGACATCCTCGCCCTCACTTTTAAATCCCTGCACGGCTTTGCCCCACACCGCGACCTCCTGCAACCCTACTGCCCTGACCACTCCCTCTAGCAGGCAAACACCGTCCTACTTCATGTCCCCCCGCCTGATCTGTCCCACCAGTGAGTGAGCTTTCACACAATTTGACCCTGCTCTCTGGAATTCCATTCAGGATCTCTCTTCCTCGCCTCCCTCTCTCCCTCCCTCTCTTCCTCCCTCTTTCCCTGTCTCCCTCCCTCCCTGACTTTAAGACCCACCTTAAGACCAATTTTTTGGTCAGTTTTCCCATTCTCTATGCAACTATGAGATGCACTTTATCACGCCCTCCCAACCTGAAGGCACTGTTTATTCACCCACAATATACACAGTCACATCACTTTACACTCTACAATAATCATAATAATCTTTGCATTTGATATCGTGCCTTATGGTGTCTTCGAGACGTCTCAAAGCGCTTCACAGAATATATTGTAAAGTGAAGTGACTGTATATTTTGTGGGCGTGATGCCGCAGTCAATTGCGCACATCAGTGTCCCACAGACAGTCGTGGATTGAGTGATCAATTTGTTATTTTTTTAAAGTGTTTTTAAAGGAATTATTAACCGTGGAAAAGTGATTCGCCAATCGACTAACAACTGGGTTCCTACTGACTGCTGGTAAACAGAGGTGTGTGGAGTACGGAAACTTGCCCAACGTTTTGCTCTGCTGGGAATTGAACCCAGGTCTCTCGCTTACAAGGCGAGTGCTCTAACCACTGAGCTGCAAGGTTCCACAATATCCTGTGAAGCACTTTGAGACGTCTCGATGACGCTGTAAGGTGCTTCTATTAAATGCAAGGATTATTATTATTATAGAAATGTAAGTTATTGTTTTGTCTCAAAAATCACAAAGGAGTGTGGAACTTTCTTCAAGTTCAGACTTAATTTGGAAGACAGTTCAGCCTGTGCTGAGAAACTAACCTCACTCTGACGGACACTTAAAACTAATTTATTACAACCTCTAAGCATAACAGGAGTAAGTTTTTGTTGGTCAGCCGAGTGTCTGACATATGAGGAAGTTCATCTCCATGATTAAGAGTATCCAAACCAGACTCAGTGTTCCCTATATCTCGAATGGAATGCAAACACTCCCTGGAGAGTGCTGGGGGAGTGCTGTTCTGTTGGAGGTGCTGAGCATCTGATGAGACCTTAAAAGTCTGCCTGTTCCGGTGGATGTTAAAGATCCCGTAGCATTCTTCAACAAGAGGAGGAAAGCCAACAATTTTCCAGATAAAATTGATCATTTATTTAAATGACTGTTAATTTAAATACATTTATGCACATTGCTGTGCGTAAATCTCCTGCCCCGTTCACTTCCAAAACACAGTCACTGCACTTCACAGTAAATTCTGTGAAATGTTTTAAGATGTTCCCCCTGAGGTCATCAGCATAGCTTGCCACTCCAAAACTACAGCCAGGACCCCTTGAGGTGAAAGGTGCAATATCAAATGTAAGAATTATTATTATTGTTATTGACATCGGGGTCTAGGACATTAATGTGCTTTTGGTCCTGTCATGTGGGTTTGAAGGTTTGATGTCCCGTCAATAAGCAATTAACGATTCACATGTCTTCTTAAATATATATAATTTGTTTGTGTTTTTAGCTATTGGTCTGCGTTACAATGGATTCTCTCTGGTCTACCTCATCTTCCTGCTACTGCTGCCTTTATTCCACGAACCAACAGCTATCACAATGCAAGGTAAGGCTCTGGCCTTTTACTGATACTATCTTTCTGAAACTGACCTGACATTGGCCGTCCGTCTCACTCTCAGTGGAGAAGGCACAGCAGAGTGTTTAAACAAACAGTCTTAGCGACAGTATTAGCCTGCCCTGGGAAATAACGTATAGAGGAGCCAATACAATCAACAGACCAGTGACAACTGGATTATGGCAAGAAGCTCATTGAGGACCAACAACAACACATTGCATTTACATAGTGCCTTTCACATCGGGTGCTGGACAGTCAAGGTTTTGCACCCAAGCTGGGGGTTGGGATCAAGAGGGGTGGAGGGCAGGTGGGGTGGTGGTGGGAAGATGACCAAAGGTGCGGTCGAAGAGGAAGGTCTTGAGACGGGACCAAGATCTCAACAATGATATCCATTACCTATTAACTACAACAACAATAAGAACTTGCTTGTACAGAGCGCCCTTCAAATAGGGTAATGTTTCAGTGGTAATTACTGGCGCCCGAGTGATAGGAGCTCATTTTTGATGTTTTCTAACCAAATATCTATTAGTAAGACATACTGTGTGACATATTGAAACACTTACGGTTTATTACTGACAGATTAATTGATAGAAATATTTCTGTCTAATTATTCCAGTGGTTTGCCAGTGGGTCGCAAGACATATGCATTATTAATCCCAATGCCGTTCAATGCTATTGAACAATCAGGGAATCAATGTTTGTTAAACGGTGATATTAAATATGTAACAAATATGATACACAAGCTCTTGTGATTTTAGTGCACATGCAGTATGTGCTCTAACATGGTTGCCGTAATTCTTAATGTTCAATTTAAATGAGAAGGAAAGATTTAAAAGGAAAGGTTTTCCTTCTCATTTAAGAAGGAAGGTAATCTATACAGTCTATACGAAGTATTGTCGAAACTATAGTAAAATCCTCTTAAGACTTCTTATAAGACTTGTCCTTCGGATGAGATGTTAAACCCAGGTCCCACCTGCCTGTTCTGGTGGATGTTAAAATCCCACGGCACTGTTTGAAAAGAGAAAGGAGTTTGTCCCATTTTGCTGGCCAACAATCCCCCCAGATCAAATTGGTCACTCACTCCATGGCTGTTGTGGGACATTAACTGGCTGCTGGGGTTATTCTTGACAAACAGAAGAATCCTGACTGCATCTGAAAACTTCTGAATCAAAAGCGCTTTGAGATGTTTCGAAGACATGATAAGGCGCAAGGATTATTATTATTATTATTTTATTTCTCATTTTGCAAAAGGCTTATTAGCTCCTCTGAGATAAAGCGGTCTGTAAGCCTGTGCCTCGCATTACATGAGACAGTTGAACCGTGTTGATTTTGAGTGAGTTAGATAGTGCTTTCTCTTAAAGAACGCATTGAACTATTTATCAATTAAAACCTTCCTTAATTGTTCATTCCATTGTCAAGCTCTTTCATCAAAGACAGTCGATATGTTGCGCCCTATCGACCTTTTCCGTCCTCTCTGCTTGCTAAGTGACCCAAACCTCTTGGTCGATCCTCTCATACAATTAATACAGATGTAAAATGTCTAGTTCAGCAGCCTCACCTCATAGACATCAGGTCCATTAGGAAGCATTACACCACGAGGCTCACACTGCTGTGAGAGAGAAAGCACTGCATTGCCAGAGGTGCTGTCCTACAGGTAGATGTTAAGATAAGGTGAGGTGCCAGCCATCTGATCTAACAGTTTAGATTTTATAGCACCTGCACAACAAACCTCATAGAATCTGTGTAGAATTTTAAATGCCATTGAGGCGGTAAAAAACAACTTAGCGCTTTTGTGTAAACCCAGAAACACACTTTAGGATTAGGGATTGCAATTCCATTGCTCTTTCAGAATCCCGGGATCGCAAATTTGATCTCATCCTGATTTCGTTCTCCACGCCAGTGGGTAACAAAAGCACAATTATGTTTGTAGAGCACCTTTCATGTCTGGAGAACGTCCCAAGGCCAATCAGTGTTTCTGACCCGAGCTGGGGATCTGGATTGGGGAGGGTGGAGGGCAGGAGGGTGATCGAAGAGGAGGGTCTTGAGACAGGTCTTGAAGGAGGCAAGGGAGGGGGTGAGGTAGAGGGACTGCGTAATGGAGTTCCAGAGGGTGGGGGCAGAGAGGCTGAAGGCCCGCTCGCCAATGGTGGGGCGAGCAAGGCGGGGGACATGAAGCAGGCCTGCTGAGCGGAGAGAGCGAACAGGGTGGTAGGGGCTAGGAGGTCGGAGAGGTAGGGGGGAGCAAGACCGTGGAGGGTTTTGAAGGTGAGGACCAGGATCTTGACCATCCCCTGCGTGAAGGGTCATGGAGTTTGGTGCGGGAGAGAACACGGGTTGCAGAGTTCTGGATGATCTGCAGCCTGTGGAGGGAGGAGTTAGGGAGGCAAGCAGTTTGCATAGTCGAGCCTGGATGTTATGAATGTGTGTATGAGGGTCTCGGCGACCTGCGGTGTTGGACAGTGGCGGAGCCGGGCGATGGTGCGGAGGTGGGGGAAAGGCAGAGCGGGTCATGGCATGGATGTGGGGTAGAAAGGATAGTTGAGGGTCACGCAAGATGCCGAGGTTCCGGACTGGTTTAGTAATGTGGAGCGTGCATCCTTGGATGGTAACACTGTTAGCGCCTGATGTGTGGAGGGGCTGATGGGAGCCAATCAGGAGGGCGTCCTGTGGGGAGGGCACCCGGGAGCTTTAAACACCTGCCCTCCCCTTCATCCCAGGCTCGGCCTTTATACAATCCCGAACTCTCAGGATCCTATGCAATGAATCCCAGGATTTGAGGAGCACCATATCCATCCAGGATCGGGAGATCCGAGGAATGGATTCCCTGGGATTGAAACCCCAATTTAGGACACACCAAAACAGTAGAACAAGAGGACAGAGGGTTAGAGCTTTAAAGGGAATTTCAGGACAGACACCAAGAAGTTTTTTTTTAAGCAGAGAGTAATTTTCGACGGGAGCAGGTTGACAGGAAGGATGGTTGAGGCCAGGACACTGGGACTCATTTAAAAGCAGCTTGATGCTGTAATGGGGGAATGGTAGGGTGGGTGTTCTGGAGGGATCAGGTCAGATGAGCTAAAGGGCCTTCTTCTTCGGTTGTGATCTTGTTAAGTATTGCACATAATGAGACTGAATACATATTATTTCAACAGGATTCACAGAGGATCAGTAAATATCCTCACCCTCTTCAGCACCCTCTTCGACCGTGCGAAGGGTCACTTCCCATCTCTCCCTGGCTCAGCCTCAAACTATGCCACTATTAAATGCTCTGAGATGCTATCCCACGTGAAGGGCCCTGTATAAATGCAAGTTGTTGTCTGTAAAAAAAACAAATCAAAGCTTGGATGTTATATAATAATAATGCATTTGATATAGTGCCTTATCAGGTCTTCGAAACATTTCAAAGCGCTGCACAGAATATATAAAGTGAATTGACTGTATTTTGTGGGTGAAATTTTGTGTATCTTTTGTGGTTAAAGTGGAGGATTTTAACATTTGTTAAATATTTTATTACTTTGAGCTTTCTGGAGAGAAGATTTTCTGGAGCTTCACTGAGCCAAAATATTTAGATACTTTTGCTCAATAGGATGTGAAATGTGCTCTTAAGTACCTTCAAAGACTGCTTACTTACAGATTTAAAGGTCTTATTGCAAAATGAATACCATAGACAAAATCAATGTTAAATACGCAAGCGAAACATTAAATAAGCCCAGAGATCAAGGCGATTTAGAGTCATTGGCAGATAGCAGGAGGTCAATTAACTTTGCTAACAAAATTCAATACAGCTGTTTTTATAAAACTCCTAATAAAATATCATGATTCCAGTAAAGATGCCATGCTTTTATGGTCTTACTGGAGAATAGAATCATAGAATCATACAACACAGAAGGAGGCCATTCGGCCCATTGTGCCTTGTTGGCTCTTTGAAAGAGCTCTCCAACTAGTTCCACTCACCTGGTCTTAGTCCCACTCGTCCACTCTCCTCAGAGGCAAGAGTGCTATGGGCTGAGCGAGACCAACAATATAAACCCTGCTGAATCTTAACTGATGGTTCTTGTATTTCAGGGCACACTGGACGGTTACTCAAAGCCCTCTGTCTGATCAGCTTTATCTTCTTGTTGGTGCAGGTGGGATTTCAAATATCGTTTCTCTACATCCCAAATAATGGTAAGTCAATGCCAGCCTCACAATGAACTCAGTGATCGTTTTATCATTCCTCACCCAGAACACAATATAGTTTACATTTAGTGCCATTCAAGATCGGAGGACGTCTCAAAGCTATATGTGGAGTCCTGTAGCACAGTGGTTAGAGCACTCGCCTTTGCAAGCGAGAGGACCCAGGTTCGATTCCCGGGCGGGGTGAAACCTTAGGCAAATTTCCTTACTCCACTCACACACCTCTTTTTACCTAACAGTAAGTAGGAACCTGGTTGTTAGTCGATTGGAGCATCACTTTCTGGGGGTAATAATCCCTCCAAAAAAAATAATAATAATTTAGTCTGTCAATCCACGACTGTTTGTGGGACACTGCTGTGTACAATTTGCTGCCACGTTTCGCCCACAAAATATACAGTCAATTCACTTTACAGTATATTCTGTGAAGTGCTTTGAGATGCCTCAAAGATGTGATAAGGCACTCAATCAAATGCAAAGATTATTAAGTACTAATATTATAAGACTGTGAAAGAAGCATTGAAAACTATCCGAAAATTGTAAACTTGAAATAAATGAAGATTTTAAATTTCGAAAATCAGCAAAACCCTGATTGACTGTAACAATTATTGAACTGCAGACAGACAGTAAGATGACAGGCTTTTTCAACATCTAATTGCTTCAATTCTCTTCTGACAGGAACAAACTGGGAGACAGCACTCTGGCACATGGGAGTCGTGAGGTAAGCCTGGACAGCAATTCACAAGGCAGAATACACTGCTCTTTTCATGGGGTCCCTGAGCTCTATCAATGCTGTGAAATCATAATCAATATAATGATTATCATTGATTATTAATAATAATAACCAGTAGAATGCCTCCGAAGGCTGAGGACCCGGCTAGGTGTTTAAGTGTTACTACTGGAAGATCTGAGCATTACTAAGAAAACATTCTAACCCAAAAATCCCATTGGTGTCGTGATCAGTGTGCTTAACACTCCATTTTACCTGGATACAATGGATTGAAATGCCAGCTTTAGCCAGCCTCTGTTGTTGACTACGCCTATGGTCACCTTCCCTTGCCCCCACCACCCCCGCCCCCCCCACCACCCCTTGCTCAGGGTCCACCGCCATCACATGCAATGCTCTGAGACGCTTTCCTGCATGAAAGGCGCTGTCGACACACACAAGTTGTTGTTGTCTTCTCTGTGAAGTTAGTCCCATTCCTCCGAAGTTCTTTTGTGAATTGTTTAGACTTGGGCAAAACTCCTTGGCTTTTGTGCTTCCCCTCAGCTTCCTTTCCTCTTGCTGGGGGCTGATCCTCAAGTTGTACTGAGCGGAGACGGCTGAGGGTCTAGAAATCCCTCGCCGACCTGAAGCTGGGTTATACAAGAACAACACAACTTACATTTACACAGTGGTCTTCACGCAGAGTCTGAAAATAGGGAAAGAGGGGGCAGGCAGAGGGATTGAGCATGAGAGTTCCAATGATTTGCGGTGTAGTGGCTGAAGCACGGCCACCGATGGTGAAGCAGAGGAGATGAGAGACAAGCAGGAGGCTGAAGCCAGACGAACGGAGGCCACAGGTGGTGGAGGGTGGAGTAAGGGGATTGGGGGAGATAGGGAGGTGCCAGGGTGTGAAGGGATTTGTAGACTTATACGGAAATGCTGAAGATGAATGTTACCTTTAAAAGTAAGTTTGTGTCTGCACAGACTGAGTGAGTCGAATCCCGGGAATGCCATCAGGCTGATCGCACCGGATGTTGGGATGCTGATCGGAAGCTTGGCGTTTCTCAACATGTGCAGAAGACTAGCGTCAAAGTCAGACCGAGGAAAATCATCCCAGGATCAGCCGGAAGGAGAGGTACGCAGGGAAAGGCAGAAAAGGTTGAGCAACTTAGAAAGAAGCCACTAGCCAGACGCTAAAGATCCCATGGAGCTATTCGAAAAGACAAGGGAGTTTCTCTCTCCTGGTCTCCTGGCCAACAATCCCCCAAATAGAATTGAGCACTCCCTCCATGATTGTTTGTGGGCAGTGCTGTGCACAACACTGTCTGTCCCGTTTCGCCCACAAAATACAGTCACTCCACTTTACAGCATATCCTGTGAAGTGATTTGAGACGTCTGGTGATGTGATGAGGCGCTGTGGCAAATGCAAAACTTATTATTACAATAATTTCTATTCCTAAATTTATATTGTACAGCATGGAAACAGTCCATTTGTTTCACAGAATAGATGATGCCAACTGGAACGGGTAGACAGGACTGCAGCTTAACATCTCATCGATAGTTGGCAATAGCTAAATTGTAGTCCAGACCACTTTCATTTGCTTTGACCAAGGCCAATAACAACAAACATTAAATTACATTTGTATAGCGCCTTTCACATCAGGAGGACGTCCCAAGGCAATAAACCAATAATGGCTTCAATGAAATTGCCAATTGGGGCTAAATGCCAAGTCCATTCCCAGATCTGTTTTGGCACGAACTTTCAAGATGGTTTGTAGACTGGATGTATTTGTTATCTCAGCATTGTTGCTCCAGGACTGCAAAGTGCCTTGGAGGAACAATCCATGGGTCTTGCCGAGGGTCCCTTGCCCCACCACTGACTACACCCCGATATCTCTGTTGAAGCTGTACAAATTTGACATGAACGCAACTCCTAATGGCTTTAGCCTTTTGAAAGGAGAAAGGAGTTTCTCTCTCCTGGTGTCCTGCCAACAATCCCCCAGATAAGATTGATCTTTTACTTCGTGGTTGTTTGGGCTGTACACAAACTGGCTGCTGTTTTGCACAACAACAACAAAATTACACTTGTAAATTGCCTTTCAATAATAATAATTATTATTATTATTCATAATCATGGCATCTAATTGTTTTTTACGTGATCCAGCATCCTGGCCTCATCCAGTCTGTAGTCAATGGTTCTTGTAATGATTCAGAATCCACAACACTAATGTTTTAAGTCAATCCTTTATTCTCAGCTCACAATACTCCAATACTCCAACCATAATTCTCCCCACATACACAGGAGTGTTGTTTTACTACTTAGATAGCTTCTTACTTCACTTCCATTCCAAGGTGACTTGTTTGACATCGGAATGTCAGAATCGAGCCAGCCCTCTGTGGTGGCCTCTAGTCCAGTTCCTGAGCCATGCAGGTCAGCACAGGCAGCCTGGCTTATCGGTAAGACCTGGAAGGGCAGACCAGTCACTGGGGGCAGGGAGTCCTCCTACTCAGCTCCTGTTAACCCTGCAAGTCACAGCCCTAACGGGTTCTAGCTGGACAAGCAACGGGAAAACTTGTCAGGCAGTCCTCTCAATGGCAGGCTATGCGGTTTTAGCTGGTTAGCCCAATGCACACAGTGTGGCCCCTAAGCCTTGGCTCTTGCCACCCTGCGCCTAATATTCTCCGGCATTAGGTAAGCAGGGTGCATCCCTCCAGGGAGGGAGTGCATATTCCAATAAATATCTCAGAAATTTCCGTGTGTATGTGGGATGCATGGAATTCTCAGTTTGGTTTGGATACTCTTAAGCACGGTGCTGGGTGTCTGCATGTGTCAGACACGTGGCTGACCCCCAAAAATGCATTATAAGGTATTTGGTATAGGTTCAACTTGAACTTTTCTACCACTCAGGAAGAGGTGGACAGCACTGAATGTGAGGAAGAGTCTGAGGTCAGCTCTGAGGAGGAGACGGAGAGGGAGGAGGGAGATGATGAGGAAGATAAAGAGGAGGAGCCAGAGGAACCAAAGGAAAAGAAGCCGACCTTAGCTGAGAAGGTGGCGTTGGTCATGTTGGGCCTTAAAGAAATGGTGGGAGCCTTGGTGACGACAGCAGGGACCTTTCTTGTGACGCTCCTCTTATGTTTAGCAGGTCAGTATCCTCGGAAAGAGTAAAGCAAAGGCTTTAATAATAATAATTCTTGCAATTGATATAGTGCCTTATCACGTCTTTGAGATGTCTATATAAATGTATAAAGAACATTCTCCTCTATATGTACTTTAAGGAGGGAACACAATGCTCTTCTCAGTGAGGAGAGAAACAGGTCTTTTTGTGCCCCTGACTGTGAGTCCTCATTCTCTCCAGGTATAGCCCTCCCTTCCCTGACCTCAGCTGTGTACTTCCTCACGTTCCTGGGCTTGGGGTCCTGGTGGGCATGCCGACGGGGTTTCAGCCTGACCTTCTTCCGCTGCCTGTGTGTAACCATGGCCATCATCAGCGCAACACACCTGACCATCCTCTACCTGTACCAGCTCCACGCCTTCCAGGCTGCGCTGCCGCCCCAACACCTTGGTGCCAGGTAAGATCCCAGAATTGCGGAGAGAACACAATACAATACAAATTACGGTACACATTTTACATTCACACCGTGCCTATAACGTCAGGAGGACGCTTAACAGGATGTGTCAGCTTGACGTAGTGGTAACGCTCTTTGCCTCCGAGTCAGAAGGTTGTGTGTTATTATTATAACCAATTTGAATGAAGGCTTGTGATTTTGTTGTCCATCACGAATGCCTCTGGCTGCAGGTTGCTTGGTATGTCAGCGCTGATCAGCACTAACGACACAGAGCCTTGGAGACTGCGCACCCACGGAAGGCAGCCCTGGCCCGTCCTCCTGAACCTCGCCAGCCTGCTCCTGCTGTACTACACCCTGGCCACCATCATCCGACATCTGATTCTCAGTACTCAATCAGAGGTAAGAAACTCCACAGCTGGAGTCCCATAGCATAATGGTTAGTGCGCTTGCCTCACACGTCAGAGGACCCAGGTTCTGCCGTGTTTGCCTACAAAAGCACAGTCACTGCATTTTCACAGTGAATCATGTGATGCTCTTTCAGATGTCTCGCCGACATTGTAAGATGATGCATTAAATGAAAGGATTATTATTATTACTATAAACTGTAGAGGAAAGAGTTGTTAAGTAGTGGGATATTTGCCATCACTTTGTACAACTGTGGCATGGAATGGGTTTGACACAGAGTCAGAGGAAATCCAGGTTGACTTTATGATTGTCTTTTTTTTATAACTCTTATAAGTTTTATAACTCTCTCTGTCCAGCGCCTTGGGACGTCCTCCCGACGTCAAAGGCGCTATACAAATGTCATTTTGTTGTTGTTGTTGAAGGATTTCTGTCTATTGAATCATCCCTTAACCCTCAGAAGGTTGTTCCCCCAGACGTGGATGCTGACTGCCCAGACTCCATGTCAGAACATAATAATGTAGAAAGAGACTTATGGAATGTGGAAACAGGTGGGAAAAAGGTGAGAGTGTGACTGAACTGAGCTCATTCCCATTATCTGGAAATTTATAATGTCACCGGCAGTAGCAATAAGTTTCAAGAGGGAACCAGATAGATACCTAAAATCAAGTCATTGGCGAAAAGGCAGGTAAATGGGACTCAATGGATTTCTTTCAGGGACAACTCAGGCACAGAACCATGGAAATAAATACCTTACAATAAATCTGTAAAGACTTTTGAGACATTTCAACAATAAGGCCCTATCTCAAATGCAAGGATTGTTACTCTTCACGTAAAATAAGTGTCTTTAGACACTTTCCTTCAGCTGGTCTTTTCAAGTGTGCTCTAACTTCGGGTATTTTTATACGAGTTGTGAGAGAAACGAGTTAGTTGTTGAACCACAATGTTTTTTCTACGACTGTACGTAGGACACTGCTGTGCGCAATTATTGGAAGTGCAATTGCTGAGCGCTTTGAGATGCCTCAACAACATGAGATGGCACTATATCAAATGCAAGAATTATTATTATTATTGTTATTATCTAGATTTCAATATTCAATCTTAAAGTTGAGGTTTGATGGATAGATTTCTAGTCCAGCTCTTGAAACCTACAGCGATTAAAGGCTGTTTATTGTGCCTTAATTCTAAAATTACATTTAATTCACAGCAACCATTGATTTACCCTGTAAGTGGAAATACAATAGAACTCATCATTCCACATGACAAGCCCCAGAGGAACAATAACTGTCTGCCGGGACAAATGTTCTCCTCTCCAGTGTACCCTCAGCATCCCTCCCACTCGGATAAGATTACCGATGTAACACACAGCATGGGTAAGTGGCAGGAAATGCACTTAGTAATTGAGTAGTAATGTTTCCTACTATGCTCATAACACATCTGAGAGTTATCTCATCTGTTGGATTTATATATCTCTAGACATTAGATGCAGAATGTGGCTAAATTTATCGTGAGTAGTCAGTCCTCAATCTTGATCCGTTTTGGACACTTTGTCATAGAAAGGACAGTGTGGAAGGGGTCGGGCAGATTCACTGGATGGTTCTAGGGATGGTCATTGGGTATCAAGGGCAAGACATGGACAAGGATTCAGAATTGGCTCAAGGGAAGGAAGCAGAGGGTCATTGTTAGAGGAGCTTGATCAAATCGGGGAGAGGTATTAAATCGGATACTCAGGGGTCTGTACTGGGACCACTCCAGTTCCTAGTATATACTAATGACCAGGATTCGCAGACCCAGTGTAAGATAGTTACATTTGCAGATCCCCAAGTTTTTGGGGAACTGTGGAATCAGAGGGTAGCAAAGGTCCTACAAAGAAACGTTGATAGGATATGCACATGGGCTGATCACTGGCAAATGAAGGTTAATACAGGTAAATGCAGTACTACATATAGGATGCAAGAATGGGAAACACAAGTACTCAACTGATGGGATTGGTCCATGCATTCCCTTCTCTTTCCTTTGGCTTCCCACAGAGGATTACACTGAGACGGAGATGCAGAAGGACAATGGGAGTGACCAGCCCAGCAGCTTAGTGATAATTGGCCAATTCATCATGAAGCAGAGCTATATCTGTGCCCTCATAATCATGATGGTACGTGTTTCCGTGTTTCATTCCTTCTGCTCATTTCAATCTTTCTGTGTAACCTCAACAGCAACAACAAAATTACATTTGTAGAGCACCTTTCATGTCCAGAGGACGTCCCAAGGAGCTGAATCTCACTAAAACAATGTGAAAAGCAACTCAGTAAACACAGTAACTTGCAACCAACAAATGTATTTTCAGGTAGAATAGCGCCTTGCAGTGCTTTATAATGGAGGTGGGATGGGGGAGGGGAATGTTAGAAAGGGGACTGAAACTTTACTTTTATTAATAATGAAATAATGCACACAATTTGGATGTTCAACAATTGTTTCCTTTATTATAGTTCCACAGTCAATGATTATGCAAAGATTATCCAACACCATCTACGCAATAATGGGAGCAAGCAGGTTATCAGAGAATTTAAGTTTTTGATCAGTTTACCTCGGCCTGGGAGAGCAGCAGGCGGCTGGGGGTGGGGTGTCATCTCACTGATACTGGCTAAAACACCTTCAATTATACCAAAATCTGAATCACATTTGCGGACGTTCACACATCAGAATCAGTTTGTGAATCTGTATTGGAATCTGTGGTTTGTATTAGAAATGATGGGCTGAGCTAAACCCTGTGCATTCAGGCTTTCAGACACGCAGTACTGAATTGTTTTAAGAACTGGAAAACCTCTTCATAGGATAGTCTTGTGCTCGCTATAGGGAATCATTTAACACAGTGCAGGCGCTGTAGTCCAGCTGCTGACTCTCACTATCATTGGGTTTTCATGGACCCGACATGATTGACCAGAACTTTTCTTACATTAGCAAAACAAGGCTCCAAACCAAGGATCACAAACCATGTGTAACTGCCAACAGGTTGTTCTTGTTCATCAGGTGAATATCTGTTTCTTCTCAGGTCTGGAGCATCACTTACAACAGCTGGCTGACCTTCGCTCTGCTCATCTGGTCCTGTATTATTTGGATGTTGCGTGACCGCCAGCGATACGCGAAACTGAGCTCCCCGTTTCTGGTGGTCTATGGCAACCTCCTGGTTGTCCAGCAGTTCTTTGTTGGCTTACAACTGAGTGAGGCTGAGCTGTTCCCTGATGTGGCCAAAGCTGCCCTCATTGACTTTGACCTGAAGAGGTCGAACGCACCCTGTGTGGATTTGGGAGCCAAGGTCTGTAAGAAGCAACAACCAGCATGTTAATGACTCTGGTTACCTTAACCTTGACACTCGGCAAAGGGTCCGTCAAGTGCCGATTGCTGAAAACTCAAACGTTTTGTTCCTTGTTTATTATTATTATTATTATTGATGTCACTGTGAGCCCCTGAGCTGGTGGTGCGAGCCGAGGTGCTGGGGAGTGGAAAGATGACCAAACACATGGTCAAAGATGTATGTTTGCGATGTGCCTTGAAAGAGGGGAGGGAGGGAAGGAGAGAGGGAGGGAGGGAGAGAAGGAGGGAGAGAAGGAGGGAGAGAAGGAGGGGGAGAGGGAATCTTGGATGGAATTTCAGTTTGGAATGCTCTGCACACACTGTATTACAGATTTTCTATGCATCCATCTTCTGGTTGTTACTCCGTCAATACTTGACTGAAAAAGAGGAAATGAGAACACAGTCACAGACACTTCTCAGTGAGGTCAGCTCGCAACAGACAGGTGAGAAAGATCTGTACGAAATGTGTACATGGTGCATCCTTCAACCATTTTAACTCTCTGTGTCAATCACTCCTTTTATCCCTTTAAGATTTTGACCCACTATCAATAATAATCCTTGGATTTGATAGAGCGCCTTACTATGTCGTTGAGATGTCTCAAAGAATATATCGTAAAGTGTCTGCACAGAATATATTGTAAAGTGGATTGACTGTATATTTTGTGGGCGAAACGCAACAGCTACTTGTGCACAGCAGCGTCCCACAAACAATCATGGATTGAATGACTGTTTTATTTTTTTGTCTGGATTCCTAAAATGGCAAGTGCTTCTGTTATAAATTATCACAGTAGCAGCACTGATAGTCAATAGAGTAGCATTGTCTTTCCTTAGACTGAAGGAATATTCACTGTCAGACTAAAGCCCTCCCCGCCAAAGGCAGTGAATTTAACCTTACCGCTTACGCTCCCAGCTGTTCCCCAGAGACTAAATACACACTAAAATCCTTGAAGGGCTTGAACAAGTTCCCAACTCTTGACCCTCTGAAGAGTTCAAAGTAGATACCCCTTCTCTCCCCCAGCCCCCCCACCACCTCATTGAACATTGAGATGTGAATTGTAGATCTGAACACTCCAATAGTTCAGGATAAACTATTTCTTCTTTTCTCTTCCTCTGCAGACAGTGCACAGAAGGAAGGGGAGCTTGTCGCAGTAATGGGCTCTTTTGTTAAGGGGTTATTGGTGAAGTACTGGATCTACTGCTGTGGTGCAATGTTCTTCCTTGTTAGCTTCACTGGGAGAGTAATGGTCTACAAGATCCTCTACATCATGCTTTTCCTCTTCTGTGTGGCCCTATACCAGGTAAGTGCTCAAAATAGTGGTGTAGGTCAGCCATGTAGTTATTGGGGTTAGATACCGGAAGCAATACCAGCCATCACCCTCTTCTGATGTTAATGAGACTCCTCAATATAAATAATAACAATAATAATCCTTACATTTGATATAGAGTCTTATCACATCATTGAAACACCTCAAAGTGCTTCACAGAATGTATTGTAAAGTGGATTCCCGTGCATTTTGTGAGTGCAATAAATAAACAAAAAGGATTAGACGAGTATTTATAATCTACAAACGATATATAGCTTTGGAATTTGGAGGCTGATTTACTGCCAACTGGGAAACAATCACAATCCATTGAAGCTATGAGAAGTGGGTAAAAAGTGAGACAATCAGATCCTATTGACATCTCTTCTATAGGCGTTCGCCTACAAAATGTACGGTCACTGCACTTTACGGTAAAATTACAGTAAAAGCACTTTGAGACAACTTCCTTAAGTGAAAGTAAGGATTTTTTTGATCTCTGACCACATTTGCATAGAGCTCACTCAGCACACTCCTGCTTGTGTGCTTTCAGATACATTATGAGTGGTGGCGACGAATCCTGAAGTATTTCTGGATCACGGTGGTTTCTTACTCGATGGGAGTGCTTATCTTCATCTACACCTATCAGTTTAAAACTGTCTCCGGTCTCTTGCAGCAAGTAATGGGAATATCTGAGGACAGGTACGCACGCACCTGGATTGCTTTGTGTTTTAAGGGAAGGGTTGGCATGATGGTAAACAATCTCGGAGTAAAGGAATGAACTTGTGTTTTTATGTCACCTTGTCACGTCAAAATAGTGCAGAGCACCTCACTCGTGATCACTGTCAAGTGCGGTGACTCGTCTGAGTTGGATTTGAATGCAAGCATCGAAACCAGCTTGTTAGGAATGTGTTAAACCATGTTCAGCAGAATCAATAAAAATATAAATCTGTCCTTCAAATGAGACGTTAAACCGAGATCCCATCTGCCTGTTCAGCTGGTCTCTTGGCACCATTCGAAAAGAAAAGAGATCGTCCTCCAGTCATCTGGCCAACAATTTGTGGCTGCGTGTGGCACATTGCTGTGCACAAATTGGCTGCAATCTGAAAAGAGAAGGAAGTTTCTCTCTCCCAGTGTCCTGGACAACAATCCCTCCCAGATAAAATTGATCACTTACTCCATGGCTGTTTGTGGGACGCTGCTGTGCGCAATTGACTGCTGTGTTCACCTACAAAATACACAGTCACTCCACTTTACAGCATACTCTGTGAAGCGCTTTGAGATGTCACAATGACGTGATAAGATGCTGTATAAATGTAATTTGTTGTTGCTGTGTTTACCGGCTGTTTGTAGTCTGAACGATATGGGCCTCGAGCAATACGACACAGCAGAGCTCTTCACCAGAATCCTGTTGCCCTCAGCCTTCCTGCTGGCCTGTATACTGCAGCTCCATTACTTCCACGAGCACTTCCTCAGCCTCACAGACTGCGAGAATTTTACCCCCCGGGAGGACAACACCACATACAGGTAAAGTCACCGGCCTTCAATTATACTCGATCGGCTGAATGGCCTTCTTCGGTATTGTGTGTCAGCCTGGCGCTGTGGTAGCCTTCTCGCCTCCGAGCCAGAAGGTTATAGGTTCAACAACAACAACAACAACTTGCACTTTCATAGCGCCCTCCACGCAGGGTGGCATCTCAGAGCGCTTGACAGTGGTGGAGCTTGACTCCAAGCCGGGTGGGGCTGGGGAGGGAGGTGACCGTAAGCACGGTCGAAAAGGAAGGTTTTCAGGCGGGACTTGAAAAAGGGGAGAGAGGGGGCAAGGCGGAGGGATTGGGGGAGAGTGTTCCAGAGTTCAGAGCATAATAGCTGAATCCCATGACCTCCAATGGTGGAGCGGAGGGCACGAGGGACGAGCAGGAGGCCAGTTGAGCGGAGTGAGGAGGTCAGAGAGGTACAGTACAAAATACAAAATGACATTTGTAAAGCGCCTTTCACGTCTGGAGGACGTCCCGAGGTAGGGAGGTGCCAGGGAGTGAGGAGATGTGAACACGAGTGTGAGGTTCTTGAAGTCGATCCATTCGGTGATGGGGAGCCAGTGGAGCCTGGGCCAGAACTGGTGAGGTGTGGGTTACGGAGTTTGGTCCAGAATCAGAGTTCTGATTGAGCTGGATTTTTTGAATAGTGGAGCTGGGGAGACCAGAGAGGAGTGCGTTTGAGTAATCCAGCCCCATGTCGGGACTTGGAATCACATAGTCTAAAGTGACACTACAATTGCATTGTTGGAGGGTGCCGTCCTTCGGATGAGACATTAAGCCGAGGTCCTGTCTGCCTGTTCAGGTGGATGTTAAAGATCCCGTGGTGCTACTCGAAAAGAGAAGGGAGACTCTGCACGTCCGGCCCACAGACCGCAGCTTGGCCATCAGTGACCTTGAGTGGGAAAGTCAGTGTGAGGTTGCTGCCCATGAGCTCCTCTCTCCCTCTTTAATGCCGGTATCTGTTCTCTCCTCTTTCAGCTACCTCAAAGTGCAGAGTCGTATTACCATCCTATCCCACAGGTAAGTGCTCGCTCCATTAGCCCTGCTCACACATCTGTCGTCAGTCATACAGTCTCACCCTTTCGCTGAGCACAGAAGATTGATGTAAGTGGGAAGTTGGGTTTCCCTGGGTTGATAGTCCCTGGTGCTGAGGATGTTCAGGGCTGATCTGATTGAGGTGTTCAAAATAATGAAATTGAGAAGCTTGTCAAGGGATGGCTCTTCTCTCTGTTCGAGGGATCCTGTCCCCCCCCCCTCTGTACAGCGTTCAGAGAGGCTATCCTGTGTAAAGGGCACTAAATAAATACAAGTTGTTGTTTTAAGTATTTACAGGCTGTTCAGCTTATCAAGCTTGTTCCTCCATTTTATTACATTAGAATACATTAAAATATACGGCACAGAAACAGGCCATTCGGTCCAACTGGTCTTCACCGGAGTTTACGCTCCACATGAGCCTCCTCCTGCCCTTCCTCAACTAAGCCTTTAAACATAACCTTCTATTCCTTTCTCCCTCATATACCTATCGAGCTTCCCCTTAAATACATCTATTCTATTTGCCTCAACAACTCCTTGTGGTAGCAAGTTCCACATTCCCACCACTCTCTGTGTGAAGAAATTTCTTCTAACTTCCCTTTTTGATCTATTTGTGACTATTTTATATTGATGGCCCCTGGTTTTGGTGTCCCCACAAGTGGAAACATCTTCCCTATGTCTACCCTATCAAAACCTTTCATAATTTTAAAGACATCTATCAGGTCACACCCTAACCTTCTCTTTTCAAGAGAAGAGTCCAAGCGTGTTCAGCCTTTCCTGATAGGTATAACCTCTCAGTTCTGGGATCATCCTTGTGAATCACCTTTGCACCCTCTCCAGTGCCTCTACATCCCTTCTATAATATGGGGACGAGAACTGCACACAGTATTTTAAGTGTGGCTTAACCAAGGTTCTATAGAAGTTTACCATAACTTCCCTGCTTTTCATTTCTATCCCTCTAGAAATGAACCCCAATGCCTGGTTTGCTTTTTTATGGCCTTATTAACCTGCATTGCTACTTTTAGTGAATTGTGTATTTTATGTGTACCCCTAGATCCCTTTGCTCCTCCACCCCATTTAGGTTTTTATTTTTGTTTTTATTTGTGTTTCGCCCACAAAGATACAGTCAATTCACTTTACAGAATAAAATTTACAGTATATTCTGTGAAGCGCTTTGAGACGTCTCGAAGATGTGATAAGGCACTATATCAAATGCAAGGGTTATTATTATATTATTATTTTCCAGGATGTATGTGATTTCCTTATTCCTTCTACTAAAATGTACCACCTCACACTTTTCTACATTGAAATGCATTTGCCATTCAAATGCCCATTCACCAAGTTTATTAAAGTCTTGCTGTAATTTGTTGCAGTCCTCCTCTGTATTAACTGCTCCCCCCAATTTGGTGTCGTCTGCAAATTCTGAAATTGTACTGCTGATTCCCGAGTCCAAATCATTAATGTGTATTGTGAACAACAGTGGTCCCAATACTGATCCTTGTGGAACACCACTGCCCACCCTCTGCCAGTCTGAGTAGCTTCCCTTTATACCCCTACTCTCTGTTTTCTGTTTTGTAGCAGCTTGCTATCCATTCTGCTATTTTTCCCCTGACTCCACATGCTCTGACCTTATTCATTAGTTTATTATGTGAAAGCTTATCGAACGCCTTTTGGAAATCTAAATTTATTACATCTGCCACATTACCCTTGTCTACTCTTTCTGTGGCCCTTTCAAAGAATTCAATGAGGTTGGTCAAGCATGACCTTCCTTTTTGAAATCCGTGCTGACTTATTTATTATGTTTTATTAAATCATGACATGAGAGATCTTTTAATCTCATCACAAATTCACAAGATTGGTTCATCTGAAGAAAGCCCTTCGGTTCATCTGATCTGATCCCTCCAGAACACCAAACCTACCATCACCCCATCACTGCATCAACCATCCTTTCTGTCAACTCTGTTCCAGTCATTAATTACCCTCTAGGCAAAGAAAAATGTCCTGGTGTCTGTCCTGAAATTGTCCTTTAAAAATATACAACTCATTTCCCGATCTTTTCTTTGTATTTCAATAAAGTAAAGCCAGTTTGAAATGAAATCCTCACATACAAAGTTATGAAATGTGGATTGCCTTAGTTAGTTCAAGGTTTAATTCTGTCATTTTTATTTTCAGCATCAAAGCCAGTATTGAGAAAGTGCAGCAGAGGTGAGTTTTGTAAAACACATTAGAACTTTCTAAAATGAAAAGCAATTCAACAGTCCTGCTGGTGACTCCTGACTTCAGATCACAGCTGGCGTTTGGATTTTGGGGAAAAGGCTGAAAACTTCTGACTAAAAGATCACAGAGTAAATCACCTGCCACAAACCGAACACTGCCGGCCTTCGGAGTGTATTCTTTAAGGGAGTTTGACGAGACGTTAAACCGAGGTCCCATCTGCCTGTTCAGGTGGACATTAAAGATCTCATGGTACTATTCAAAAGGCAAAAGGAATTTCTCTAGGTGTCCTGACCAACAATCCCCCAAATATAATTGGTCCATGGCTGTTGAAGGACATTGCCTAATTGAGCTAATTGCCTCCACACACACACACACACACACTCCCTGAAAACCTGTGTATTATCTACAAATGTCTGTCAGGTGATCCTGGGCCTGGGAGAGGTTCCTGCAGTCTGAGTCTCGAGCTCTTGGAGCCCCTGGAGCTCTGATTTCTGAATGACACATTCCAGATTCCAATTACCAGCGTCAGTCCTCTCAAGTCGACAGCCGGAGGCAGAGCAGCACAGCCTCCCGCTGTCACAACAATATCCTTTAACTCCTGCTGTAGCCAACTTAACACCATTTTCTTCCAATCCCCCAAATATAATTGGTCATTCACATCGTAGCTGTTTGTGGGGCGTTGCTGTGGCAAAATTTACTGCCGTATTCACTTATAAATACACAGTCACTGCAGTTCACAGTAGATCTGGTGGAGCACTTTGAGACATCCTCCTGATGTTAAAGGGGCTATACTAAATGCAAGGATTAACACCTTGATTTGTGCACGATCCCCATCCATACTTTCTCGCAAATGATAATAAAATAAATCTTTGCTCTTGTTTTTCATTTCCTGGTTTCCTTTCACAGGTTGGCCTCCAAGCACAAGAATGATGTTAAAATGTCCAGCAACGACACCTTAAATAACCTGGACTTTCAAGACAAAGAACCGAGTTTGGAACAAGAAGAGGTGCCAGAGATCTCAGGTTGGCTGCTTACTGGGCTGTCCGAGAGCAGTCAAACTCAAGTCACCCACTTCAGTCACTCAAACCCAATCCAATCAGATCTATTTCAGTCAAATCCAGTCCAATGAAAGGCCAGAAATTGCCGTTTCATCGGTGGCATTAGTTACACAGTAGAATGCGTGTATGTTGTATCTTTGCAGATTGCATAACTGCCGAAGTCATACCCGAGTCCCATTCAGTTTCCTATCAAAACCACTTGGATGTCTTTGCACGACTCGTATTAATCATCTAACTCATAATGCCACACCCCTACCCTCCATTACTCATGCACTTACCGGCTGCATTGAATCGAGGGAAGTCTTGATCTGTCGATGCATGCGCAGATGAACTTGATTTCCAGCGGTTCAATGCAATTCCAAAGCTTGCCAGTAAGTGGTGATGGGTGAAGATGCATTGAATCGAGGGAAATGTTGTCTTGATCAGTCACCTCAAGTGTCCTTACTGGTTGCATTGAATTGGTGTAGATTATTGATTAAATCGGATTTTCTACGACTTATACCATTTGCCTGCAACTCGGACTTTGCGCAAGTCATATTAATTGTTCTGGTTCCAACTGATACAATTTATGTGAGTTTTGCTGTAGTAATAACAGATATCTGGCATTGCATTTTGTGTGCTGTACATGAGGGATCAGCTCTGGTGAGCTCATGAACTCATCGTTACACCCAACATTGTTTTGAAGGATGGAGTTGTTTCCCTTTTGGATTCTGATTGTTTCCTCCCTCCCAGTTCCAGCAGAATCCCCAAGGCCATGGAGCATGGTGGTTGATCGGATGACTTCCCTTTTGCTGAAGTTCTTGGAGCTGACCCATAAAGCCCAGGTCCTGGGGTGGAGACTCCTGGAGCTTCACATCATAAAGATAATCTCCTCCTGTATCATCTGGATCACACTCAAAGAGGTGAGCAAGAGGATCGTGGGCCAGAAGTTAATTCCCTTACCTAGGCCATGTTCCTCAACAAAATGTTTAATGTTTAACTTTGCAGTGAGGGCTCACATTGAGTGAAAGGTCAGAGCAGTGACCTTTCTACAGTCCAATTAGTTGGGTAAAAATTCAGTGAGGGCAGGGAAGATGGGGTTCGGAACCAAGGCACGGTCGAAGAGGAGGGTTTTGAAATGGACCTTGATGGAGGTAAGATAGGGAGTGAGGTGAAGGGACTGTGGGATGTAGTTCCAGAGGGTGGGGGCAGAGAGGCTGAAGGCTGGGCCATCGATGGTGGGAGGACATGGAGCAACCTGGAGCCCGCTGAGCAGAGGGAGCAGACAGATTGGTAAGGGATTAGCAGGTCAAAGCCATGAAGGAGTTTGAAGGCAAGGATTTTGAACTCTATCCTCTGGGGGATGGGTAGCCAGTGGAGGTGGGCGAGGGTGATGCATTCCTGGAGCCCGGTTAAACCCGTTCCCACTCATGGATGGATTGATAGTTTGGGACGTCTCACTGAGAGTGCCTGATTGCTTTACAGGTCTCTCTGATGAACTACGTGCTCCTTATCCTATGGGTCTTTGCCTTGCCTTATTCCTCATTCCGTCCATTGGCCTCCAGCATCTCCACTGTGTGGACTTGTGTCATGATCCTGTGTAAGATGATGTACCAGCTCAAGTTTGTCAACCCAGCCGAGTATTCTGCAAACTGTACTCTGGTAAGCTGGTCAGACCCTCAAATTCCTCACACCTTCCCTTTAAACAAACCTAATCAGCTACCCACAGACACGCCTAGACACTTACCCACAGAGACAACCACCCACAGAGATACCTAGACATGGGAACATCTATCTAGTAACCCAGCTACAGTGTCCAATGGGTCACATTGTATCAATACTATTGTCTAACACATGCGGCAACCCACCAGCACGTATGAGCACTCCAAGTCGCTGCCCGCTTGAAGGGTGCTATATAAACACAGTCTGACTGGTGCCCTGTGCTATGGAGCTTGGCCCTTCACACAGTTTAAGAAGAAATACACAGTGGCAATTGGTAGTGAAGCTGCACATCCTCCCCATGTAAAAGGACACTGTATAAATGCACGTTGTTGTTGTTGTATTAATATTGAATCTTGCCACCACTCCTCCACATTTCAGGTTGACCGTAACTAAGATCTGTCCTTTTCCCTGTTCAGAATGGAACCCAGGCCCTAGTGAATATGTCCTCCCTGTACTCTGGCCCCATCGACCCTGCCTTCTGGTTCGGGGCACTGAGGAAGTGTGAGAGCAATGTCCTGCCCTGCCTCAAGGTACAGAATGCTTTCATTCACTTCATAAACTACTCGCCCTCTCGAAATCACCACAACGACAATCCACGTATTTTCACTTTGAATGTGCACTATACCCCTGGCATGAAGTCCGTGCTTTGTGCACAGCACAACTCTCCGACGTTACTCTGCTCAGACTGTATTCTGTGGTTAGGACACATTATCAGCCTATTTGAGGCTGTTCAATTGCCAGCAGTAAATGATCTATTAATGTGATGCCATTAACTCCGCACTTCAATATGTGTCTTGGAAGGTTTGCAGCGGTTCTGAGGCCTGAAATTTGACACAGTCTTAGCCCACAGCACAGAAACCGCCCCGGTCAAAGTGACAAATGACATTAATATTAATAATAATAATCCTTGCATTTGATATAGCGCTTTTCACGTCGGGAGGACATCCCAAAGAGCTTCACAGTACACACTCTAAAGTGAATTGACTGTATATTTGTGGGCGAACGCGGCAGCCAATTGTGCACAGCAATGTCCCACAAACAGCCGTAGATTGAAAATGACCAATTTATTATTGTTTTTGGTTTTGGAGGGATTATTATTAGGCTCTGTGTGGAGTAAGGAAACTTGCCCAAGGTTTCGCCCTCTGCCTGGAATTGAACTCAGGTCTCTCACTTGCAAAGCGAGTGCTCTAACCACTGAGCTACAGGACTCCACTTTCTGTCCATCTGCAACCAGGGCTCCCTCTGTCTTCTCCACCTCCTTGACCTCTCTGCTGCTTTCAACACCGTCAACCACTCTATCCTCATCCACCGCCTCTCCTCTTACGTCAACCTCCATGGCTCTGTGTTTGATTGGTTCAGATAGTACCTCTCACACCGCCTGCACTTCATCTCCTCAAACAGTTTCCCCTCTAGCCCCTGGACCATCATGTGCGGTGTTCCTCAGGGCTCTGTCCTTGGTCCCTTCCTCTTCAACATCTATATGCTCCCTCTTGATGACATCATCCGCAGACATGGGGTCAACTTCCACATGTATGTGGATGACACCCAACTCTACCTCGTTGCCTCCATCCTTGACTCCAAGACCACTGCTGTCCTGACAGATGTCTGTCGGACATCAAGTCCTGGATGAGAGCTAACTTTCTTCAGTTGAACATCAACAAGACTGAGGTTCTCCTGATTGGTTCCCGTCAGTGCCTCCTCACCTCAGGCACTGAGAGCATCACCATCTATGGTTGCAAACTCCACCTTACTAAGCCAATCCAGAACCTTGGGGTCTTGATTGACCCTCAAATATCCTTTCTACTCCACCATGACCATCTCTGCCTTCCCCCACCTCCGCGATTTTGCCCGGCTCCGACACTGTCTCACACCGCAGGCCACCAAAATCCTCATACACACCTTCATTACATCGAGGCTCGACTACGCAAATTCACTGCTTGTCGGCCTCCCCAACTCCTCCCTCCAGAGGCCGCAGCCCATGACCGCTCTCCGTGACCCTATCACCCCCATTGTTGCCCAACTTCACTGACTTCCCATCACACAAAGGATACAGTTCAAGATCCTGGTCCTCACCTTCAAAGCCCGCCATGGTCTTGCTCGCCCCTACCTCTGCGACCTCCCAACCCCCTACCATCCTGCCCGCTCCCTCCGCTCAGCAGGCTCCGGCCTGCTTCACATCCCCCGCCTCACTCCCCCACTATCAGCAGGCGAGCCTTCAGCCACTCTGCATCCACCATCTGGAACTCCATCCCGCAGTCTCTCCGTCTCGCCCCCTCCCGCGCCATCTTCAAGACCCACCTCAAGACCCTCCTCTTTGATCGTGCTTTCAATTTCCCTGCTTCCACCCCTGCCCTCCTCCATCCTGACCCTCTGCTCGGGTTTGTAACTCTGTCTGGCCAGTGCCTTGGGACGTCCTCCCAACGTGAAATGCGATATACAAATGTAATTTTGTTGTTGTTGTTAAAATCGCTGCCTTAATATTTAAGATCATACATTATTTTGAAACTAGACTTAATTTGCAAGGCAATTTTCCACAGTTCTTAGGCAGTCCCGCAGAAAATCGGCTTCCAAACGTTTTAGTCTTAAATTCCAAAAATTCAACTCAATCTTATCTTTTAAGATAATGGAATATAACGAATTGGAGGCAATTCACTTCACAGTATATTCTGTGAGGCGCTTTGAGACATCTCGAAGACATGATAAATGCAAGGATTATTATTATTATTGTTGTTGATGTGCTGTTTCTTGTCCTGTTTAGAACCATCTCTGCATCCTCGGGTTGTTGGCCTTTGAGGCCACAGTATTTCGCCACCAGCTGTACTACAGGCTGCACAATGGGCTCAAACCTCCTATAACAGGAACCCTTTTTGGGAACATCACCCGGTTTCACCTTGACGATGGGCTGATGAACTGCATCCGATATTTTGTGAACTATCTCTTCTACAAATTTGGGCTGGAGGTACAGCTGCTCTCTACTGCTCTCTGAACTCTGAAACTACTTAACATTTCATTTAATGCTGTTGGAGTGTTTAAAGTTGTATTGTATTTATCGGGGTCAAATCCTCCCAGGCTGACCGGTCAGGGGAGATTTCAGGCTCATGAACCATGAAAAGCGCTATATCAAATGCAAGGATTATTATTATTATTATTATTAATAGGTTGCACCAAGCTGCCATCTTTACACTGCTGATGTGTAGCAAAGCGCTGTCGCAACGACATCTCAAAGTGCTTCACAGAATATACTCAACGATGTCATAAGGCACTATATCAAATGTTAGGGTGATAATATTATTATTAGAGGACGGTGGGGGTGGGGGAGTGGCATCCGGTGGACACTGTTGGTGACATAACCTTGTGTTCCTCGCTTCTCTTCTCAGATCTGCTTCATGTTGGCTGTAAACCTCATTGGACAGCGCATGGACATGTATGCAGGTGTCCACGCCCTGTGGCTGGTGGCTGTGCTCTATCGGCGCCGGAGAAAGGCCATCGCTGAGATCTGGCCAAAGTATTGTTGCTTCATGGCCTGCATCATCGTGCTCCAGTACCTGCTGTGTATCGGGATCCCTCCAGTGCTCTGCAAAGGTACAGCCCCCAAATCATTGGGCGGTGTCAGTGAGCACAGCTTAAACGGTTTTGAAGCGTTGATTTTTGGTTGGTTAGGGCTCATTTTTCGATTGCTTGTCTCAAGGGGAATAAAACATAAGAATTGTCCCAAACTATATACTGTGCCGCAACTCCCTGTAATGCAACCTGACTTATTTAAATTCCTCTTTTTAAATGACCTGGACTACATTAACGGTGCTTTGTGGGCGAACACGGCAGCTAACTTGCACAACAGCAACAAATTGTTGGCCAGGACAATGGGATTTAACAGATGTGTAATAGTGTTGAAGTCAGATTTTATTCATGTAAGCCTGATTTAATTTTGAGCCTTAGAATGTTTGCAGGTCTAGGGAAAGTCTTGGCTCCCAGGCTGACCTATTTTATACATGTGTGTATTCTCTTTACAGACTACCCTTGGAGTACAGACAGCAGTCTGATCTTAAATCTCATTAAGTGGCTGTATCTGCCAGACTTCACAAAGAGACCCAACGCGCTGTTCCTGATGTGTAAGTAATAAACAACAGAGAGCTCTTGTTTCTTTTCACTCAGTCACGAGATGTGAAATTCCCATCTAGTTTAGTTCCAGATTTGAAGTTGGAGTCAGTTTTGAGTTCAGAGTCAGACAAAGATTGGAATCGTGAATTTATTTGGGAATCAACTTCAGATTGGAAGTCAGGCTTGGATTCTGGCTAGGATCTGGATTCAGTCGGACCTTTAGATTTAGTCTGGGATTTGAATTCTCTCTGGGTTTTGGATTCTGTTTGGGAATTGGATTCTTGAAATTTTGAAACAGCGCCTTTCATGTCAGGAGGACGTCTCAAAATGTTTTACAGGATTCATTGTAAGGTGTAGTGACTCCGTATTTTGTAGGCGAACACAGTGCACAAAATTGGCTGTCGTGTTCACCTACAACAACAACAACAACAACAACAACAAGATTCCATTTATTGAGCGCCTTTCACGTCGGGAGGACGTCCCAAGGCGCTGATAACCTACGAAAAACACAGTCGCTACAAATTACAGTAAATCATGTGAAATGCTACGAGGCGTGCTCCCAACATGAAAGGCGTTGTGTCAAATGCAAGTGTTATTATTATTATCATCAAAGGTGGGGTTCAGTTCCATTTTTATCTTTCTCTCACTGTGCTGAGAATTAATGACTTTTGTTCCTCCAGATGACTTCCTGCTCCTGTTATTCGCATCAATACAATGGCAGGTCTTTGAGGATGAGAACACCACGTCCATTCGGATGATAGCTGGGGACAACGTGGAAATCAGCCGTAGTTTAGACCCAGCCACCATCAACCAATATATCCCTGTGCCTAACTTCCTCCATTGTAGGTAAGAGATCAACTGAGACAAAAAAGCCTTCTTCATCCAAAGCTCTGGTGTGGGGTTGAGACCTGCAGTGTAAAATTACAAATATCCCATGGGTTCTGCTATTTTGTTTAGAAAATTAGGCATCAGTAGTTATCAGCAAAATCACGGTGAAATGCGCAGTGCAAGCGCAGGGTAAGTGTTAGCACGAGCGAAATCTTAGGCAAGTTTCCCTACTCCTCTGTTTACCTAGCAGTAAGAGGAGCCCGGCTGTTAGTCGATTGGCGGATCCCTCCCCAAAAAAACATTTGGTCACTTAATCCATGACTGTTCGTGAGACACAGCCGTACGCAATTTGCTGCCGCGTTTCATCCACAAAATATACAGTCAACTCACGTTACGGTATATTCTGTGCAGCATCTTGAGACGTCACAACGATATAAGGCGCTATATCAACTGCAAGGATTATTATTATTGCCTCTTACCTCTTGCCTCCTGGATTTATTACAGATGTGTTTGATCATTATTCTGCCTTTCCTCTAGGTCGTACTTAGACATGCTGAAAGTGATCATCTTCAGCTACTTGTTCTGGTTTGTTCTCTGCCTGATCTTCATCACCGGGACAATCAGGATCAACATCTTCTGTATGGGCTACCTGGTGGCCTGTTTCTACTTCCTGCTCTCCGGAGCACAGCTCCTCCTGAAGCCGGTCAAGGTCATCCTCAGGCAGTGGGACTACCTCATCGGTTACACCATACTTGTGATCGTGCTGAAGAATTTCCTTTCAGTAGGTACCACTCACAGTGTCTACCCCACTAACGTTGAAAAATAATAATAATTAATAATAATCCTTGCATTTGACATAGCTCCTTATCACGTTGTTGAGACGTCTCAAAGCGCTTCACAGAATATATTAAAGTGTAGTGACTGTGTATTTTATGGGCAAAAAGCTGCAGCCAATTGCACACAGCAGTGTCACACAAACAGTCGTGGAATAAATTACCATTTTTTTTTAGGGATTATTACCCCCAGAAAGTGATCTGCCAATTGATTAAGAACTGCTAGGTAAACAGAAACTTGCCTAAGGTTTTGCCCCACTTGGGAATCGAACCCAAGTCCTCTCGCTTGCGAGGCTCCTGCTCTCTCAGGAACCCGTCTTGATAAGTTCCAGCTCTGGTTCCATTGATGAAGGTCAGATGGTATCAAAAACACTGCTTCATCAGCCAGAGTCCCTTCTAAAAAGATTCCGCAACAATTTGTCATGATCACAAATGTTAAGACAAAATGGTTTCACAAGTTAAGAATAGGAATTTGGGGCAATGTGGGGGACAACAACAAATTACATTTGTAATAGTGCCTTTCACATCAAGAGGACATCCCGAGGTGTTGATGTAAGGTTCACCAGAAAGAGACTTTCATACACAATTCAAAGATTAATGCTTTAACACATGCAATTATTATATTGTTAAATTACATTAAAGCAGTAAGATTCAACGAAACTAATATTAGCTGATTCCATTAGGGAAATCGCTGACCACCGGCTGTCTCACAACTGTTCCTCCTACTATAATTCAGTTTTATCCCTCTGAGCTACCTATATTTATACCACCTCAATGCCTATCTATCCCTTGCCCTCCTGGTCATGAGATCACCCTTACTGTGGCCTCTGAATTTCACGTGGTCTGACCTAAAACTTAGTTATTTTTCTATGTTTTCCTAAGAACAGGACCATTAGTCGCTAAAAGGGATTTTCCTTCCTCCCTGTTAGAGTCTTCACAAAGACAGGTCCCTGTATCAAAGACAACCATTTGCTTCCAGCCCCTGATATAATTGTTTGACTGTCTCGTTTCTCACTAAAATTCACTAAGGTTTGGAAAGACAACTCCCAACAAGGAGTGTTCCCATCCCACTACTAGCACCTGCTGACTACCACTAAAATCATTATATGCTATATCAGCCAATTTGTGGCACATGTCACCAAGCATGATGGTTGTATCAAGTAGCTAAATCAGTTGGTTAGTACAATATCACATCTAAATTCTACCTAAATCACGCTATTCCTACACTGACAAACCTGCCCGTCCTTCCTGTTGCTGACAGACATGCACTTTACAGGAGGATCACTGGATAATGGGTCAAGGAACGGTATCCGATTAATTCATCTCTGGTTTTTTACTTTTAATTCAAATTCCATTGGAATCATAGAAACTTGATTTTCCGTGCACAAGGTAAAACCATTCAGTTGGCCTATCCCACCTATAAAACCTTGAGAATCGCTTTGGGACGTCCTCCTGACGTGAAAGCCACTATACCAAATGCAAGGACGTCAGGGATTTAATATAAATATTAGCCTGTGAGTTAGCCACACATCCTGGAGTTGGAGACAACATACTCTAAACTGATGAAGCTGAAATCCATCGACCGTCTTTCAGTTTGTGGCTTTTAACCACCGGTGAGCGAGACTGCAGGGTCCGTAAACTCAGCATAGATTCCTGAGGCTGGCAGGTCAATGCCGGTTCCAGGGTATCTTAAACCATCCCTTGTCCCCATGGGGGCTGGAAGGAAGTAGGTGATGTGTTGGAAGTCAAGGATTGGATTGTTTCACCCCTTTGTTTCTCGCGCGTGTTTTTGTCTCACCCTTGCTTTCTCTGGTAACTGTTGAGGGCAACAAATAAGCAGTGTGTTACTTGTTGTGTGGGCAGATTGGCTCCTGTGTGTACCTGAAGCTGTTGCTGAAGAGTCACTGCTGGCTGGTGCAGACCCTTGGCATGGCCTGCACCATCAAGGAGTACGAGCTGCGTAAGTAACAATAACAATCCTCCCATTTTATATGGAGCTTTATCACGTCAACATGTCATAAAGTGCTTCACAGGATAAAATGTAAAGACTGTGCGTTTGTAGGTGAACATGGCAACCAGTCTGTCCATAAAACTATATGGTAAAGAGCCTTTGCTTCTTAATCTAGTTTCAGAGAACTTTCTTAGGCTATTCTCACTGGAGCTAATAAGGCTAAGGGCTGATCTCTCCGAGGTTTTCAAGGGCTCCCGACAGTGCAAAACTCACATAAGCCTCCCTTTTATAAATCGTATAATCACCTAAGTCGAACATTCACCCAACGTGATGGTTGATAGGGAGGGATATTAAGATGTTTGGGGAGCGAGTAAGGCTATGTAAGAATATATAGTATGATAATATATAAGGACATATATGATATATAATAAAATATATAATATATAAGAATACAATATGTATATGTAGGAATCTTACAGTATATAAGAGTCTAAATGGGATAGAGAAATACTTTCAGGTATAAAACAACAGGATAATAGGGCAATTTTAGGATAGTAGGAAATATTTCTGTACACAGTGTGTAATTAAGAATGGGATAGCTTATTCAGAGAGGGTTTGAGACCAGGATACTGGACACGTTTCAGAAACAGCCTTGATACTATTTTGGGATCAGGGGAGGTTGGCACATTGAGGAGGACAAGATCAAATGGGCAAGAGGCTTCTTCATCTGAGGCTCTGCTGTGACCTTGCGGGAATGTCTCACTGTATGATTGTGTGTGTGTTACTAGCGGACGCGGAGAGCCTGAAAAAGGGGTGTGAGGTCCCAGAGGAAGAAGCTGGTATTATGTGGGACAGCACCTGTTTCCTCTTTCTCCTTGCCCAGAGGAGGGTCTTTCTCAGTTACTACTTCCTGTACGTAGTGGCGGACCTGAATGCCTCCAAGATCCTCGCAGCCAGGTAAGGATTTCCCCCAGCCAGCCCAGCCCACTCCACCATCGGCAGTCAGGCTTCCAGTTTCTGTGCCCCTACCATATAAATGTTACCAGACATTGTGTTCTGTTTTCGCAGAGAAGTTGAGTTATTCTCTTTCCACAGAGGAGCTGAGTTATTTGAAGCCAAGATTAAGAAAGGAGTCTCTGCCCGGCTGGTCCAAGAGAAGAAATCCATGGAGCAGCTCAAGAAACAGTAAGATTAGCCACAACCACACGGACAACACCAGCACATTAAATGTCCACATACAGCACCCCATGACTGCACCAAACAGACTGCGCCCTACAAACTGCGCGTGACAGACAGCTGTATTTTACGCCTGTCTGCTAGCTTGATTCAAGTGCTCTGGATGCTACCCTGCTTGAGGGGCACTATATAAATGCACATTGTTGTTGTTGATTCACAATTTCGCCTCCAACCTAGGATGGAGCAGATTAAGGCGAAACAGGAGAAATACCAGGCGTCGAAAGCCAAGGTCCCGAAACCCAACAATGATTCAGAACATTTGCTGGACGGGGAGCAACTGCAGATTGAAGACCACCAACCAGGCAAGACCTTGCTCTTCGACCGTGCCTTCAGCTCCCCTCTCGACTCTCTACCCCCTCCTCGCTCCCTCCCTTCCCTCCCCTCACCCTGACCATTTCTCCCCTGCTCGGGTCCCGACCCAACTGTCCAGCGCCTTGGGACATCCTCCCGACGTGAAAGGCACTCTATAAATGAAATCTTGTTGTTGTGTTGTTGTCTCATTCTCTGTGGGGTGAAGGTGTGACTGTGACACTATTCCTAACAGAGTCTGTCTGGAGCACTCACCAGCTGCAGTGCTTGGCTGTAGAGTCAAGTTGCCTCGCGACCACTCACTGCCAAGGCTCACATGTGAACATTTGTGTGGGTGCGTGCATGAGTGTGTGTACGAGTGTGTGTGGGAGGGGTAACGGAGGGCAACCAACACCTGGGGAACCACAACCCAGAGAGAAGAGACCAGACCAGGAGCAGAGAAGGATAATAATAATAATAATTAATAATAATCCTTGCATTTCATACAACGTCTCAAAGCGCTTCATGGGATATACTGTAAAGTGGAGTGACTGTGTATTTTGTGGGCAAAACGCAGCAGGCAGTTGCGCACAGCAATGTCCCACAAACAACCATGAAGTGAGTGACAAATTTAATTTAGGGGATTACTTGGCCAGGATACTGGCAGAGAGAAACTCCCTTGGTACAAGTGCAGATCCCCTGCCTTGCCCGTCGGTGATCAGGCCTTCAGCCTTTCTGCCCCTACCCTCTGGAACTTCAACCCAGGATCTCTCCACTGCTCCCCCTCCCTTGCATCCTTCAAGGCCCATCTCAAGACCTTCCTCTTTGATTGTACTTGCAGCCACCTTGCCACCTTCCCCTCCTCCCCCACCCTCCACGCTTCTTGACTCCAACTCCCAGTTGCAAATCCTTAACTGTCCAGCATGTTGGGATGTCCTCCCACCGTGAAAGGCGCTGTATAAATGTAATTTTGTTGCTGTTGACAATATTTGTCCATATGATTCTGAGCATCAATTGTCCACAGGTGACGACACAGGTGAAGAAAAGAAGAAGTGGTGGCAGCCATGGATCACACACTGTAGCAGTGAGTGATGTTAGCTCAGCTTTCAGTCCCATCAACAGGCTTTCCAACAAGACGTGGATCCCTCCAACACCCACTGCATATGGCAACAATAATAATCTTTATGTTTGATGTAGAATCTTTTCCGGCTCGAAATGGTTCACAGGAATTTACTGTAAAATGTGTAATTTGTGGGAAAACCCGGCAAACAATTTGCGCACGGCAATGTTCCACAAACAGCCGTGAAAGTGAGTGACCAATTTTATTTGAGGAATTGTTGGCCAGGACACAGGAGAGAGAAACTCCCTTCTTTTTTCGAATAGTGCCTTGGACTCTTTAACGTCCACCTGAACAGGCGTTCAGGGCCATAGTTTAATGTCTCATCTGAAGGATTGCACCCCCAACAATGCAGAGCTCCCCCAGCACTGTATGTGAGCGTGAGTTCAAAGTACCAACATGGAGCTTGAACCCACAAGCTTAGATAATTATTTGGAGAGGACATGTTTGCAGGGCTATGGGGAGAGAGTGGGGTAGTGGGATTGATTTGGAGAGCTCTTTTCAAAGAGCCGGTACAGACACGATGGGCCAAATGGCCTCCTTCTGTTCTGTATAATTCTATGAGAAGAGAGAGTGCTACTGACTGAGTTATGTATAGTTACTGTGCTATGCAATACCACATTGAGGAACAGTTACCATTGAGTAATAATATTAATACTCTTCTGTAGCTAGTGATATATGCCGAGCAACAGTTACTATTTGTTGCTCTTGTCTCTCTCTGTTTCAGAGTTCTCTCTCTCTCTCCCTGTGCAATAGCTCTTGCCGTTAAGCAGTGTATAATGTACAAACTTCTTGCATCTGTTCCTTTTTTTTCATCAGTGATTCAAAGCGGGAGTTATTACCTGTTCGACACAGACAGTGAGGATGAGGGTAAGGAGGAGGAGGAAGAAACGCCCAAAAATGAGGCCAAGAAATCCTCAGCATTTCAGGTGTGTGGTTGGTGTCCTGCCCTCCCTGGCCCTGTCCAGTCCTGCCCCCCATGGAAATTCCTGAGATGTTTGTTAGGTCAGGATAGGAAGGGGTATGGAGCAAAGGCAAATAATTGTAGTTGAGGTACAAATCATCTAATAGAATGGAGGAACGGGTCGAGGGGCTGTATAGTCTACTTCTGCTCCTATGTTTCCTGATTGCAGTTGGCTTATATCGCCTTAATCAAAGACTCAAAAGCTGCCGTCAAAGAAAGAGACAAAGAGCTCAAGCAGCTGAAGAGAGCTGAGCAGAAGAAGGAGAAGCTGGAGAGGAAGAAGCAGCAAGGTAATATCTCTGATAACCCCCACCCAGCCTCAATGGCAATACGAGCTCTCAACAGCTCCACTGGTGCAAGCACAGCCCAGGGGAGCCTAGACTGGGAAGCTTAACAGGAGTGTGTCAGAGAGAAAGAGAGAGAGGAGAGAAAGAGTGGAAATAGATAACAGCAACAACAGTAATAAATTGTATTTATATCGCGCCTTTCACGTCGGGAGGATGTCCCAAGGCACTGGGGAATGAGGGGTTTGCGATCAGAGAGGGCAAGGTGTGTGGAGGAGGGTACCGAAGGCACAATTGAAAAGGAAGATCTTCAGACATCCCTTGAAGGAGGCAGGGGAGGGAGGGGTGAGGCAGAGGGGATGGAGTTCCAGAGAGTGGGGGTGGATAGAAGAACAGGTAGAAACAGACACATTAATCTGAATGATTTTTGTTTGTAATCATGGAACAAATAAATAATAATACTCATTGCATTTGATATTAGAACCTGTAATGATTCTTAAATATAGTGACTGTGTATTTTGTAGGCCAGCACACAGCTAATTTGCACACAGCAATATCCCACAAACAGCCATGGAGTGAACAATCAATTTATCAAAAGATTATTGGTCATTGGGAGAAATTCCCTTCTCCTTTTGAGAAGTGTTTTGGGATCTTTAAGGTCTACCCAAACAGGCAGACCGGACCTCATTATGAGGGCTGATCCAAAGGACATCCTTTGGAGAGTTCTCCCAGCACTGTACTAGAGTGTCAGCCTAGACCAGGATGGTTCAATTTCATCCACGCCTCTTCCGTTTCACCTGGCCCACCCACAACTCCATAACTCATGTTATGTTTCTGGAAGGAAAACACAAAAATATTGCTTACCCGGCCCACAGATGTTTTTCAAATAGGGCATCTGGCCCTCGGCAGCCAAAAGGTTAGACCACCCTGCCACCTAGATCGTGAGCTCAAAGTCCTAAAATGGGGCTTGCAACCCACAGCCTTCTGCCCCAGAGACTAGAGTCCCACCAACTAAACCAGGCTGAAACATTTACACTTTGAATCCTAGCATTGAGCTAACGTGAGACTGACTGTGTGTCTGTGACTGATTCAGGCATTGAGAGAGCAGACTCCAGTGAGGATGAATTGGACGCACCCAGTATCGTTGACGACAGCCCAGCTCAACCAGGTCAGACACATGTCCAGGTCAATTTCACATGCAAGTGAATTCCCTACTAAATTATTATCAAACTGTAACCCGGCACTGGACTATAACGTGTTTGTAAAGAATACAAGAATCTGGTAAACAGATAGAACTGAGGCTGAAGGGCCTATAAGGGTTGCTAGAACCAAAAATGGATCAAGTCTGACTGCGGAGGATAAAACACAGTGAAATGGAAATTCAAGCTTATTATAGCTTTATTTGTTATGATATAGCTCAAACTCTGAATATTTTGGGAAGAACCTATGTTTTTGCACCAATTGTAATAAAAACTAACCTTAGAATGAATCTGATCCATAGCAAGGTATTGTTTCAGATATACAGACAATGTCAGCGTCAGACTCAAACAGTGTCCTCACACCAGAACCAATGTGATTGAGAGACCTGATAGAATAATAATAATTGTTGTGTTTGATATGGAGACTTCTCACATCGCCGAGACATCTCAAAGTGCTTCACAAGGTTTGAGGGTGAAATCCTCACAGGTTTAGATTTAATTCTATTGTTTTAAGAGCTGTGGAGACCCGACTCAAAATTTAGATTGAAGTTAGGAATTTTCAAAAATGTCATTTTTTTGTCTAGCAATTCCTGTGTTCCTATAATAATAATAATTATAATTATTGCATTTAATATAACGCCTTATCACATATTTGAGATGTCTTAAAGAATATATTGTAAAATGGATTGACTTTTTGTGAGTGATACGCCTATATTCCTAAACTGATCTTCAGATGTGTCTCATTCATGGTATGTCCTCTTGTTACATCCCCTCACAGATAACCTGCTCCAAAGAGGGCTGAATATCCTGAGCTTTGCCTGGATGTTTGTCCAAGCCCTGCTGGACAGCCTGATTGAGCTGGTCAGGTCTATTTCCAAGGATTACACGGATGTCTCCACTGTTCTCAGGATTGAGAGATCCATTTTAAGGAGCGAATTGAAACAGGTATTTCTCTCTTATCCTTCTGCAAAGCAAATTCCTGTACATTCTCAGCTTTATACCTTCTTACGTTCAATCCAGTAAAACACTCACTCGGAAATCTGGGCCTATTTTGAGGCATTACTTCCCCTCTTATCCTCAGTCTGACGCTGCTGCAGGAAGTCAGGGCGCTGAGACACTTGCCTGTGTGAAGGTCACTATGTAACTAACAATACTGTAATAATAATCTTTGGTACAGCGCCTTTCATGTCATGAGGACATCTAAAAGTGCTTTACAGGATTTACCATGAAATGGACTAAAGTGTTTGTAGGCAAACATTTGCATATACTAATCTACCAAAAATAACAATGAAGTGAGCGACCAATTTTATTTGGGGGATTGTCGGCCAGGGCACCGATAAAGAAAAATTCTTTTCTCATTTCAAATAGTGTCATGGGATCTTTAACGTTCACTTGAACAGGCAGACCGGACCTTGGTTTAACATCTCATCTGAAAGATGGGACCTCTGACAATAGAACAAAGTAAAACAAAGAGCTGGTTACATCTGATAACGATAATAAAACCTGTCCTTACTATTTAGGGTAAGTTACCGACCCAGGACAGCATCTATCGCTTTTACAACAACAAACTGAGGAGACAAGCTTCCTTCGACTATGTTGAGGCTGCGGATGAGTTGATAACAGACAGACGTGAGACAACGCGATTCCCAGGCTTCCAGATGGCAGCCAGTACTGATTCCATCTTCTCTAGAGAGAGCAGTTTGTCCAGGTACAAAAACAACACATAGATAGGAGATCAAATACACTTCAAAGGGTTAGAATATCTACAAACCAGCACAGACTTAGTGTCAGAAGAGGGGAAGTGAATAGACCATTCACAATTAATTTAACATGACACAGAGAGCTGTGACCCTACAAGTCATAGCCCTAACGGGTGGTTTATAATGCACTCATTGCTTTGGGGGTGAGGAGATCTCTGCTCACTTTCCCAGCCCATTCCAGCACTGCTCAAGTAATAACATAAGCCCTTCCCATGTGTCCTGTTGCCTTATGTCAAAGGCACTGTAGATCAGATTGGTTCAGATGAAGAAAGCCATTATTATAATAATAATAATAATCCTTGCATTTGATATAGCGCCTTATCACGTCGTTGAGACGTCTCAAAGCGCTTCACAGAATATACTGCAAAGTGGATTGACCGTGAAAAGCATTAGCCGATTGCGCACACCCAGTGTCCCACAAGCAATCGTGGTTTGACTTTTCAGCCTATCTGATCTCATCCCTCCAGAACACCCAACTTACTGTCCTCCCATCACAGCATCAAGCTGTTTCTGCACTGAGTCCTGACCTCAACCACCCTTTCCAACAATCAGTTCCAGTTGTTAAAATCACCCTATAAGTAAAAGTAAAACTTAACTGATGTCTGTCCTGAAATTGTGTGCAGGCGGACTAGATCTTAAATGTGTGTTATTGTGCATGATAAGGTCCTGTGATTGTCTTGTTTGGATCTCCTCTCTAGTTGTACCACTGAAGGAACCACATTGTATTCAAGGCAGACGACCATCGAGTTCCTGGATGACCAAGATGAGGCCAGCCTGGGTCTCCCGAAGCCGAGTACTCGAGTAAAGTGGAAACTCCAGAAGATGGCCAATGTTGATCTCTCCTCCTCAATGGAAAATGTCCTCTCCAGGTAGCAACAGATTCTGGTTAGAGATGCCCACTTATAATAACGATCATGATCATAATCACAGCTATAGAGCCCTGCCTCATAACTATTTCTGGTAACCATTTCCCAGCTGTTGATTAACATGGTGTACGTCTTAAAATTGCTCCTCGCTGATCTAAACCTATGACCTCACGCCCTGCTGCCTCCATGTACCTGAATGGATGGTCAGCTCTTCTCTGGCTTGGTTTGAGTGAATTTCTTTCCTTCTCTGTCCAGTTCGCCAACTCAGTCCAGCAACCTGAGTCTATGGCAAGGCAGAAGAGATACCATCGAGGAGGTGGGAGATGAAGATGAAGCTATGATGAGTAGCACCTTGGACATTCCGCCCACTTACAGCCTCGTCAGCCACAGTCTTGATTTCTCAACGGAGGAGTCTCACGAGGAGCTTGAGCAGGAGATGTCACAGCCTCTCACCCCTCAGAGTCGCTTGCTGACAGCCAGTGATCTGCTCCTCAACAAGTAAGAGACCTTTCGTGTTGGTTCAGGCCAGGTGTCAGCCTGGCTCCGTCGCCAGTGTTGGTAGCACTCTCAGCTCTGAGCCAGAAGGTTAGGAAGTTCAAACCCTACTTTGGGACTTTGAGTCCAAGGTTGGCAATCCAGTGTAATGCTGCACTGTTAGAGGTTACGTCCTTTAGATGACGCATTATCCCGAGGTCCTGTCTGCCTGTTCAGGTGCACGTTAAAGATCTCACAGCACCATTTGAAAAGAGAAAAGAGTTTCTCCCTCCCAATGTCCTGGCCAATAATTCTGTGGCTTGTGGAGTGATGTAGCTCAGTGGTTAGAGCCCTCGCCTCGCAAGCGAGAGACCTGGGTTTGATTCTTGGCGGGGTAAACCCTTGGGCAAGTTTCCTTACTCCACACGCCTGATAATTATCTAAAAAAAAACAATAATAATTTGGTTACTCAATCCACGACTGTTTGTGAGAAACTGCTGTACGCAATTGGCTGCTGTGTTTCACCCACTAATGTACAGTCAATTCACTTTACATTCTATTCCGTGAAGTGCTTTGAGACGTCTAGAAGACGTGAAAAGCGCTACATCAAAATGCAAGTATTATTATAATACCCCAGGTAAAAATCGTGTATTCACATCATAGTGCAAATGGTGTGTCCAAAATGAAAGTCGCTGTAAAATGTAAATTGGATTGAGAGTAATTAGGTGGGATTATCGTGGATTATTGTTAAGATTTGATGCTATAAAAATACCAGTTTGTACTGTCTCTAATGGGATCGTGCCTTATTTCAGGATGTTTCACGATTCGGACCTGGAGGAGTCTGAGCGGTTCTACCACAGATTGCCGCGCTTGCTGAAGCTGCTGTTTGCCTTGTACGACACGATGGCGGCTCAGTCAGACATGCTGTGCTACTTTGTCATCATCCTCAACCACATCGTCTCGGCCTCGGTGCTCACCCTGGTTCTGCCCGTCCTGGTCTTCCTCTGGGGAATGCTCTCCGTGCCTCGGCCCAAGAAGCGCTTCTGGATGCTGGCCATCCTGTACACTGAGGTACAAACCCACACAGCACAACACACAGACTGAGGACCCACGTGCACTGAACGACACGCTGTCCTGTGGTAACTTGGTCCTGTGGAGTCCCGTAGCATAGGGGTTAATACACTTGCCTCGCAAGTGAGAGGACCTGGGTTTGAATCCCGGGCAGGGCGAAACCTTTGGGAATTTTCATTAGTCCACACGCCTCTGTTACCAAACAGTGGTTGTTAGTCGAATGGCGGTTCACTTTCTGCGTGTAATAATCCCTTTATAACGTTTTGTCTACAAATATACAGTCAATCCACTTTACAATCTATACTGTGAAGCGCTTTGAGATGTCTCAACGATGTCCAGATTAAACTCAAATGACTGTATGGACTTCTGCTGCGCCATAGAGATTAGGAATGATGGCAGCCTCTCCCTTCCCACAGATCACAGTAGTCGTCAAGTATTGCTTTCAGTTTGGCTTTTTTCCCTGGACCACCTCAGCCGCTCGGGTCAGGAATGCCGACCAGCCCTTTTACCTCCCAAACATAGTGGGCGTTGAGAAGAAAGATGGCTACGTGCACTATGATCTCATCCAGCTCCTCGCACTGTTCCTGCACAGGTCAATTCTCAAGGTAAATACATACAGACACAGACACACTTTTGACAACCTATTAAAACTTCAGCAACCTGTCCTCTCTGCAGTCAATGGCCTGCCTGCTCTGGTATTAGTGGTCGGGCTTCAGTGTTTCTATCCTTCTGGAATTCCATCCCAGAGCCCCTCCACCTCGCCCCTCCCTTACCTCCTTCAAGGCACGTCTTAAGACCTTCCTTTATGACTTTGCCTTGGTCACCCATCCTATCCCCACCCTCCCTGCCCTTCATCCTGATCCCAATCCTCAGCTCGGGTCCAAATTCCTGACTGTCCAGTGCCTTGGGATGTCTTCCCAACGTGAAAGGTGCTGTGCAAATGTTCATTTGTTGTTGTTGTTTTAACAAGAGGTTTTCTCTCCGCTGGGAAAGTAATGCTTGTTTTAAAATCAATTTTTTCTCCCCTCCGCGGGCTGTCAGTGTCACGGGCTTTGGGACTCCCAGGACGACGTGAAGGAGAAAGACTGGACAGAGAATGGAAAGCAAGCAGGAGAGAATGGAGAAAATTCAGCCTATTGCCACATGGAGCCCCTGCAAACCATCAAATTGCAGGATGGGCTGAAGTCCGCTGGCAGCAGGAGGAGGCACAGGCGGGCATCACCTCGGACGGGTAAAGAGGGTAAGTCTGGGCGCCTCAGACCCCAAACGCTCGTAAGGCAGGAGTTGTATTAATGTTGCGTTTCTATCACTGAAGGTCAGTGGGAACGAGGAGTCTGGTTCGCACTCACCACCCTGGTCAAAGCTACTAAACACACGACTTCTGAAGTCACATCAGATTCGTAATGCGTCGATCTCTCGCTTTAATTACAGTGAACCACAGTCAATAACATTGCTCCCTGATAGTTCCTATTCCTCAGCCCAGCTCTTTGGGACTCATCCTGGAGTCTTTCCACCTCGTTCCTCCCTCCTCCTTTTAACCTATAAGACAACCACCTTTCTCTCCTCCCCTTCGCTCCAGCATCCCTCCCTCCCCCAAGCTCAGGCTTCCGGTCAATCGTGTGAAGCGTTTGAGATGTCCTTCCGATGTGGAAAATCATGATATAAATGTAAAATGATATTGTGTCGGATTAGTTACAGAGCCCAGTGAGGTGTTTGCTGTCAGTGACAGTGCGGTTAATATCCAGCCTTTTACGTTTTTCTCAGGCGAGACAAAGCCTCCGAAGAAGAAATCGACGAAGAAAAGGAAATGCTGTCAATTACCAAAGCTGAAAAAGGGGCTCTTAAAGGAGATGATGAAGGAAAAGATGAATGCGGCGAAAGGATATGCTACAGTTGTGTAAGGAGTGCTCGCTGCCTATCTGTGCCTTTACCACCTCTCCCACTGCCTCCCTGGTTCATCACTTCGCAAACTAACCCTTAATCTAGAACATAACGGCTTGAAACCTTTCGTGAGGGAGGCTGTCTCAAGCTCTTTACACTGTTGTAGAAAGTTCTGCAAGTCCATGCAATCTTAAATCCAGAGACAAAATGGCCTCATAATAACAACAACAAGTTACATTTATATAGTGCCTTTCACGTCAGGGGGATGTCCTAAGGCGCTGGGGATAGACCAAGTCTCGGTGACAGTGACTTCTGCTGGAACATGCAGGCATCGGATGAGAGCAAAGAACTGTTCACAGTTAAACAGTCTGACAACACTCGATTATACCTCCCTTCCCTGTCCACACAGTTCATATTGAGAACTCATTGTGCACCGTCCAGGCTCACATATAAATAATAACACTGGGCTGAGCGACTGGAAAACTCTACACAGCTAATGAGAAGACGTAGGAAGAATGTGGTGGGGAAATATATGAAAACATTCAGTGCTGTGTCCCGTTTCTTTAATAATAATTGTTGCATTTGTTATATAGAATTGTACAGCACAGAAGGAGGCCATTCAGCCCATCGTGTTTGTGCCAGCTCTTTGAAAAAAGCTATCCAAGTCAATCCTGCTCTCTCCCCATAGACAAACTTGTCCTCCCCACATAGTGCTTCATCAAGTCATTGAGACGTCTCAAGGCGCTTCACAGGAAACAATGTAACACATTCTCCCTGCGTCTCCTCATTCGGACGAGGAGATAACATTGTGAGATAACATTGTCTTTTCGAAGAGCGCCATAGGATCTTTAACGCCCACCTGATCAAGGGGACGGGGCTTCGGTTTAACGTCTTTTCCTTCCTGCAGAGCTCTCCAGGTCTCTCTACCGATCAGACAGTTCTTCTACGACATCATCCATCCTGACTACAATGCTGTGTGTGACGTCTATGTGTTGATGTTCCTGGTAGACGTCATTAACTTCATTGTCATTGTGTTTGGTTACTGGGCTTTTGGGGTAAGTGAGTAGATACAGTGCTTTCTCAGTGGCACTCTATGCAGTTTTAGTTGGTTAGACTCCAGCAGTTACCCCAACTCACACTCTGGGGTCCCCAAGACTTGGCTCTTGCCAACCTACGCCCGCCTAATACTTTCCGGAATTAGCTAAGCCGGATGCATCCCTCCAGGGAGAGAGTGCACATTTCATTCCAACAATCCATCTCTGGAATTTCCATGTGTAGGTGGGATGCATGGAATTTTCAGTTTGGTTTGGATACTCTTAAGCACGGTGATGGGTTTCCACACGTGTCAGACACCCGGCTGAGCCCCAAAATAGAGTAGATATAGTAACATATAAATGTATAATATTTAGTATAATACGTGTACATATAAATAGTAGGATTTAGGAAGACTGGTTTGAGAAACAGGCGATCGGTTGAGAAGGGACTCAACCACAAGTTGCTAACGATGAATCATTTCCCTTGTTTAGAAGCATTCCGCTGCCGCGGACATCACAGAATCTCTCTCCGAGGATCAGGTCCCCGAAGCCTTTCTGGTGATGCTGCTGATTCAGTTTGCCACTATGATTGTGGACCGGGCTCTCTACCTCCGGAAAACCGTCCTCGGAAAGGTTGTCTTCCAAGTCATCCTGGTGTTTGGCATCCATTTCTGGATGTTCTTCATCCTCCCTGGGGTGACCGAGAGGTGAGCTACATCAGCACTTAGCAACAGCTGTTTCATCGTAAATCGGGAGAAATTGCTGGATTCATCCAATGGTCTGATAGGACCAGCACTGAGCGACATAGACTAAAATATCGCAATTTCCAATCCCGCGCTGTGCTGAATTAGCTGAGCTCAGCCGGGGCAGCACTTAAGACTAAGAATAATCCTTGCATTTGATATAGCGTCTTATCATGTCTTTGACAAGAGTATGAATTAACTGTATATTTTGTGGACAAAACACGACAGCCAATTGTGCACAGCAGTGTCCCATAAACAGCATGGATTGAGTGACCAAATTATTATTTTTTAATTGATAATAATTAGTTGATGATAATCCTTGCATTTGATATCATCATGTCATCGGGATGTCTCACTTCAACACGATAAGACTATTTAAGCATAGCCAAGGTTCTGTACACTCTGAAATGCTAAGTAAACAGAGTAAAATTAGACCCAGGTGGAATTTCTTCTACCTTATGGTCTGTTCGGGAGTAGCTCTGAGATCTTAAAATACTTTGTTCCCTTATTTTTTTAAGCTTTAAACATTTTCACCGAAGTCAGTGGAGTTGTAGACTGAATATGTAAGTGTGCTGAGAATCTGTTTAGCAGTAGATGTGAGACCATGTCTAATCTCCTTTGTGATCTCCAATTGCAGGAGGTTCAATCAGAACTCTGTGGCTCAGCTTTGGTACTTTTTCAAATGTATTTACTTTGGCCTCTCCGCGTATCAGATCAAATGTGGCTACCCAAACCGGGTGCTTGGCAACTTCCTGACCAAGAGTTACAACTACCTCAACCTGTTCCTATTTCAAGGGTAAGTGATATTATGTGAAGGAAACAGCTCTGTGACAGGCTGAGAAAAGGACTGGATAGTGCCAAATGTAGTAATAATAATAATGCTTCTATTTGATGTAGCACCTTATCACGTCGTTGAGATGTGCCAAAGCACTTCTGAGGATTTACTGTGACATGTAATTACTTTGTTGAAAGCAAATACAGCAGCTAAGCTGCACATGGCAATGTCCCACAAACAGCCATAAAGATAACACAGCTTATCCTGGTCTACATTATCTCGTCCCTTTAGAAACATGAAAAAATTAAAGAATCCAACGCTTACTCCAGCATGCAATCCTAACTCGTTATTACATTGACAGAGATAACTGTATATTTCTCCTATAGATTTCGGATGGTTCCCTTCTTGACAGAGTTGAGGGCAGTGATGGACTGGGTGTGGACAGACACTACGCTCAGCATTTCGAGCTGGATTTGTGTAGAGGATATCTACGCTAACATTTTCATCCTGAAATGCTGGAGGGAATCCGAGAAGGTGAGCAGCAAGATGCCTGGGGTTGGTGAGAGCCAACATGGCCTTGAGCATTCCTGAATCTTTTTGCCTGTAAGTCCTCCCACCATTTAATAATAATAAAAACCCTTACGTTGGGTATGGAACCTTTTACGTCAGGAAAATGTCTCAAATGCTTCACAGGAATTACTGTAAAGCGTAGTGACTGTGTGTTCTGTGGACAAACACGGCAGCCAATCTGTGCACAGTAAATATCGAGCAACCAACCCAATTTTATTTGGGGCTCTCTTTTCTAATAGTGCCATTAGAAAAGAGAAAATTTTGTCATGGAATCTTTAATATCCACCCGAAAGGGCCTTGGTTTAACGTATCATTTGAACGACAGAACTTCCAACAATGCAGCACTGCACTGGAATGTCAGCTTAGACAAAATGAGGTTCAAGTCCTAACGTGGGGGCTTGAATCCACAACCTCCTGACTCAGAGGCATGAGTGTTACTAACTCAGCCAGGCTGGCACAATATGCCAGGACTCACTGTACAGGGTAAAGCACATTGACAAGCTGCCAAAGATTGGTCAGTGCTCTTCAAACCAAGGCTCATTGTGAGGCAGGGCCATCAGAAGCCTGGGGGAAATCTGAGGGGTGGAACTGTTGAACATAAAAGTCATTGGCATTTATGGAGAACTGGAGAATTACATTTATACATTCTTTCCCGTTCGCAGAGATATCCTCAGCCTTCAGGACAGAAGAAGAACATGGTGGTGAAGTACGGAATGGGTGGTCTCATTATCTTCTCACTGATCTGCATCATATGGTTCCCATTGCTCTTCATGTCACTGGTCATGTCAGTGGCTGGAGTGACCAACCAACCCCTGGATGTCTCCATTGAAATCAGCATTGGTGGATATGAGGTAAAGCACATCTCTATCAGGGGATGTTCCTCAGGCAGGTATCTGACCGCATCTCAATGTAATGTCCTGACATCCTGGACCTTCTTAACTCTCTTGGCTATAAGACTGCTCACAGTCAAATGTTCTGCCAACACTTATGGGGAGAAGGATGGAAATATGGGACTAGGCTGGGGAGCAGGAAAGGGAAGAGGCTTTGTTGCTGTCACTCACCAACAAACCGCAATAAAACAGCACTTTAGGATGTCCGCCTGACATGAAAGGCGCTGAACAAATGTAATTTGTCGATGTTATTAATGCAACATACTTTGCTGAAAATATGAACTTTAAAAGGCCAGTTTTCTTCCCCCATAGTTTCATTGGTAAAGCCATTGTCTGATCATGTAGTGCCTATCACCTGTCCATGCCCCCTTTCTTTCGCCCAACTCAGCTCAACAAAGAATTCAGATGAAACCTCCAACCTCTCGGTTCAGTTCAACATAGAGCCATGTTGTTACCAACTGAGCCACACGCAAGTTTGGAAAAATCTCTGGGTCAGCGCTGAATTAGCTGATCTCAGCCGGCGAATACGTGTTGCATGCGAGTCTGTTGAGTGTGTGAGTGAGCGTAGTTGGTGTGGGGATTGATCTGATCACATTGTCCCCTGGGTGAGAGTCCTGGTGCCCAGAGCTGAACCCCACAGGAAGCAGAACTCCAGGAGAAATAAGGGTGATTGAGAGGGGAAAACATTCAGTAAATGTTACCCAGAGAAATCATTGCTAACCTCTCGGCCTCTCTGTGTCCAGCCTCTGTTTACAATGAGCGCCCAGCAACAGAACCTGAGGCCATTCTCCCATGCGGCATATGACCAGCTGACTGCCCAGTACACTCCGTTTCCGGTGAGTTTCACATTGACCGCCTGAGTGAAGATAACAATAATCCTTGTATTTAATATAGTGCCTTATCACGTCGTTGAAAAGCCTCAAAGAGTTTCGCAGAATATACTATAAAGCGAATTGCCTGTGTAGTTTGTGGGTGAAACGCAGCAGCCAATTGTGCACAGCAGTGTCCCACAAACAGTCATGGTTTGAGTGACCAAATTATTATTTTTAAAAAAAATTTAAAGAATTATTACCCCCGGAAAAGCGATCTGCCAATTGACTACCAACTGGCTTCCTGTTTACTGTTAGGTAAACAGTCATCTGGAGTAAGGAAACTTGCCTAAAGGTTTGCCCAGACCGGAAATCAAACCCGAGTTCTCTCCCTTGTGAGGCGAGTGCTCCAACTGATAAGCTACACAAGTCCTAATAGCTTCAGAGGCAAGTCTTGGAAAACTGTTAACTAAACACTCCCTTTCTTCTTCACAGTCCGCCATGCAGTTTTTAGTCAAATATCTGCCAGAGGACATCATGGTAGCTCACATAAAGAGTGATGCTAATTTACTGTGGAGCATCACTCCGGCAAGCCTCAAAGCCATGAGAGAGGAGATTGCCAACTCGACCCACATTTACATCCATCTTTACTGGACCATCCTGAGGTACTCGAGAATGGAAAAGCTCTCAGTGTGTTGAGGTTTAGGGAAACATTGACTAGTCTGGTCAGCCTGACAGCACAAGATGGGTGAGGGTGAAGAAAAACAATTGATTTCATCCCACCCTCACCATCTTCCTATTATTTTTCTTATTTGAATCCAGTGCCCTGAAGCATACTAAAGTGCTGGGTAGAAAGAGCTAACTTGCAGTTCAGTGAATGTTATTATAGGCAATAGAGAGGAAAGAAGTGAGAGGAAGAAAAATAACAAGAATAAGAAAGACTCAGAGAGATAAAGAACAGAACAAAAGCAATAAAGAGAGACAGAGACAAGAGACGTAGCAGGAGATTGAACAGTAGGGATAATTAGTCTACAGAGCAAAATGACTTCAATGACTGTATACTGAACACAGAGAGCCTGAAATTCCTCCTAGTCTGTAAAATGATTTTGTTTTATGGTGCAGAATTGTGGAAAATTCTTAAATTTAAGACCTCATTGAATAAATGACCTGGACTTGGGTTTAGGGAGTACAATTTCCAAGTTTGCAGATCATACTAAGCTAGAAAAATTAGTAAACAGTGAGGAGGTTAGTAGCAGACTGCAAGACGATATAGACAGACTGGTAAAATTGGCAGACATGTGGCAGATGAAGTTTAATATGGAGAAATGTGAAGTGATGTATTTTGTGAGGAAGAATGGGAAGAGGCAATATAAGCTGATGGTACAATGTGAAAGGGGGTGAAGGAACAGAGAGACCTGAGGGTTCATATCAGTAAATGTTTGAAGGTGGCAGGACAGGGAGATAAAGCTGTTACAAAAAAATACGGGATACCAGGCTTTGTAAATAGGGGCATAGAATACAAAAGTCAGGAAGTTATGATGAACCTTTATAAAACACTGGTTAGGTCTCAGCGAGAGACTGTGTTCAGTTCTGGGCCCCACACTTTAGGAAGGATGTCAAGGCATTGGAGAGAGTGCAAAGGAGATTGACCAGGATGGTACCAGGAATGAGGGACTTCAGTTATCAGGAGAGGCGAGAGAAGCCGGGATTATTCTCCTTGGAACAGAGAAGGTTAAGAGGAGACTTAATAGAAGTTTTCAAAATTATGAGGGGATTCGATAGAGTGAAGAAGGAGAAACTATTTCCACTGGCGGGTGGGTCAGTAACCCGAGGACACCGATTTAAAATAGTTGTTAAAAGAAACAGAGGGGAGGTGAGGAGAAATGTTTTCACACAGCAAGTTGTTGGCATCTGGAATGCATTGCCTGAAAGGCTGGTGGAAGCCGATTTGATAACAACTTTTAAGAGAGAAGTAGATAATTATTTGGGGAGGACAAGTTTGCAGGGCTATGGGGAGAGAGCGGGGGAGTGGGTTTGATTTGGATAGCTCTTTTCAAAGAGCCGGCACAGACACGATGGGCCAAAGTTTTTTTCCCATAATTCTGCGAGATTGTAAATTTTAAAGCAAAGTGCGGTCTCCACCCCCAGGATGGTGATGTCTGTGTCCCTGTATGTGCCTGACTTTCTGTCTTTCTCCAGGAACGCTTCTCTTACAAATAACCCGGAGATCACTGGCAAGAACACAGTGCTCTCCACAGACCGAGACGTCAGAGACGGACTGGTTCAGCTGTTAGAAGGAACCCAGAGGAAGCCTATGTATGTGGCATGCTGTTTCTCTCCCAGTTTCCTATCATGCAATGTCACATTATCTAAATAACTTAATAGTCCTTTCAATTGATACAGAACCCATAATACCGTTGAAATGTGTCATTGGCAGTTGGGCCTTTAGCATTTCTGCCCCCGGCCTCTGGGACTCCATCCCGGAATCCATCCTCCTTGCCCCCACACTTCTCTCCTTCAAGGCCCATCTCAAGGCCTTCCTCTTTGACCGTACCCTCGGCTACCCTAGTCATCATCCCATCCCTGTACCCTCCACCGCTCTTGATTGAAACCCCAGTTTGGGTACAAACCTTTAACTGTCCAGCCCCTTGGGACATATTTCTCAAGTGAAAGGTGCTATATGAATGCAATTTTGTTGTTGTTCTGACAAACTCAGTGCCATTTTTGCCATAAAGTTCCCCACAACAACCAGGAGGTGAATTAATTTATCTGCAGGGCATCAGGAGAAACACTCTTCTCTTTACAAATGGGATCATAGGATTTTTAACTTTTACCTGAACTGTCAAATGGGACTATGGTTTAACATCTCATTGAAAGCTGGCACTTCTGACATTGTACTGCACTGGAGTTCTGTAATAATAGTAATAATCCTTGCATTTGATATAGTGCCTTATTGTGTCTTTGAGATGTCTCAAAGCGCTTCACAGAATACATTGTAAAGTAAATTGACCCTATATTACTGTAATACTGTATTTTACATAAGTCCTGATGTGGGGCATAAGCCCACGACCTTCCGACTCACAGGCAAGAGAGCGACTCAATGAGCCAGGCTGAAGATTAACAGCTCCAATGTGACTCAAAGTGGAGTGGGAATTCTGGCTCCTGCTCCACATTGCTCTACTGGTGGAAGTGAAGTAACTTCACTCCAGCTAAATCGTTGCCACAGATGTTGTGGATTAAGCAGTGATACCTGGTTTCATTGTCTCGCCTCTCAGAGTGATCCAGGGGCTGGTCCCACAGTACATCCGAGCACCAGGTGGACTTGAATCCAAGGAAGCCAGACGGATGAAAGTGGGTGAGTAACTGGACAAGTGAGCAACTGCTTGTTCTTCCTAATAACTCATATCCTTCTGGGTGTTGGGAATAAAGAACAACATATTCCTGTTGGAGAGCAGGGCTGAGGATGACACGAGAGGATGTGGTTTGGGCTCTAAACACAAATGCAGGTGGCTTGGTCTTGACTTGCATAGATATTAAGAATGTAAAATCAGAAAAGGCCATTTGGCCTGTCAAGGTTCCTACCCAACTTCACCACAAACACTCTCTCCCAAAGAAAAGCTCTGCACAGGTATGCCTTGAACCCCAAAGGCAATGTGGCAAAAACTCTATAGATTCCCTTCTGTTCCCGTTACCTTCACTGTATAACCCTGGCATCCTTACATAATTAATACAGCCAGTGTAGCCCATATGTCCATTCGGCCTACACAACCAAATGCTCACAAGTTTCCTTTGAGCAACCTATTAATCAGATGTTTGGGGGTGAACTTGGGTGAGGAGGGAACAGACGTCAGGATACGAGGAGAAACTCCTCCTGTTTCTTTGTAATACCTGAGGGAAAGGCAGATAGAACCTGAGTTAGTATTAAACCGAAAAAGGGACAACAGCGTGGAAAAAAATAATACATTTGTGTGTAATAGAATGTCACATAGACAACCTTGGTCAATTCAAAGCTATGTGGAGTAGAGCTGGAGAACTTAGTGAGGATTCTAAGGGAGAGGAACATTAGTAATATTAATAATAATAATCCTTATATTTGATGTAGTGCCTTATCAAGTCTCAAAGTGCTTCACAGGATATACTTTAAAGTGGATTGACCGCATATTTTGTGGGCGAAACATTGAAATGATGGCTGTGTGTTTTGCTTTACAATTGGAGTAGATGTTCCCAAGACTGAGCGCTACCAGAGCCTGGCCTTCTACAGGAACATCTCCCTGAAGCTGGAGGAGAACCCAGGCAATGCCACGAGCGGGATGTTAAAGTGGTGGAACGTCCAGGAATATGCGAGCCAGGCCTGCAGCAATCTGCAACTCACCATCTTCAGTGACAAAGTCAGCCCCTCTGGCCTGGGCTTCCTGGCTGGATACGGGTAGAGACCCTTTGTTTTTTTATTGGTCAGCCAAATGTCTGTGACAAGCACTACCACTGCTGTGTTTAAGACTCTCCAAACCAATAATAACAAGAATAATCCTTGCATTTGATATAGCGTGTCATCGATTTGTCTCTAAAGTGCTTCACAGGATATACTGTGAAGTGAATTGACTGTATATTTTGTGAATGAAATCAAACTATTGAGAGTTTCCCATTGGCACTAAAATTTCCATTTGTGTGGAATTGAATGTGCACTCTCTCCCCAAAAAGGCCATGATGCCCTTTTTCACTTATTCCTGGAAAGTATTAGGCGTAGGTTGGCAAGAGTTGAGGTAACTGCTGGAGGTTTCAGTTTTACCAAACCATTGGGAACAATATCTGGCAAACTTCTCGCCAATACCCCCTAATCATCCTTTGTAATTTCCAATGCTGCAGTACATTTGGAGATAACATTAGGATAGGACCATGCAACTCTCAACACGGGATCCAGTCAGCCTGTCCTGCCTCTCTGGCACTATGCCACTCCTCCACAGAGGGATTCCCACATTCCATTACCCAAACATGCACCTTGGAGTTCAGCTCCACAGAGACCCCACATACCTCCCATTCAAGGAGAATAATATGTACAAAACAAATTCTACTGGGGCTATCTGCTGTACCTCCTCTGTCCTGCTTATTTCTAATAACCTTCAATAGTCCATTGAATTCCCTTTGATTGACTTGGCTTCATGTGTTGTAGCCCCATGTCCTGATAGCTCTCTGCTTAAAGGTGTTAAACACAAACCTTTGAAAAATAAATCCGGAAATAATCGGACACACAAATCCAATAGTGTGAAAGATGATTAGAATTAACAAAGCCATATTTAGAGTCCTGCGGAGCGCAGAACACCACAGGCTTATCAATGAAAGGGCCAAGAAAAGATAACATTGCTATCATTACAATCGGGACATCCTCCTGATGTGAAAGCCACTAAATTTGTATTATAATGTATAATCTCTCCCTTCATCTCCCCCGTGCCTCTCTGTTCCAGGATTGTGGGTCTGTACATGTCTGTGGTGCTGGTCATCGGCAAGTTTGTCCGCGAGTTCTTCAATGGGATCTCTCGCTCCATAATGTTTGAGGAACTGCCGAACACGGACAGAATCCTGAAGCTCTGCACGGATATCTTCCTGGTCCGCGAGACTGGGGAGCTGGGGCTGGAGGAGCAGCTATTTGCCAAACTCATCTTCCTCTACAGGTCACCTGAGACCATGATCAAGTGGACTCGAGAGAGCAAGGAGTGAGGAACTGAGGTTAGCAATCAAAGATACTTTTCCTCACAGAAAGGGACTGTTTATTTCAGATATTCAGCTCAGGAAGCCTTAAACATTCATAGAAATCACAGTCCTGGATGGCGTTTGGCCCAACATGTCAATGCTTGTACTCTCTCCTCCAATGGAGCTATATATCCTATTATACTCTGTTATAATCTGATCTCAACAAACTTGCATTTATATAGCCCCCTACTCTCAGCTACCCGGTGTCAAGTACTGTGTGAGGGGCACTATATAAATCAAGCTGTTGTTGTTGATCCCAATTCCCTGCTCTTTCCCCACAACCTTTTATGTTGCAGTCTAAAAGGCGAAATTGCAGAATTCCTCACTGTATTGACGTCATTGTAATATTCCGGGTTCCTGTAAACTGTATTAGCTTTCTTGCTATTCGCTTAATAACAAAAGGCTGTGTGATTCTCGCTTCCCGAATGCCTTGGAATCAAAGCTTTTAAGTCTATTTATACATAATATCACAGAGTGGTGAAAATATCTTGATCCCGTGAGTGTGGAGAAAGAGCCTTGTACAATAATTGTGTTAAAGGAATTATGCTAAGAGCAATGGCTACACATAAAATGTTGTTCAGTGCAGTACTTTCAAACAACCTCTACTCCAGCTCACTGGGGACACACCAACCTGAGGCTGCCTAAGCTGCTGGTGGTTTAGAAATCATCATTACACTGGAGGCTTAATATTCTGACAACTGAAAGTTATTGAAAACCTTCAATATTACTGGCTGCTAACCATCAGCCACAGAAGTAAGTGGAGAATGGAGGACATGAGGAAATCCAAAGGGTTTTTTAATAGGATTTTGGAGACCACTCCAGTGCAGAACCAGTAAAATCTTGTTGTGTTAAAGACTTTCGCAACAGTCAAACCAGCAGAGTTTCCTGCCCAACACAGATTCTACAATCGACTCAGATTTCATTGATTGAAAGAAATATGAATCTGTTCCCTGTAACAGAATTGAGACAGTTCTGAACGAGGGTTGCCTCCTCTTGCCATGTGATTCTTGTAAGGTATCCACCCCACCATCTTTCCCAGGGCTGAGAGCAACATCGATGGGTCTGGAGATTTGTGGGCAGCACAGCTCTCGTGCGCTGGTCTGACAGGCTCTGGATTGTCCAAGGTTGTTTTTAGGGAGCTTTTCCCAGCTCAATTCTTCAACCTCTGGGCTCTCACTGTTCCTGGACTCAGATGTAGAATTGTGGAACAATCATAAAATGGGTGATGTTTAAAAGCCTGGATGTTGGAAAGGTTCTAACATCAGGAAGTTTAGTTGTCCAAACCAATGGTTTTGTTACTACCCATGTTGAATAAACAATAAGAAGTGTGAAACTGAATGAAGTGTGAATTTCTTGAGGTAAGCAGGTTGCATCCCTTCAGTGAGTTTCCATTCCAATATATATCTCTGAAATTTCCCTATTTAAGTGGGGTGGATGACACTCGCAAGTTTGGTATGGATTTGAAGCATAGTGATGGGTTTCCACATGTGTCAGTGCAGAACCTGGCTAACTATTTAAAAATAAATTCTTTGAGGGGCTGAGCTGAGGAACACTCACCGTACACAGCCCCGTGATTTTAATTCATTTCAAAAATATTAGTTACTGCAATTTTCGCACTGGGTTTTGTGATGAAGCGATACAACTTGCATTTATAGAGCGCCCTTCATGTGCAGGAGGTGGTAAAATGGAAAGTGTTTGGTTATGGGAATTAAACATATTGCCAAGTACCAACTGTGAAAAATGATTTATTAAAGTCATTACATAATCATCAACTCCGATCTGTTCAATACAAACATGCAGCTGAACGGTTTGGAGCAGCATTCTCGGTGAAGCCACTTCCGAGAGGTTTTGGGGGCAGAGATCTTGGCAGGTGTGTTTGGGTAGTGATAAGAGACACCAGAAAGTGTCTGCAATTCTGACACTGAGTGACCAAGTATGAACAGAACATAACGTAACCTTTTACACAAGGTTCTGCTTTCAACAACAATCTCTCATGAGGGACGGACAGACCGAATGATGTAAAACGGCACTGTATTGCTCGTGGAAAGTTTCCTCCAAAATAGAAAGGAGCTTTTCATGACATCAATCTGGGATACATTCAAATCGACAGGTGCCGTCCAATCCTTCCCCCACTCAGCCACTGCATCACACCCAATTTTAGTAGAGTTCTCACCTATTTTAGTAGTCACACAAATAAATTTAGATAGGCAAATGTAAGTGTCAATAGGACAGAAAGAGATGGCACAACGATTAATATCTGAAAAGTCAACTTTATCTTAATTGTAATCTTCGTTGGATCGCATTTAGAGACGAGGCTTTCAGATCCCGCCTCACACACTGACAAGTGGTGACCTCCCCATGAGCAAGCCTCACCGCTCGGGTGACTATAGGAAAGAGGGAAACGCACCAAAACCAGGAGCAATTCTACCTGAACTGTTCAATTTCTGATGGATTGATTATTAGCTCAGTGATCAGAACACGTGCACACCCTCCGCTCTTCACACCAGTCGTCGCCTCTTAAACAAATTGCCGCTTCCCCCTTTGCCCTCGCAGTGAGAGTCCACTCCCAGCGGGGACACCAGGTGCAGCATGGGATCTTTGGAGGCGCGGCCAAACAGAGCCAGCAGGAAGGCAACTCCGAAACCAGTCGCTCGCTCTCCCTACAAACAGAAAGTTACATTTACTGTCAACAGTATCTGTTTAACCACCGACACTGTTAATACACAGCATAGTTAAAAGAGGAAGATGGTAAAATTGTGCAAGGCCTAAGGGAAGAAAAAGCAACGTACCAAGCAGTGGTGTTAACATTAATCAGTTATGTGAATAAATCAGATTGCTAAGTCATTTTTGCTGAACTTGCCTCTGCATTTTACAGTGAAAGCCATTAATACACAGAGCCATAGTGGGCTGCAGATTTCTTTAGCACAGCACTTACCTCGCACTTAGCTGCGGAAAGGATTTCCATTAGGCAGTGCACATGATTAAACAACGCCAACAAATTACATTTGTATAGCACCATTCACGTCGGGAGGACATCCCAAGGCGCTGGACAGTTTGGGATTTGGTCCCAAGCAGGGGGTTGGGATCAGCAGGGATCAAAGGCTGGGAACATAGAGGTAGGAGGGGCCGAAGGTTCGGGTGAAGAGGATGGTCTTGAGATGTGTCTTAAAGGAGGCAAGGGAGGGAGCGAAGCGAGGGGACTGGGCTGGAGTTCCAAAGAGTGGAACTTGTAACTAATCCAATAAAGCGTCATTTTACATTTATATCATGACTTTTCACTTTGGACATCTCAAACACTTCACACAATTGACTGGAAGCCTGAGTTTGGGGGAGGGGGGACGCGGGGGGGGGGAAGAGAGGAAGATGGTTGAAGAGATAGGTCTTACAGGTTTAAAGGAGAGATTTAAGCACAGTCTTAGTTCTGGTCCGTATGAACTTGTGTTTAGACTTTAGGACATCTGAATGGCAATGTTCTGTTCCGGGCGTGTAACTGCCACGTTCCTAGTGCTGCACCCAGTAAACCACTGCACACCACCACCTTACATTTATATAGCGCCCTTCACGCAGGGAGGTGATGTCTCGGAGCACAGTGTTTTTTATTACAGGTATAGTGTAGTCCTCTCTCCCTCAACATGCGCGCACACTCACAACACACACAAAAACTCCCTTGAAACACGACTGAAACCTGTAAACATGATACTCACTGTGTGCACAGGAGAGGCAATATCCACGTGGACCCAAATTCCAGGCCACTCAAAGCCAATGTGAGCACCGATGAAGAGACCAGCGCAGGAACTCTGAGCGTTGTCACGATCCTAGGACAATAAAAAGTTTTGGGTGAGAAGGTAAAGGTTAATAAGAGTTAATTATACCCACCAGTGTCTCCCTAACTAAGAGTTCATCGCAGGCATCTTGAATCCTCCATGTATCCACAAGTACATTAATGGCTTATATCAAACATCCCCCTCTTGCCAAACTCTGCAGCATTCTCATCGTAATAGTGTGGGCTTTATTTTGAAATGCAAGAGTATTGGGCATCACAGGGAACTCTTGTAAAGGACAATAGGGTTAAATCATATTACTTTGTGCCTGTTTGAGTTTAGATGGTGAAACTCTTCCAAAGTTCAGTAAAGAAAAAGTTTAAAATTCTTGATTCCTTCCATTTTCCCTGAACATTGGAGATCAGATATACAACTAAAGGATAATATAATATGAATAGTTTTGCAGTCTTCACTTAACCCATCACCATTACAGAATGTATACGTACGGCAACAGAGTTCTTCATATCAGCCACAGCGGAGGTGAATTCACTGAAGTGGAGCTCAGGACAATAGACAAGAGGATGGACAAGATCCCCACTGTTCTTCCCTGCCTTAACCGAGGCAACCTCCCAGTCTTCAGTGTTGCACAGAATTGCAGCATGATATTTGCCGGTAGATATACCCTGTAAAGAGCAGATCCATTTTAATACACCCACTCAGGCCCAGCCTGTGCTCACTGTACCACACTGTACTACAGAGCGCATCCCTCGCTGTGCTTCTCTGATAGAACTAAAACGTTTATAGCTCTCACCTCACTAAAACCATCTCTGATACACCCTCACTGTAATCATATACCATAAACCCTGAATGTCTCTGATACACCCCTCACTGTAACACTGACACCCCTTAATGTAACCGACACTCCATACCCCTCACTATAACACTGATACATGCCATACCCCTCACTGTGATGCTGACACATATACCACACACCCCTCACTGTAACAGACACCCCCCTCATTGTAACACTGACGCACCTCACACTCAATGTAACATTCTCTTCCGCCAGGGTTAAACTCTCGTTAATGTTGCAGCCCAGGACAATAGCCACCTGATCTGCCTCTCTCAATACCCCTAAATAATTTGTCTAAGTGGAATGAGCAGGGGATCGGGTGGGGGCAAACCAGAAACCCAATGTTACAGTGTGTGTACCTGGGCTCCTGTGAGTGTGGCCATATCGAGAATGATATCTGCTCCCAGATCCTTGCTTGCATAAGCTACACCATCTGCCAACACCAGCCGGCCCTCAGCGTCAGTGTTATTAATCTCAACGGTTCTGTAAAAGGAAAGCACATTCAGGTTGGTGCTCGGCAAAAAAAAGACAAGTTGTCATCACAGATAACCACAGATAACGGGTAATCTCAATGGAGCAAACATTTCCCCAGCTTCAGCAAACCACATACAATATAGTATTACTACTCTGTATATTTCAATGGAGAATATACAACATGCATTTCTTTTTTAAAAAAAACATTACTGTCATCTACCAGTGAGTGTATTGCATCAATCACAAAGGTGCATTTTCTCACACGCAAAGGTATTTCAGATGTCTCCTCTTCCTGGTCACTGGTTTGCAAATGGGAGCAGGAAAGATTGCAGTTTGATAGATTATTCTTCTCTCGCTTCCAACACACTGCTCTCATTCTCTCCAACATTATTAATGACCCAGGAAGCACATGTCTGAAGTGAACTTGTGAGCCAGTGTTTCTGTTTGATATCCTGTACTTTCTAAATATTCACCTGCCTCTGAACAGCGTACAATCCCTGAGAGGTTAGGCAAGTTGTTCTTTCCAGGCCCCATGTACAGTACAAGGCAGTACCAAAAGCATACGGACCAAAAATCTTTATAGTTTAATTTCTGATCTTAGCTGATGTCAGCTGCAGCAGTGTTAGCGGGGTGAGGGAAAGAGAAGGGAAATCCCATTGTTGATCCTTATCCACTATAGAGTATACCCTTCCCCCCAAGCTGTGACTTGCATTTAATGTGTGCCCGTAGCAGATGAAAACAACAGCAACAACTTGCATTTATATAGCGCCCCTCAAGCAGGTCAGCATGCCAGAGCAAATAAAAGTCAAGTTCAGCTGCAATCTACCACACAGTTCCTGCCTCAAGAATGACGCTAACACGAGGAACCGTGAAGCCGTGCCCCCATAACAGACGCTGCCATTAGAAGAGGAGACGGGGAATACCAGCATCATTTGAATAATAACAAATGATTTCTCAATGGATACAAATCAGCAAAAGGCACCGTTTACCATCACAGTAAAAGTACGTGCTCTCAGGCAAGTCTTAAATATACTAGACATGCCATTATCTAATTGTAACAGAGTGGAGGTATTGCAATCTTACTTCCCAGAATACAGCTGATGAATGTCGTCGGGTCTGGTTGCTTCGGGTCCCACAGAATTCTCAGCGAGACAGAAAATAGCGTGCAGATTGTCCTTAAACCCCTGTAACACATACAGGACTGTAACACATACTCTAGCTGCCCCACATGTCTGCTAGAGAATAAAGATGTACCATCAATAGTGGATCAGCATACTGTCACAGCATTGTGCTGTCCACATTCCCCACCCAGAGGTCTCACAGTCTACACCTGACTGTGAGAGAGAAACAAAATACTTGCATTTGATGCAGTGAAGCCCTGGGAAAGCTCTGCACTGCCTCAAATGCAAGTATTTTTTTCTCTCTCAGCGATGCTATCCATTGGATGAGTCATTAAAGTAAGTACCCGTCAAAAGAGAAGGAAGTTTCTTCCAATGTCCTGCCCAACAATCCTTCAGATATATTGGTCAGTCATCTCAGTGCTATTTGTGAGACATTTCTTCCAAAAATTTACAGTCAATTCACTTTACCAGTATATTCTGTGAAGCGCTTTGAGAAGTCTCGAAGACGTGATAAGGCGCTATATCAAAATGCAAGCATATTATTATTATTGAAAGTGCAAATGATCAGTGTGTTATCGTACAGATACAGTCACTACACTTGGCAGTATTTAGTATGAAGCTCCTCACCTGCTTGACGGCTGCTTTAAATGCTCCGAGAACTGCTGCTGCTCCTCCACAATCTCTCTTCATTCCCGGCATGGAGGTCTGCAACAGCAAACAGCCTTTATAAGCATATCCTTGTTTCCCCTGCACCCCACATTTACCTCCCCACCCCCGGAAGGCGTTTCCGGCACATCTTTTCTTCTTGGATACTGATGCACGTGCTCCCACTAGTAGCTTGTCTGTGGCCGTTATTCACGAGTCAGTGAGCCCCAGTGACCCATTACACTGCTGGAGTTATCACAGCCAAGCCTGATCCTGATGTCCAAAACACACGCACTTACTAACCGGCAGTTTCTGGATGGTGATCATGAGCAGGGCACCATAGCTGATTCTCCCTCCCTAACATAGGTGTTCCCACTGCTGCCCAGAGTGAGATCAGGTAACTCAGCACAGATCAGCAATTCAAATCTATAACCTTCTGGTCATGAAAGCCTAGAGTTACATCAGGACTTACCCACGAGGTCATCGAGAGCAGGGTGTACACTCAGGCCATTCATCTATTAACATACTATTGAAGAGCTCTGAGATTTCCAAAAAGAGGTTCAAACAAGGAGTGCCGAGAGAGGAAAGAGCGAAGCTGGGAAGCAACGATTTGTTACACGTCCTTCGAAACAATTCAAGATCCTCATCCTCACCTACAAGGCCATTCATGGCCTTGCACCCTCCTACCTCTCCGACCTACTATCCCCCTACTTACCTGCCCATACCCTCCGGTCTGCTGCACATGCCCCACCCCAACCGCCCTACCATCGCTGGCTGGGCTTTCAGCCTCTCAGCCCCTATGCTCTGGAACTCCATCCCCCAGTGCCTTTGCCTTGCTTCCTCCCTTTCCTCCTTCAAGGCCAGTCTCAAGACCTTTCTCTTCAGCCGTGCCTTCAGCTCTCCTCTCGACTCTCTACCCCCTCCTCGCTTCCTCTCTTCCCTCCCCTCACCCTGTTGTTGTTGTTGGAAACAAAGGGAAGGTAGGAGTTGGGTCGGTAGTTTGAGAAGAGAAGTTTTTTTGAGGATAGGGGAGGCGCAAGATATGTCATTGAAACGTCAGGCATTAAACCTTTGCCACTCACAATGCTCATGGCACAGAATTAAACCCGCCCTCACTGGTGTCAAACATCCTTGAAGGCTTAGTTGAGGAAGGGCAGGAGGAGGCTCATGTGGAGCATAAACACCAGCATAGACCAGTTGAGCCAAATGGCCTGTTTCTGTGCTGTGTATTCTAATGCATCCTTTCATCCACATACAGTGCAGCGATTCCTACCTTTCCTTTAATGCTCAGGCCTCCAGTATCATACACAATGCCTTTGCCAACCCAGGCTATGGTCTGTGTCGCACCTTCTGGTGTGTGACTGAGAATAGCTAGAGCAGGTGGATTTACTGCTGCCTTGCCAACACCATAGATCCCTAGAAATTACAATATAAAAGCAATAAGTCCACAGATCATCAATAATGACTGATGGATACATCATTTATAGTGGTCAAGTCAGAAAGTGCAGAGGAGTCTGAATTCTCTGAGATGTCTGGCCCCAGTGTTAGCCAGGAGCTCAGAATTGTCACTGAAAGAATGGAAGAATTAAGGGGTAAGTTAGAAGAAACTCTCACACACAGATTACACAACACGCATTGCTTTCCCAAAAGCAATAAAAAGAATGAGATAAACATTTAAAGATAAAAGGGAATGGGGGAAAGTGCAGGGAGCTATAATCAGAGTGCAAATATACTACCATCAGTATATTATGTATCACTCAAAATATGACATGGTTCACGAGGTACATCCCAAACACAGACCGACACAGCGCACCTTCAGGTGGATAATGGAGCAACACTTGCCTCCGAATCCTTTCTCCTTCAGTTGTTCACCCCGTATAATGGTGGGGATAATTTCCAGTAAGTTCCCAACGATTTTGATCTCCTAAAAATGATAAGAATATGATCAATATAACCAACAGTATATATAGCCCAACCAAGGAAACAGGCAACTGACTGTATTGCATTTTATATTAATGCAAAACTAATTTAATTAATTAGCTAATTTAATTAATTTCTGAGCTAGAAATTACACAAGCCGTTGTTTATACTGGCGAAGAAACAACTGAGGGAGATTTTATTGGAGACCTAATCCTAAAGAGGTTTATTAGCTAGCAATCCACAGCTGTTTCAATTGAACGCTTTAACACGTGGAACAGCTAACCAAGGGAAGTGGTTAGCATGAGCAGTTTCAAGAGAGAATTCACAACACGTTTAATGTTAAAAGTGGTTTGGGGGTACGTGAGATAAGGAACGATGGGATTCGAACATGGAAACAATCAGGTGGTTCAGCGGTCTCGTGAGAACTGCCCACTCCGACGTCTCGTGACACACAGTCTGCTAGGTCTGTTTCCTCTTCAAACTCACCAAAAAATTGTAAGCTGTATCAAAAAATTCAGCCATTTACATTGTTAAATGTTTCGCCACCTCCCAGACTACTGCTCACCTCTAGGAAGTGATCGGTGTTCATTTCGTTGCAGGGTGTGTCCACAATTCGGGCAGCAAGCCGGATTCCGTCAGCGGCACTCTCCAGACACTAAGAGAGGAAGAGAGGCACCAATCATCAATCTTCACCTCTACATCCTCAGGGGAGAAATAATGCTCTCGATGGGATATAGAAAGTGCATCGAATGATTTGAAACATTTTCTATGTGTAACGGAGAGAGAAGCCAACAGTCAGCACTGAGCTCTCCTCCGCGACCTCTTGGGCTTCAGAGTACCTGGGTTAAGGAGGACAAAATGAGACATGGGCCCATTCCTCATTGACATCCAGAGACAGGTTGGCGGATGGTGTGCATGTGTAAAGTGAGGTCAGGATCCAGCTCAGCTACAATGAACAGCCTGTCAATAATCACTGGTTCCCATTGTGGTCTAACAGGTGCAAGAATGATTGGATGTGACAATGTGGCTTGAGAGATGGGTCAGAGGAGAGATCTTCAGCTTTGTGGCCCATTCCAACATATTCTGTAGGGCTGTTTCGATGAGACTGAAAGTAGTAGCAGTGTCTAGTCCCCTCCTGTCCTCCCTCCTCAGGGGAGGGAGCTGCCCTAATGCTATCTTACAAATGACAGGGTCGGAACAGAGTGCAAATCACTGGATCACATTCAAATGACTGAAGGTCTCAGGCGGTCCATGTCGCTCATTATTACACCCACATTTCTAAATATTACCCTCATACAAAAATAAAACCTCTCTTACGAATGCAACAAGACCCTGTCATAACACCATGGCTTGGGTCCACAAGTTAAAACTGGGTTATCACGAGGTGCGCTAAAAATGGCTGCCAGTCTACGCTCCCAGATCATGGGGTCAGTGCTTCCTGTGCATTATGCACACAGCATAGGAATTAAACCTCATTGATGCTTCCTGCACACAACACCCACAATACAGCCAGACAGCACTGGAAAAGTACAGTGTAGGTCCACAGTTCACTCATGCTATCACCAAACTGGTGTTAAACCTCATAAAAGTAATGTACTCTGGACAGAAAGAAGTTAAAACTGTTACAGACAACCCCCTTTGAATTGTTCAATAGATGACGCTTCCCCAATGACTGACAGTGGCATCATTCACTGCTTAGTTACCTGGAGAGTTGCCTCCTCCAGCAGGCCGTTGCTGTGTCCCACCAGCAGGAATTCCACCGTGACGACACGCTTTTCTGTGCGCCTGGAGGCGCTGGATCTGCGGGTAAACAGGGGAATCGCCCTTGCAATCGCACAAGCCGAAGCAAATACCTCAGAATACTCACAGACCATCTGAAACAAACAGACACAGCCTTCAGGGACAACGTACTATTTTCTTCCTGATCCTGGTCACTCTCCAGATTCACCCTCCATGGCTGGAAGCTCATGGACTTCAGGGAAAGACATGTCAGGCTGAGCGGCCATGCTGCTAACGGTGGGATAGCTTGTCAGCACTGCTCAATGCTGGCTTGCCAAACTCAGTTGGGCAGCAGTCAATTGAGACTTACTGAGAAAAGTGGGGGAGATGAAAAGTGGGGGGAGATTCAGCTCTGCCTTACTCTGATGACAAGAAAATGTGGTTCACTACTTCGAGATCAAACATTAACCCAGAAAACGTGACCTTGTCTAAACTCACATTGAGTTATCGGTTACTGAGTACTCAAATATGGAACTCAGGTGAGGAAAGATCAGGCTCAGGCATCCCCATTTCATCAATCACAGTCCAGTCATACACATAAAGAAGAGCAAGTTTGGCAAGGCGTCAATGGGGTGACTAATGTAAGCTATACCATGCCAGACAAAGGAGCAAATGAGGTAGAGACAGGGGATGATGGGTTAAAGAGGTGTAATTGATGCAAAACAGAGGGGATTGCAAAAAAGCAGGGGAATAGAGGCGTTAATATTGCAGAACAAAGTGGGGGGGGGAGATTGCAACAAAATAGGCAGACCAGAGAGATAAAAGGTGTGTCTGGGACCAAGATGATGTGGTAATGGTCACAGAAGAGGGAGAGGGGGAAGGTGAGCTGTTATGGTCTGAAATTGTTGAAATCAATATTGAGGCCAATGGGCTGTAATGTCTCTGGCAGATAAATGAGGTGCTGTTTCTCGAGCTTGAGTTGTGGTTCATTGAAACAGTGCAGGAGACTGTGGATGGAGAGGTCAGAGTGTGAGTGGGAAGGAGAGTTGAAGTGGCAAGAAGCCAGAAGCTCATGGTTGTGTTTGCGGATAGAACTGAGGTGTTCGGCAAATCGGTCGCTCAATTTGTGTTTCGTCTCCCCAATGTAGAGGAGACCACATCGCGAGCAGTGAATACAGTAAACTATAATGGTATTAGTACACGTAAATCGCTGTCTCACTTGAAAACTGTGTTTGGGGCCCTGGACAGTGGTATGGGAGGAGGTGAAAGAACAGATATTGCATCTCCTGCTCTGACATGGGAAGGTGCCGGGGGGAGGAGAAGAACTGTTAGTGTGATCGAGGAATGAACCATGGAGTCACGGGGGGAACGGTCCCTTTGGAATACTTAGAGGGGAGGGAAAGATATGTTTAATAGTTGGATCACCCTGGAGTTGCCGGAAATGGGGGAGAATTATTTTTTGAATGTTGAGGCTGGTGGGGTGGAAAGTGAGGACGAGGGGGAACCTATCACGGTTCTGGGAAGAGGGGGAAGGGATGAGGGCAGAGTTGTGGGAAATAGAATAAAATTGTAAATTAGGTAGAAGTGAGTTAGAGCCACAAGATTCAGGTGTTACTTATTGTGAAGTGCCTTTTAATGCACTCGCATTAAGAGAACATGAACTAAAGGTACATATTTAAGGAAGCAAAAGTCAGTGACCATTTCACTGAGCGAGCGAGTGAGCATGCGGTCTATCGGGGCCTCAGTACGTACCACGATGCAGCGGTTGGTTCCTCCGGGAAGGCAGCTTCGAACCAAGCGCGTGAGGAATTGCGCTGCCGATGGGGTATTGTGACGACTCAGACGAGTAGGAAGGGCAGCCACCGTAGCGTACGACAGGTAAAGGGGGCAGCTGTCCGTGGGGTTGGGGTTCAGTGTGCTCAACGCAGTCTGCCAGTTCTGAACAAAGCGAAAAAACATCAGTAATCAATGAAATAAGTCAAAGGGCCATCCGTGACTCACAGCAAAGCAGGCGCTCAGATTGAGCCAATCCATGACTGTCGCGGGAGAACCTTCAACGGTCGGGAAAAGCCACTCCTGTCCAATTAACTGTGCAGCCCCCGGTACGTACAGTCCGCGCTGACGGCGGCGGCACAGCGACGAGAAACACGGGATCCTTCCGTTGCGATGTTAAACGGAGTCCCACCTGTCATTCGGATGGACGTCCAACAGCCGCACGATTCAAAAAGAACGGGGAATTCCGAATAAAGATCCGTGTCTGTCCTGACCAACAATATACGCCCCCCCTCACCCCCCACCCCCCCTCACCCCCACCCCCCTCACCCCCACCATCACCCGCCCTCACCCCCCCTCACCCCCCACCCGCCCTCACCCGCCCCCCCTCACCCCCACCGACCACCCCCTCACCCCCCACCCCCCCTCACCCCCCACCCGCACCCCCCCCACCGACCACCCCTCACCACCCACCCCCCCTCACCCCCACCCCCCTCACCCCCCCCCTCACCCCCCCACCCCCCACTCACCCCGCAGCCCCCCTCACCCCCCACCGACCACCCCCTCACCCCCCACCCCCCCTCACCCCCCACCCCCCTCACCCCTCCCACCCCTCACTCCCCACCCCTCACCCCAACACCCACCCCCCCCACCCCCCACCACCCCTGTGAGCTGTGCGTCACTGCGCCTTCACTCAGACCACGACAGAACGACGACGACAACAACAACAACAACTTGGATTTATGTATAGCGCCCTCCACGCCGGACGGCGTCTCAGAGCGCTTTACAGTAACGGATCCCGGGACCGAAGGGGACGAGTGAGGGAGTGAGTGAAGGAGGGAGTGGCACCAGGTGTGACAGGTCCTGACCCGCGGGCCCGGGCCTCTCTCTCTCTCTCTCTCACTGGGGGCCGGGGCCGGGCCTCCCCGCGGCGGCCGCTCATTTACCTCCTCGGAGACCTTGGGCTGCAGCTTGCGGACGAGCTGCGCCCAGGGGGCTTTCTGCAGGTGGGGCAGTTGGCCCACGATGAGGACGGGCCGACCCTGAGGTTCCGAGTCGCCGCCGCTGACCGCGAACTGCAGCTCCACCTTCGCCATCTTCCCGCCGCTTCCTCGGTCCCGCAGCCGCACTCCTCCCCCCTCACTGCGCCAGCGGTGAAGAAAGGTTCCGGGTACAAATGTTCCCCCCTCCACCAACCAGCGCTGGGGGGGGTGTGGCTTTTTTTTAAATAAAAAAAATTATTTATTTGTTTGTTTTTTTGTTTATTAGTTATTATTGAAATATGCTCCAATTTCTAACGAATTCCGCTCCAGGTGTATCAGTTTCTGCCGCGAACTGTATGAAACCCGACACTATAATAATAATAATAATAATCCTTGCATTTGATATAGCGCTTTTCACGTCGGGAGGACGTCCCAAAGCGCTTCACAGAACACACTGTAAAGTGAATTGACTGTATGTTTGTGGGCGAACGCGGCAGCCAATTGCGCACAGCAATGTCCCACAAACAGTCGTAGATTGAAAATGACCAATTTATTATTGTTTTGGTTTTGGAGGGATTATTATTAGGCTCTGTGTGGAGTAAGGAAACTTGCCCAAGGTTTCGCCCTCTGCCTGGGATTGAACTCAGGTCTCTCGCTTGCAAAGCGAGTGCTCTAACCACTGAGCTACAGGACTCCACACTATGAATAATCATAATGATGCGCCTGATGATAATCCCTCAAAATAAAACAAAACAAAAACAATAATTTGGTCACTGCAATCCGCGGCTGTTTGCGGGGACGCTGCTGTGCGGAAATTGCCTGCCGCGTTTTTTCGCCCACAAATGTACGGCCGATTCACTTTACGGTCTGTTCCGTGAAGCGCTTTTGAGACGTCTCGAAGACGTGAAAGCACTATATCAAATGCAATGTAATTATTATTAATATTTTAACAACGCAATGCGGAATTTCAAGCCACTGTTTGTCAGCTGCCTTCCCTGGGAGTCTGTATTCATGCATGAGTACATGCACTGTGATGTGACCAGCCTGCAGCTTGTGTGTGCAACTAGTTGTTGTCACATGTCTAGTTACATACAAAACATGGAAGTTTGTGCAATGATGGTAAAGGAGTTTAAAAAACTAGCTTGAAGCTTCCAAAATTTTATTTTTTTTACATAATCTACATACACAAAAGATGAGTAAAAGTGTACACGGCTTACATCCGTTTCATTCTTTAAAAAAACGCAGGTCCCAAGATGTACACAATACGTACTGCGCCAACTGTGTATTCACCAGGTGACGCCATTCACACAACAGCTGTCCACCGCAGCTGTCCTTTACTGTGTTGGGAACTTGCATTTCCTGGTGCTTATGCAGATCCCAGCAGAGAGCGAACAGGTGCCTTTCACTCATTGGGCTCTGGACATGCACTGCGAGATGTGCACAGGCCATGCGGTGCCAGACTGCACCATGTTCCCCAATCTTATGCCTGTGCTCAGTTAACCAATACATTTTCAAAATGTCCTAATCTGAGTACAAATAAACCGATTCTCTCTTTTTCTCTCTCTCTGCCCTACACACCCCCACACACCCACACACAGAAAAACCCAGATAAAGAGCACATTTTGGTTGGTGGTTTGCCATTTTCTATTGCACATGCACGAGAACAGATTTACACAAAGAATTCTTCACAGTCTAAAACTGTAATAATGGCAGGAGTGTTGATTCACACGCAGCACAACGCAGCAAGGTCCTATATAAAGAAAAGGGCCAGAACTATAAGTACAAAGGAATGAAATTCATATCTTACAATAGACTTAAATACATCTGTTCAGTCAAGTCGCATTTCAAGATTAATAAAAGGATTCTTACATCAAAATAAACCTTTATCTTAATCTCAGCCAGCAATGCCAGACTCATCAGAGCAGGTGGATGATGCGAGGGTTAGCAGTGCTGGGAACAGTGCATTATTTCTGAGGCAGCATCACTCACTCCGCTTGGTTTACACAGACCAGCAATGTAGAAAGGCAACTTTGGAAAGCAGGCAATGAGGAGTCACAGATTGGTGGCATTCTGAATATTGGCCATTCACTGGCTGCCTTGCTGAGGAGCAGCTTCAGCTGCTGTGGGACTGTGCATTCTGCCTGAGTCTGTTATTCAAGACATTTAAAAAAAAGTCAACAAATGAGTTGATGAAATTTACATGAGTGTGGATTTTTGCATTCTACACACCACTAGGCACAATTTAACAGTTAAGGTACTTCAACAGACCTGGGCCGACGGAAACGTACAAGGATTTCAATTCACTTTCAGTATATTCTGTGAAACGCTTTGAGACGTCTCAAAGACGTGATAAGGTGCTACATCAAATGCAAAGATTATTAATTATTATTACTTTTAACCTCACTGTTAACAAAACATTCCTACTTTCTTAGCTTCAAATTAGCTCAAGGGTACTCAGACATTGCTTCATACTGAGACCATGCATTTAACATGGGTTTAAATAGTTCCAACCCAAAGTAACAACACTGTCTTTGCCTTTGTATCTGGAATGCTAGTTTCTTCTGCTCACCAGTTAGTGTATTGCAATATACACAGCAAACCATATTCATTTCTACAGCAGTCAAACAAAAAAGTGCACATTTCCTCAATTGGACTGCAACACTTGCTCTTTATCATTCTAGGTATGAACTGAGCTATAAAAGTACACTCGATTCCGAAGGCCTACGATCTATTACAGTCTCTAACAAACTCATTGCTCTGTGGAAAGGTTCTGCCTGCCTTCAAAGGGCAACTGAGCATAACATCAGCAAATCTAACTTTCATTTAACATTACTCAGCATTGATCTTTCCCTTGGTGCAGTCAGTCTCACCACTTCAGGAATGGGTAAATGCGTTGAGTACCTGATCAAAAACTAGCCCTAGAACTTCGCATCTCTTACTAATCTGTTATTTGTTAGAGGCAATAATCAGTGCATTAGCTATTTTATACCACCAGATTGTGTAGAATGGGGTGGGGGGTGGAGAAGCGGGGTAACAGTAAAATATTCCAGGCAAGCAGCACATTTCAGTAAATCTCAAGGAGTGTATTTTGGTTTGTTTATACAAATATTTTGCTGTGAATCACTGAGCAGAGATTTGCTGTAAGAATTGGGTGGGGGAATTGAAGCTGAGCCACCACAAATCACACCCCCACCCCAATATTGACAGCACTTGGGAGAGTTAAAGTCTGATTTGCCCTCTGCACTAAAACATAGTTGGTGTGATTAAATGCCAGCTATAATTCCTCTATAATGAATCCCTAAAAATAAAGCATGGAATGAGAAAGGCCATTCAGCTTCTCATGGCCTTCCCCCTCCACTTACTATCTTCTGGGATAAAATGCTGATCTCTGATTCCCAAAGTTCCCCAAAGCCAAACTCCACAACATCCATCCAGCCTCATATTTAGTGTACACAATGTTAAATACTCCATTGCAACGGTGTGAAATCCTAGTGTAAATCATAATTCAATAGCTTAAAGATGTGAAGCTTTACACAAGCTCATAAAACACCAACAAATTATACCATGATTTCTTACATATTGTTCCCATTTCAAAACTACTTCAAAGTGACCACAGAGCGACGGCTATCAAATCTGCTGTGTAATTTGACTGCTGTTGCACCAGTCCAGAGCGAGCACCTGGAAATTATAAGATTTTAATAAATGGACACAAGGCTACAGAAGCACCCACCTTTCGTTCCACTACCCAGTGGGATAGAGATGGTCGGGTTACACAAATCTGATTCACGTTACATGATTGGAGACTAATTACAGGTCACAGCACTGTTAGAATTCCAGTCTGATTATAGTTGTGTGCAATTGGTTTTGCTAACTAATTTCAATAGGTATTTGTTCTGCTCTGAGGAGATGAGGAGAACACACTCTGGGAATTTATGTTTTACAGAGAGAAAGAAACAGCCAGTTCAGATGTACAATAATTTGCATTTATATAGCATCCCTCACTCAGGGTTGCTTCCCAGAGCGCTCTTCTCTCATGTACAATTAGGGAAAAGAATTTAAGGGATTCAACCTCAACTTCGCATGGTATGAACTCAAAGCTCCGAAACAGAATGCAATTAGACAAAATTACAAATGGACGTATTACCAATGCCTCGTAGCAATGGTGAAAAACTAATTTATGAGGTTCAACACCTCATTTGTTGGTAGCAAAAAGGACATAGTTAAAAGCAATTTTAAACTAGACAGTGAGCAAATGTATTGTGCAGAGACCACTGCACAATATCAACTACCAGCCTCAATGCTAGACTCTCAAGGATGTGTCATGTCTACATGGCTACCCATCACTCTTTTCCTCCAATATTATACATGCAGTCGATTTACAGTAAACTCTGTGAAGCTCTTTGAGACATTTCAACATATATTAATGCAAGGATTATTATTATTTAATTTCCTTTTTGTTTTCCTTTAACAAAAAATTGATAGTTCTAGCAGTTGCTTTAGCTACAGTAGGCTTACTGTCCAGCACAATGGCATGACTGTCAGCGGGGCTCAGCTGATTCAAGCCCCACAATGAGACTCTGAACTCACAGTCCAGGCTGACACTCCAGCGCCAGAGTGCTGCAATGTCAGAGGTGCTGACTGTTAGATGAGACATTAAACCGCAGTCCCCTCTGCCTGTTCAAATGGATTTTAGAGATCCCATGTCACTACTGGATAAGAGAAGGGAGTTTCTCCTGGTCAACAATTCACCATTGTTATTCACTTCATGACTATTTATGGGACATTGGTGTGTGCAAATTGGCTGCTGTTTTCGCCTACAAAAATTGACATTTACTACACTCAGTAATAAATCTTGTGAAATGTTTTGAGACACCTCAAAGACATGGTAAGATGTTATGTTAATAAGGATTATTAAAACAGTCCATTGGTGTCCACACTAATACCACTGTCCATGATCTAGTGGCAGATCAACCTCAAATGACCTCAATAATAATAATCCTTGCATTTGATATAGTGCTTTTCACGTCTTCTAGAAGTCTCAAAGCACTTCACAGAATATACTGTAAAGTGAATTGACTATATTTTGTGGGCGAAACGCGGCAGCCAATTGTGCACAGCAGTGTCCCACAAATGATCGTGGATTGAGTGATTAAATTATTATGCTTTTCTTTCTTGAGGGATTATTATTAGGCGTGTGGAGTAAGGAAACTTGCCCAAGGTTTCGGCTTGGGCAATGGGTTAATTCAAGAATCTGTGTTAAATGCTTTATACTTTTTGGAATTTAAATGTAATGTTTTGAAAATCTTGTGGACATAAACGGTGGAATTCTAACTTCGTGACTAACAATAAATCTTATCACTTATGTTTATTGAAGTATGAGATCTACAAAATCTCCCACAAAATATTCAGCCAATTCACTTTACGGTATATTCTGTGAAGCCCTTTGAGGCATCTTGAAGACGTGATAAGGCACCATATCAAATGTAAGTAGTATTATTATTATCTATTGTTTACTTATATGTGGAACATCCCTCTACCGCACCGTGATGGCAAATCATTTCTCCTGACCAGCATTGTTTTCTGAATTAATTAGTTACTTTAGTGTTATTTGTGATAAACTGGAATCACTTTCATGCCTTGGATCTCCACTTGCAAAAGAATGAAACTCATTTTACTTAAATATTTCACCCAAGCGCAAACAAGGCTTGTACCCGTTAATCTGTAAATCAGGTACAGGAGGCAGAAACTGATCAACATTAACTGACTGCATTCCCCAGTCCTGCAACTCCATGACAGAAGCAAAAATCACTACAAACTAAAATTTGCAGCAAGTCTACAGTCTATCGTTGGCTACTCTCCCTCCCAAATCAAAGATCAAATAACCCTCCTTGGATTTTGTCAAACAAAATATTCAAAAGTACTCTGGACTATAATAATGTTCATTCTGTTTAAACATGTACTTTGACTGTTTGGATGACGTGGAATCCTTCACCAAGACTTGGCATTTAGAAAGGAACCTCAATAACAAAGCTGTCTGTGTAGGCCAAAGGGAAGCAAAGCAGACTCAAATGAACCAGAAATCATGGAGTTAAAAAGATTCAGAGCCATGATCAGAAACGTTTAGAACACACACCAGTGAAGAGCAGCCGTGATCCTGCTAGCTTGTAACGGTGAACACAATGTAAGCCAGTGGGTGTAAAGGATCCACAACAGGGAGAAGCTGGGTGTAAATGTATATCACAAGCAAGGAGTGCCTGCCTCTGACCGCTCTGGGTTGAGAGGTCTGCCGTTTAGATTACCGTTTAGAATGCTGGTAAAATTCAACCGTGAATTGGCATTATTCAGAAATGTTTTGAAAGAAACTTGCACGTCTCAGCCATTATCATGGTAATGAACTCTCATTACTGAACGCAGGACACAGACTGCAGATTTTTATGATGCAGCATGTGTGGCATGTTTATGACATAATTGCACACGTTTATTACATAATTGCACACCCCACATATCCATGGTATAAATGCAAGTTCCCCATAGATGCAAATTTTTCCCTAAGTCCTACTATGCTCTCGTCTTGGTCAGGCCTGGCACGGCCAGCCCAGTTATAAATATACGATTCCGAAATCCAATCAATTACACGCAATTTCATGGTCATTCTGACCCATCATACACAAACATAACATAACCAAATCTCAAGTCTAATTTTACCAGCAGATTATTTATCCTCCATTTCCATTGCAGGGCAGTGGGTGAAGCTGAAAGGTCTCTTACCATTACTTGAAGCCTGAGTGCCTGGCAGGAATGTCACAAGTGTCATCCAGGGAAGCATCATTGGTCACTTTCAGGGTAGATCCCAGGAAGTTCCTTTGTCACAGTTTTCTGTCACATCAAGCTAAGCTTGATTATTATCGTAAAAGGTTTCTAGATGCTCACCCTGTTGGTCTGTGTTCAAACCCCATCCACCCCCCTCATATCTGCAGCCCAGAGGTTGGCTACCTCCTCCCATGACTCTGCCAATGGAATCAGTTTGCCTGCTAGAGACATGTTTGTGGTTCCCTAGATCTCTGTGCGGCACCTCTCCACAGGTGCACCGTTGACTTCAGCAAAAGACCAAACCTCACTGCTCTCTGGTGCCATGTGCTTGGGACGTCCTCCAGATGTGAAAGGCGCTATACAAGTATAATTTGTTGTTGTTGTTGTTGTATACACTGCACCATTCACACATTGCAATTGCTACATTTTCAAGTGGAGTTGAAAAGAGAACTGCTGGCAGCGTACATGATTTTAATAAATACTCCTTAATGTTTTCTGATTAATAGCTGGTTGCATGACAATGTGTAAAGTCTGGCTATAAAGTCAATTGAGCCTTAAAAAATATACTGCTGAGCAGGCAGGTTTCACTTGCATAACACCTAGCTTCCTGTGAGAGAATAGTAGCAAAAAGAGGAACTTCCTGCATGCAAGCCATGTGCCCTCGTACCCTTGAGTTAAGGGTTGGGCAAAGCTTCTTACAGTGGTAACTGACCTTTCATTTCACAAGAGGGTGAAGTGGCCCTTTAAATGGGGGATACGATTGTGTACAATCACTGGCACATCGACTCAGAGAGGCAGCAAGCGGCAGACACGGATCCAAGGACTGCCCACAGCACACAAGAGACCGCACATGACAACACTGCAATCAAAACATTTTCCTGATTTTCTGTAATAACCCCAAGAATCCATCCGTCCGATCCCTTCCCCATTTTATCTAGACATGATTTCACCCCCAACCCTTCAGACACCAGCCAGTTTCCACAGTGGTGGCTTTCCTGCAGATCACCTGGATTTCACTCCAATTAACACGATAATGAGAACAACTACAATGACAAACAGAATTAAAATGACCAGCATCTTCCGATTCTTCTTCTGATAGTGCTCCGCCTGGAACATAAAGGAAACAGAAAGTTATTAGCTTTAGTTATAGAAATCCCCGTCTCCTTCACTACTCCGCTCTCTTCCGAGGTTCACAGCCTCCTTTGCTATGGTGTTTCAGTCACAAAGCTGAGACAAATGCTGCGAGCCAGAGCGCTCCTGGCATTGGTGTCCACTGTGATAGTTGATATAGTGATAGCTGCTCCATGATTGTGGGACACTGCTGTGCACGACTGGCTGCCAAGTTTCACCCACAAACTGAACAATCAGTTCACTTTACAGTATATTCTGTGAAGCGGTTTGAGACAACTCAAAGATGGAGTTCCAGAGGGTGGAGGCAGAAAGGCAGAAGGCCCGCACGCCAATGGTGGGGCAAGCGAGGCGGGGGACGTGAAGCAGGCCGGAGCCTGTTGAGGAGAGGGAGCGGGCAGGTTGGTAAGGGGTTAGGAGGTCAGAGAGGTAGGGGGGAGCAAGACCATAGAGGGCTTTGAAGGTGAGGACCAGGATCTTGAACTGTATCCTCTGTGTGATGGGAGGCCAGTGGAGGAGGCGAGGATGGGGGTGATAAAGTCACAGAGCCTGGTGCGGCGAAGTATTAAAATAATGGCAAATTACCCACAGAATTATCTGCCACAGTGATGTAAACTGTACAAAAGACACAAAGCAATAACAAAAAATGATATACCTGCAGTGCTGAGACTCATTCTGTGCAGAAACGCTGCATGTAAAATATTTGACAAACAGGGTTCACAATGTCACATTTACGTCGCTCTTACCTTCTGTAATTGTTGTAAGCCCTCTTCGGTTTTAACACAAGCCTGTTCAACATTGTAGTCAATCCTATCCAAAATGGTTCCCTGGGGAGTAAAAGAGGAAAAATAGCTGAGTTGCCAATTATAAGAGGGAACAAACAGCCCTAAACTCAGAGCAAAGACAGCTTGAACTGAGGTCAGGAAGCAATCCTTCACACAGAGGTTTCTGAAGATGAGAAGCCCTCTGCCCCAGAAAGCTGTAGCTGAGATCAACAGGGATGTTTAAAAGAGAGATAGATACTTGGGTAGCGGAGGTATTAAAGGAATGGTGAAAGAGAAGGGCTCTAGAATTAAGAGATTTGCCTGATGGGCTGAATGGCCTCCTCCTGTTCCTGTTTTCTGACCTCCTAATGTCTGCAACATTTGTGTCATTAGATTCAAGATTCATATTTTACACAGAAAGAGTAAATTGTATAAAGTATTTAAATGCGTTTCTGAGCTGCTTGTGCACTGAGCATACAAACATGCCAGCTGACTTGGCCCCAGATGATGGGATGACATGGGGTGTGTGGCAGGTGTCACTATGCAGTGCTGTAGGCTGTAACACTGAAGCCCAAATAGATCTGCTCTCTGCCAGTTACGTGAGAATGAACCAAACCAAAACTTACCTGTTCCACGATCATTGTGGCCAATTCTCTAAATATTTCGTTCAAGTCCGAGATTGACTGCACAATCTGCCTGATCTCCCTTTCCCGCTCTTCCACCATCAGGGAGTTCTGCTCCACCAGCAGCAACTGGTCATTCGTGAAACCCTGCAACACAACCAAGGAACATGCAATGTCTGTCAATTGTGGAGTCCTGTGGTATATTGGTTAGAGCACTCGCCTCGCACGAGAGAGGACCCGGGCAGGGAGAAACTTTAGGCAAGTTTCCTTACTCCACACGCCTCTGTTTACCCAGCCGTAAGTAGGAACCCGGTTGTTAAGTCGGTTGGCGGATCACTTTCCTGCAGATATTAACCCCTTCAAAAACAAAAACAGAAGTCGCTGGGAACACTCAGCAGGTCAAACAGCATCAATGGAGAAAGGAAAGTGAGTCAACATTTCGGGTCCACGATCCACTTTGCTTTCTGCATAGATGCTGCCTGACCTGCTGAGTGTTCCCGGCGACTTCTGTTTTTGTTTTCAGAATTCCAGCATCTGCAGTATTTTGTGTTTTTGTTTTATTAATCCCTTCAAACTGAAATTAAAAAAAATAATAATTTGGTCACTCAATCCACGACTGTGACACTGCTGTGCACAAGGGGCTGCCTCGTTTCACCCGCAAAATACACAGTCAATTCACTTTACAGTATGTTCCGTGAAGTGCTTTGACACGTCTCGATGATGTGATAAGGTGCTATATCAAATGCAAGGATTATTATTTATTATTATTGTAATGCATCTATATTATAATACATTATAAAACAGATGGGAAAGGAAGAAGTCTCAGCAGTGAGCATTCACATGTGGCTAATTTTGTATAACTTAATTCAATGATTACCTTAAAAATAGAGTAAAATAGAATAAAATGCCTTAAGCCTGAGGTGAGGATGAATTTCTTCTCACAGAGAGTAATAAGTATCTGAAACAAACTATCTCAGAAAGAAAACAAAGAGTTCTTAACCTTTTGTGTTTTGTCCACAAAATAGTCAATGCACTTTACAGTATATCGTGTGAAGTGCTTTGAGATGTCTCATTGGAGACATCTCAATAGGAGGTTCTGATATTTGACTATTCAATTTAAATTCTCTAAATTCCTTCAATGAAGAACTGAATCTTTACCCAGAATTTTTAAACTATGAGAAACACGTTGCAAAAACATGCTAAAAAGATACCTATTAAAGCATATAAAAGAACTTAATCCACACAAAAGGGTTAAGGTACTGCAGCTGAATAACCAAAATGATGTTTAAAACATCTCGAGACATCTGAATAAAATCTATCAGATAGTTGAAGTATCAATATATTTGAAGGGAAATTTTATACATAAATGAGAGAGAAGGGTGTAGAGTATAAGAGAGAAGTGGAGGTTTGCATAGAGTATAAACACCAGTATGGACAAGTTGGGCGAAATAGTGCCATACCATTCCATGCAATTCTATGCAAACAGAATCTTACTTTATAGTTCTACCACTGTCTCTTGTTAGACCTCTATCCAATGGCCGTTAGCTAATAAACACCATCTCTCACCTTCGCTACAAGATTTACAGTGTAATTATTTCTGCTCTGCAAAAATATGTCTCTTCCGTAAAACATAAGGAATTTTGATCTTTGGGTAACCTTGCTGCAATATGACCTAGATTAAGATCTATTCCCATCTCTTGACATCAAACTGAAGGAAAGAATCCCACCTTGTCATAAAGGCTGGCATCTTCCCCATCGTCCATTAGTGGCACTGACGTGTCAAAAAAGTGTTTGGACCTTTCTTCTCTGTTCTTCATACCTGTGAGAGAAACGACCTGTGTTTAGCCCGAAAGGTTAAGGAGTGTATTCAATTTTTTCCAAGATTCTTGTAGAGTTAACTTGCCAGGTTTAGGCAAGAAATTCCAATCACACAACAGAAAGGATTTTGATATTTTAATAACCTACAAAAATCCTCATTTAGGCTCCTCTGGATAACGGCACTGCTGGCTGTAACAACAGGCCACACAGCTGCAAGCTTCATCATCATAATAATAATCCTTGCATTTGATAAAACGCTTTATCACATCAATGAGACACCTCAAAGTACTCCACAGCATATACATAAAATATACTCTTTGCCCATGTAGAACGAAACATTTGAACCTCAAAGTAGGAGGGAGTGCAATTGTTGAGGTATGCGAGAGACGCCTCTGTTGCTGGGAACAAAGGATTCCTCGTTCCGCAGAGACTTCCTCATTCCTCAGTCACTCTTCAAAGTTTTGAATCAAGGAAGTCTTTCTATTCTACTTCAGTTGCACAGTAGTCACTCCTTCTTTTAAATTTTGTCTACAAAATACAGTCAATTCACAGTATATTCCATGAAGTTCTTTGAGATGTCTCATCGACGTGATAAGGCGCTATCCCAAATGCAAGAAATATTACTATTATTAATCACACAAACCTTGCCCTTCCCAGTTTTTGTAAACCTAAACACTATACCAGTCAGAATGGTCCCTGTCTTCAGGTGCTTACGTTTAAGATAGCTGGACTGGGCGTGTCGGAACTGGGTGGATTGGTCCTGAAGAGACTGAGCTAAGGACGAGACGACGTTTCTGAGCACACGTTCTTCCTGTTCTGTGCAACTTCGCCATCTACTCTGTAGGGTCTGTACGGCCCGCTGACACCTGTGGAACATCTGATGGGAGGAGAAATGAAGGCAATTAATCAATGGCGCTATTACTGCGGGACCTGCCCTGGCATTTCTGTTCTCTGTGAACCCAAATGATTAGTTAGATTCTCATGTGACATTACAAAGTTGATCAGGTAATTGTACCGAGAAGGATAAAACCCCAATTTAAATATTGAAAGGGGTTCATTGAGCATCTGTCTGAGGAGCTGGCCTCGTCTCATCCACACAGAGAAAGGGAAGGGACACGATGGGCCAAAAGGCCTTCTTCTATTCCGTAAATATCTATGGCTCACCTGTGTGATTTCCTGTGTAGTGATTTCGATGGCATGTTCTTCCTCACTGCTGTCATCCAGCGTAGGCCTGTTTAGATACTTGTCATGTAAGCTGGCGAGTTCTTTCATCTTCTGTTTTATTCTCGTGATGTCAAACTGAATCTGGTACAAAAATAGCAACGGTTTAATTTAACATTACCATGTTAAACCTACACCAAGGATCCAGCTCTGAATACAGACACTTTGGACAAAGAAAAAGGAGAGAGGTTGAGGAAAATGTATAAGCAAGTGCAAACTCTGGACTGTCCAGCGCCTTAGCACATCCTCTCGATGTGAAACTACATCAATTTTTATTTGTTGTTACAATTCCTAATTGTTACCCGCACATACCCAAAGGCACACAGAGGATGCAGTTCAAGATCCTGGTCCTCACCTTCAAAGCCCACCATGTGTTGAAAAATATTTATTCACTACAAATTAATAGAAGTTACTAGATATGCAATTCCAAAACTATGTTATACAAATGTCATTTTGTTGTTGGACGTTGATCAGATCGGACTCGATAGCGCTGACCCCAGTGGGTGAGATCCGACCTGATTGAGGTGTTCAAGATCATGAAAGGATTCGATAAGATAGATGTTGATGGGCTGTTTACATTTCTCGGCCACTCCAAAACAAGGGGACATGAATATAAAACAGCCAGTAGCAGATCTAAGAGGGAGGTTAGGAGGAACTTCATTCACACGGAGGATGGAGAGTATGCAACTCTTTGACGGAAGCTATTTTTGAAGCAAATTGGGGCAATGTATTTTGGAGAAAAGTTAAAAAGTCATGCATGACGAAGAGGGAAATAGGAGTGGTGGAGTATAAACATTGCCATGAACTGGGAGTGTTTATACTCCACCATTCCACAGGAAGAAAATGTGTAGAGATAGAAAAGTCCCATTGTACTCTGTGGGTGTGGGGCCACTGTTGTATAGGTCCTTGTGCATTGTTACACATATGCCCTTTGACGGGAGGCCACAGCCTCGAAGCCAGTAGGTTACTCACTTGCTCCACTCCATCCACCCATTTCGGAGGCAACCGTTTAGTAACGGCAATGGCAGCCTCTGGGTCCAAACTGATTCCGGAGACCAATGCCATGCGATCATCAGCAATCTGTGGACAAGATAAATCCTTCCGTTTGATATAGCGCTGATGCTCACATCATTGAGACGTCTCATAGTGCTACACAGCACTGTAAAATGAATTGACTGTGCGCAATTGTCTGCCGCATTTTCCCCACAAAATACAATCAATCCACTTTACAATATATTCTGTGAAGTATTTTGAGACGTCTCAATGATCTGATAAGGTTCTATATCAAATGCAAGGATTATTATTATTATTTAATACAGTAGCGCTTGTTGTTCTTGTTGTAGTTTTCTCAGAGAGATTTGTAATACAATCATTAAACACATTTTGAACTTGGAGTTTGACTATCAACTTTCTTTGCAATAGAAAAACCAGATGTAAATTGAAGGAAGAGATCAAATGGGCCAATGGACCTTCTTCATTTAAACTTCTCTCTCGATCTTGTGAAAGGTTGGTTAACCTAGTTTAAAAATTAGACTAAAAATTATTCCCTCTCTCCCTCTTAAAACCTATTTAAACCACACGGTCACACTGAGCTCAAGCTATGCTATGAATTGCCAACCATCAATCGCACACTCTGCCTCATCACTCATACATTATTCAGCTGGAAACATATACCGTACACGGACGTGTAAATACAGAGCGAGCTGTCGCACTTGGGATAATTATAATGCCTGATGGACGTGGGTTGGACGAAGACAATAATTTAAATTAACAATGAAGCTCAGACATACAGTAAAAATTTCAGGCAGGAAAATTAATCCATCTAACTACCTATTCAACGGCCCAAACGATTCCTCTGACTCCTCTGTCTCATCACCTAAGAACCTTGGATTCTTTTAATTTTCAGGAACTTGGCCAGTTCCTTTTTGAATCAGTTCAAAGCCCTTTGCCGAAGCCCTTTGACCCGCCACCTGCTTAATCCATGTGCTTTCGTTACAGGATAGCTTTCATCTTAATGAAGGAGCCACAAACATCATCCAATATTGTAAAGGCCACAGACTGAACTCTAGAAAACCAGCAAAATGACAAGGAATTTCAGGATGCTTTGGCGGCTCTTCTAGAGTGAGGTGTCTAGTCCATGTCCCTTTGATAAGACATTATCATTCAGGTTTTCTAGCTCACCTTAATTTGGATGATTGCTAACAAAAGTAAAATATTCACCAGTGGTAGCTCCAGTCACTATCGAACGTTGCTGTATGAAACTAAACTGAAGCCCTTTCATGGAATACAAGCATCCAGAAAGAGTGAAAATTCCCATTCCGATCCCCTTGCCCCCCCCCCCACATCGAGATCCCATTCAGTACAATGGTAATGGGGGCACAGCACTTGTCTTTCAGAGCTGTTTAACTAATTCAATTAACCAAATATCTTCACAAAACTGCTCGTTTGCCATAACATCACTCAGGTTGGTGTTACAGCATTTGAACGTAAGTTAACCTTAACCAGACTGCTGGAACTGAGTTAAAAGCTTGGTTCAGTTATTCCCTCCCCAGGTGGCAAGGCCGTTGCATTGTGAGGGGACGTGCGCACCACAGAAAGGGGAATGAGAAATGATGATTGGACAGTACCTCATCCAACTCCTGAAGCGAGTGGTAGCATCCATCAACCCCAGCCAAGCAGGGAGACCAGAATAACGGAAAGAGACAGCAGGCAGTCAGATCAGACAGTGTGAGAAAAATCACAGTGGTGAATTGTCAGAAATCACATAGCAACTGTTTGACCCTCAACAAGGACTGTAACCATGTTCCGGTGTCGTTATTAATTCATCAACAAATCTTGGTAAATTCCCGCCAGTCTCACTTACTCACAGGAAAGTTACTCAAAAGCACACTGGTGACTAATCCAACAATCAGTCATTAAGATGCTTTAATTTGCATAAATATTAATTTCCCTTTGGCAGAATTTGAACCACGTGATTTTGAAAGTGGTTTGAATCGTAAGCGCTGTGCTTAAAAAGGTTAGTGTCCAATTTTCTACCATCAAATTGTTCTCTGATGCCTCTTATGCAACATTTATACAACATCATGTGGTCCCGAGAGGCTGCTCGCTGTGTGAAATTCAAAAACAGACCAAGCTGGAAAGGCAGCACAAAATCAGCTCCTGATGCTGTGAGTGGGACTCTTCATCAGAACCACTTTTGCCCTTGTTACAGATCGCTGCGATTCAGTTCTCACTTTTATCCATGTACTTCAAACAAAGTCGCTGTGTAAAGGGTTGACAGCTGCAGATTTCAGTACCTACCCTCTGAATCACAGATATCAGCACAGGATGTGCATTGTGTCTGCACGGGATAGCTCTCCCCTTCACTCACAGCCCTGCTCCTTCCGCACTACTTTCTGAATTATCATTAATCCCTTGAAAGATTGTCTCATAGGCACAGCCCTCATTACTGCCTCCCACAATGCCCACCCCTTTAACTCACCCACCCATCCTAAAAATATCACCACGGAAACAGGAATTTTGAGTGTTGATAATGGTACTAAATTGTGGCTAAAACTAAGAACTCCGTTGGGGGAGGTCATGCATTCCTATAGCAAACCATAATCATTTTCTTTCTGTGACATTTCCAGATTATGCATTAACCATATATTCCTCATATATTGTACAAGCTGCACGCCCCCGAGAGACAGACAGGTCAAATAACATGTCCGTGTCTGAATGTTGAGGCAGAATTGGATGCAATAAGTTTCTGTGTTTGTAGGAACAGTAAAACGTTGTTACAGTCCTTGTTCGAAAACAGCGAAGGGTAAAAAAGACCAATATTAACATTCAAAATGGATCGAGGATTATATCCCATCTTCATCTTTAGTCTGGTGCCTGGATCAGCAATTGCCACAACACAATACCCTGTGAGCAACAGATTATTCCAGATTGATCAGAGCAATTGACATCAACCCTTTGAGGAGTGCCCATTGTGCAGTCTGTTTTTCCTAATAATAATAATCCTTGCATTTGATAAGGCCTTATCATTTCTTCGAGACGTCTCAAAGCGCAACACAGAATATACTGTGAAGTGAATTGGATATTTTGTGGGAGAAGCACGGCAGCCAATTGCACACAGCTGTGTCCCACAAACAGTCGTAGATTGAGTGACCAAATTATTATTTATTTATTTTGAAGGGATTATTAACCCCAGAAAAGCAATCCGCCAATCAACTAACTAACAGGTTCCTACTCCCTGCTATAGGTAAACAGAGGAGTGTAGAGTGAGGAAACTGGGCGAAACTTGTCTGGGAAATCAAACCCAGGTCCTCTCATTTGTGAGGCAATTGCTCTAACCAATACACTACAGGACTTCTTGTAAATTGTAGAGCGCAGAGACTGGCCTCTCCCAGCAGATTGAACGGGAACTGCCTGGATTATCACATTTTGTTGCAGGGCATCATCAAAGGGTTAATCTAGGCCATGGCACATCCACTGAAAGCCCAGCACCAACACCACACACAGCACAGTCACAATGCATTTGTTAAATCCCAGCACCACTTTTGCTAAGCCCACGCCAGTCACATTCCACATTTAGCAAACCCCACCACCAACACCACATAACAATGAAGGAGAGTTTCTTCTCCAGCCATTTTTAGCTTTTGATTAACCCACCGAAATTGAACTTAGATTTATTTCATATTTGGGCAACAGCAGAATTGGTGCAGATACATCCAAACTTTCTGTATCTGTTATAAATATCAAAATCAGACACAAGTACCCTTTAACAAAATACACACCACAGAATTTTCTATTACACTTGTGTCCTTGCTCAGTGGTTATCCCCAGATATTAATAGCAACTTGAGAAGACATCCAGGGCTCATACAGGTCAGACTATATTGAAATCCGGGGTTGGAGGATGGATGGTGAGTTAGACTGATATAGTGCAAAGAACCTCTCAAATTATCCAAATCAAATCTACCACTTTTGGTTTGTAAGTTAGTGCACAATACTGCAGTGTGACAGAAATATCTGTACTCTCAATGATGCTATTAACTTTGTAAAATACTGTTTTGGGCTCAGCCTATCCTCTTGGAAAAGTATGTTTCTCTCTCTCTCTCTCTCTCAAATACACTCATACACACACATAGTCCAACCCCAGCCCCTACCCTCCTCCTCTGCTAAAGACAGTGTCTCAGGAAGGGTTGCAGGGCTAACTGGCACCTATAAAGTTTCATATGACACTGAAAATCAATTTCTTCAAATTGCTTTGGATTTGGAAAAATTGGAAATAACTTAATAATACCAACTTAATACGTGAAAAGCGCTGTATCAAATGCAAGGATTATTATTATTATTATTAATAAAATAACTTGATAACAAGCCTCGTCCCTATAAACAGAGATCTGCTTACTAAAATACATGAATAATTTTCCAGCATCATGCCTCCATTTGTCACTTGTATCTCATCATTTGAAATAAGTTGAAACCTTGTCAACATTAAACTTTTGGTTAATGACCAAACTATTGCTGATGAAAAGCATAAACTCCTATCTAAATGACACTTAATTTTAAAAGCACTCATTTTTTCAGTCCTGCTTATATTAGCTTGTTCTTTCATAAACATGACAGAAATTTATGAAGAATTGAATATCAACCATCCTGAAAATTCAGCTACTGTAGCTACTCCATGAGACCCAACCAGTGCGACCCAATCCCCCCACCCTCTGTAACTCCATCCCAGAGCCCCTCCACCTCATCTCCTCCCTTGCCTCCTTCAAGGCCCCTCTCAAGACCTTCAGTCATCTTCCCTCCACCACCCCTCTCTGATCCCAACACACAGCTCGGATGCAAACCCCTTATTGTCCAGCGTCTTGGGACATCATCCCAATGTGAAAGGCACTATACAAATGCAATTTGTTGTTGTTGACCATAGCATTCACCTTCCAAAGCTGTATTCAATGTCTAGAGTTTATTGTCAACACAATCTAAGTTCAGAACATCCTTCAGAGATTCCAGTATATTCAACCCTGGTGCCAGGGTGACGTACTGAATGAGTACTTTGCATCTGTCTTCAGAAAAGAAGAGGATGCAGCCAATGCCACAGAATTGGAGGAGAGGTTAGAGAAATTGGATAAGATTAAACCAAGAAGAGGTACTAAAAAGGTTGATGCTGCTCAAGGTAGATAAGTAACCCAGTCCGGATGGGATGCATCCTAGGTTACTGAGGGAAGTAAGGGTGGAAATAACAATCTTTCAATCCTCCTTGGATACCGGGGTGGTGCCAGAGGACTGGAGGGTTGCAAATGTGTTACTCCCCTGTACAAAAAGGGACAGGAGGACTAACTACAGGCCCGTCAGCCTGTCGTCAGTCGTGGGGAAACTTCTAGAGACTGTAATCCGGGACAAAATAAATTTTCACATGGAAAAATATGGGTTAATAAAGGGCAGCCAACATGGGTTTGTTAAAGGCAAATCATGTGAGCAAACCTGATAGTTTTTTGATGAATGGAGAGGGTGGATGAAAGTAGTGCATTTGATCCACTGATTATATGGATTTTCAAAAGGCGTTTGATAAAGTGCCATATAAGACTTGTAAGCAAAATAGAACCCCAAGGTATTAAAGGGACAGTAGCAGCATGGATACAGAACTGGCTGGAAGACAGAAAGCAGAGAGTAGTGGTGAACAGTTGTTTTTTCTGACTGGAGGGAAGTGCGCAATGGTGTCCCGCAGGTGTCAGTACTGGGACCACTGCTGTTTTCGATCTACATAAATATAAGTAAATCTTTGAAGGTGGCTGGACAGGGTAGATAAAGCTGTTAAAAAAACATATGGGATTCTAGGCTTTATAAATAGGGGCATAGAATACAAAAGTCAGGAAGTTATGATAAACCTTCATAAAACTCTGGTTAAGCCTCAGCTAGAGTACTGTTAGGAAGGATGTCATGGCATTGCAGAGGGTGCAAAGGAGATTTATCAGGATGGTACTGGGAATGAGGGACATCAGTTATCAGGAGAGGCGAGAGGAGCTGGGATTATTCTCCTTGGAGCAGAGGTTTTCAAAATATGAGGGCATTCAATAGGGTGAACAAGGAGAAACTATTTCCACTGGCGGGTGGGTCGGTAAATAAGAAGATAAATCCTAAACCTAGAACTTAATAATGCAATTGAACTTAAACTTATGGAACTAACAAAACAGGAAACATATTTTATAGCTGTATTAGTTTTGGACCCTGACTGACTCTGTGCCTGTCACGACCCTGAATGAGCATCTCAGTTGGTTGAATTTGGGAGCAGAATGTTCCAGGCCTGAATCCTGTTGGATCCACTCAGCCTTTCAATTTCAATGGTCTAAAAATATCCTCCTTTGAAGGTGTATGTGTCGAGGAGGTAAGAAGTTAAGGACTGTAGCTGATCAGGAATTCTTTAATCATTTGAAATCTGACATCTCCTCCAGCCTTATTCTCCCACCGTTACCCTCAACTCTTACAACTCTTATTGTTCCTCACTTCTTCTGTCTCACTACGAGTGGCTTCGATGGCCTACCTCACTGGAACTCACTGGAACTCTCTCAAAACCCCTTTGCCTTAACCGTGCTCTTCCTGCCTTGAAACCCCTCCACAGATCCTTCGTATTTGATGGCGCCTTAATCTCCACCTCAAATTGGACCTCTCCACTTGGTAAATCCCATTGTTGTTGGGAAACACTTTGAGTCATGAAATCATACAGTAAGTGGTAGGCAGGATACAACTACAAGTTGTTGTTAAACTGTGTTTGAGGAGCTCCTGCTCGCCCGGCTCATCAATGAGAGGCAGAGTGGGGTAGAAAGAATAATTGAGGGTCAACCAAAATACCAAGGTTCCATACTGGATTAGTAAAGTGGAGTGTGCAACCACAGATGGTGATGCTGTCAGCGCCTGAGGTGTGGAGGCGCTGACGGGAGCCAATCAGGAGAACCTCGGTCTTGTTGCCATTCAACTGAAGAAAGTTCGCTCTCATCTTGGACTTGATGTCGGACAACAGACATTCCGTCATCACAGCAGTGGTCCTGGAGTCGAGGGTGGAGGCAGAGAGGTACAGTTGGGTATCATCTGCGTACATGTGGAAGTTGGCCCAGTGTCATTGGCCCAGATGATGTCACCAGGAGGGCGCGTGACCCTTCTCTTCAACTGCGCCTTCGGTCACCCTCCTCCCCCCACCCTCCCTCCCTCCCTGCCCTCTATTCCAGTTGATCCCAACTCCAAAGCGCCTGAGGACGTCCTCCCGATGTCAAAGACGCTGTGTAAAAGCGCTTTGTTATTGTTGTTGTTGTTGTTGTTGTTGGCCTGGGTTGCATGTGTGTGTGTGTGTGTGTGGTGGGTGGGGGGTGGGGGGGGGGGCGTTACAGCCTGAGCCCTGGGACCTGTTGCTATTAACATACCCTCCTCCCCTCCCCCACACAGACCGGCATCTAAAGGGCCAAATGGCTGTAGACTCACCGCAGCAGCGCTACGTGTACCCGGAGGGCTGTTGGAGAAACTACTCACTTGCTCGGCCAACAAATGCCGCGTTTGGATGGCATTGTTCCGCATTAGCACGAAGGCGTCCGTGAGGCGCCGGGTCGCCATGTTGAGCGTTTGCCTCCCCCCCCTCCCCCCCCCCCCCCCCCGCCGCCCGCCTGAGGAGACCCCGCCCTGACCCCGCCCCGTTAGTCACACACTAACGCCCCCGGGGCTCTCACGCCGCCGCCGCCGCCGGTTTCCGCTTCAAACATTCAAGGACAGGAGAGCGGGAGCGAAAGGAAAGGTGGTGCGGTGGTGGTGGTGAAGGGGAAAAGTGGAGGGGGAAGAGGCCAGTGGGACACCGGAAACTCTACCCGTCCCCACTTCCTGTGCCACCTCAGGCAAAGCTCCGACCGACAATCGGGAGTTTCCGGCGGAGTTCCGGCCCGTCCCCGGGCCTGCGCAGTGCGCATGCGCGCTCATCCCCCCCTCTCCCCCCCACCCCAGCGATTGAAAGCGTCATCATAATAATTAGTTTTTTTCCCCCTCTAATAAATATCTATTTCTGGGGCAGAATTGGCAACTGCGTCTTCCCACAAAGCACACATTCACTTCGCTCGACAGCCACTGGAATAATCCTCGCACGTGATGTGGCGCCTGATCAGGTCGTCGAGACGTCTGGAAAGGGTATTCACGGGGTATTCTGTACAGTAATAATGATAATAATCCTCGCATTTGATATAGCGCTTCTCACGTCGGGAGGACGTCCCAAAGCGCTTCACAGAACACACTGTAAAGTGAATTGACTGTATATTTGTGGGCGAACGCGGCAGCCAATTGCGCACAGCAATGCCCACAAACAGTCGTAGATTGAAAATGACCAATTTATTATTGTTTTTGTTTTGGAGGGATTATTATTAGGCTCTGTGTGGAGTAAGGAAACTTGCCCAAGGTTTCGCCCTCTGCCTGGAATTGAACTCAGGTCTCTCGCTTGCAAAGCGAGTGCTCTAACCACTGAGCTACAGGACCCCACTAAAGTGGATTGACTCTGTATTCGTGAGCGAAACTACGTGTGAAGAGCTTGCAGACGTTTGAACTTCATCAAATTATCAAGTATTATTAGACGGACTATAGCTGACGTGAGCTCCGTGTTCATTTTGTTTCGGTATTTTCTCGTGTTGTTGTGCCACCTGGTGTCCACCACATGGTGGAAGTGCAGCCCTAACCTCCTGACCGGCTGAGAATAAAATATAATAATAACCCTTACATTTGATATAGAGTTTTTCACGTCTTCTCGACGTCTCAAAGCGCTTCACAGAATATGCTGTAAAGTGAATTGACTGTATATTCGTGGGCGAAATGCGGCAGCCAATTGCGCACAGCAATGTCCCACAAACAGTCGTGAATTGAAGTGACCGATTTTATTATTGTTTTTTTTTCTTGAGGGATTATTATCAGACGTGTGGAGTAAGGAAACTTGCCCAAGGTTTCTCCCTGCCAGGAATAGAACCCAGGTCTCTCGCTTACAAGGCGACCCCTCTAACCACTGAGCTACAGGACGGGACTCCACGTTTGTATCTCTTGAAGGGAAATTAAAGGGTTGCCTTTGAGTTGTGTAAGTGGTTTGTGATTGCTGGCGTGACTTGGCGGAAAGATGTGAAGGGCTGTTTTGAAGTGTTTTCTGGTGGCGCTGCGGGCAGGAGATGTGGAATTAATCAGAGGCCGCCCTTGCGGGGTGACTGAACCTGAAGGCTCAGTCCCACCCCCGGCCTTCGATGGCATTGGGGCAACGAGCTCCCTATCTTCCTTCATAGTCAGGCATTAGTGGGACCACATCAAAAGCTCACTTCACATCAAAAGCTGTGAGTCCCGTCGCTCCCCCACCACCGGTCTCTTTCTCATCTCGTGTTGTCAACCGTGCAAAAGCCCTTTTATCCGCAAACATTCCGGAGAGCAGGTGGTATTGAGTGTGATCTAACTGCCACAGCTGGCTTCACACTGCCTGTCAGCCAGGCTCGGACCTGCTGTCATCCACATATGCTGAGTGTGACTCTTTTTCCAGCGAGCAGGAGGACAGCGAGGAGATGGACCTCACACCCTGGCAAGAAAAATCAGTGAGAGAAGAATAATGGCAGGTAGCCGGCAAGAGGGCACAGAACACCAAGGAAAAAACAAATAGTAAAGCCCAGAGAATGGAATTTGGGCCAAGAACAAACAGAAACAAACAACAACAACAACAAGATTCCACTTATTGAGCACCTTTCACGTCGGGAGGACGTCCCAAGGCGCTGTACAGTTGGGTCAGGACCCGAGCATTGGGGAAATGGTCAGGGTGAGGGGAGGGAAGGGAGGGAGCGAGGAGGGGGTAGAGAGTTGAGAGCGGAGCTGAAGGCTCGGTCAAAGAGAAAGGTCTTGAGACCGGCCTTGAAGGAGGAAAGGGAGGAGGCGGCGAAGGCACTGGGGGATAGAGTTCCAGAGCCTCGGGGCTGAGAGGCTGAAGGCCCGTCCACCGATGGTAGGGCGGTTGGGACGGGGGATGTGGAGCAGACCGGAGCCGGAGGAACGGAGGGTACGGGCAGGTAAGTAGGGGTATAGTAGGTCGGAGAGGTAGGAGGGAGCAAGGCCGTGAATGGCCTTGTAGGTGAGGATGAGGATCTTGAAAAGGGTAGTGCGAGGGGAACCGTAAATGACAGGAAGCCCAAAGGCAATGCACAGTTCGTGAACCCTTTCTCATGCCTCTAGAAGGGTTTGGGAGACGAAGAGGCCATGACCGAAGGGGACAGTGAGCTATGTGTGTATGTGTTTTATTGAGCTGTGTGTTTATCACAGGAGCTGCTTCAGTAGGTGTTGTTACAGACAGGCGCGCGGAGAGGATTACCTACCACTGTCTGTATAGGATGTCCCAAGGCGTTGGACAGACAAGAGTTTCAGACCTGAGTTGAGGTTCAGGATCGGGGATGGTGGAGGGCAGAGAAGCAGGGAAATCAAAAGCATGGTCGAAGAGGAGGGTCTTGAAGGTGGCGAGGGGAGGGTGGACGAGGTGGAGGGTGGGGCCAGAGTGGCAGGATGTTAAACTGAGAGCCGCAGCCCTGTTCACAATGGATTCCAACAACAGTTAAATTTCAACATAACTACAGACTCCACCAAACTAACAACAAGATTACATTTGTATAGCGCCTTTCACGTCAGGAGGACATCCCAAGGCTCTGGACAGTGTACAGAATTTCAGACCTGAGCTGGGGTCAGAGAGGGGAAGGGGGGTGACCAATGGCATGGTCGAAGAGGTGGGACTTGAAGGAGGCTAAGGAGGGGGTGAGGCAGAGTGATTGGGGGATGGAATTCCAGAGGTTGGGGGCAGAGTGGCTGAAGGCTCTGCTGCCAGTGGTGGGGCGGGTGGGTCGGGGAACATGGAGCAGGCTGGAGCCGGCTGAGCGAAGGGAGCAGGTGGATTGGTAGGGGGTTAGGAGGTCATGGAGGTAGGGTGGGGTGAGGCCCTGGAGGGCTTTGTAGGTGAGGGCCAGGATCTTGAACTGAAGGATTGGGAGCCAATGGAGTTGGGGGAGATGGGGTCATGGAGTTTGGTGCGGGAGAGGACACGGGCTGCAGAGTTCTGGATTATCTGCAGCCTGTGGAGAGAGGAGTTGGGAAGGCCGACAAGCAAGGCGTTTGCATAGTAGAGCCTGGAGGTGACGAAGGCACGAACAAGAGTTTCAGCTAACTAGATCCAGTTCACACTCGACGTCTTGAAATATCTGGCACTGAGGCGATGAATTACAGGGATAATTTTGAATGTATAAATGAACAACATGCTGTGTAATCAGAGCTGGACAGGAGGAGCCCAGCTGCTGAGAGCAGCACTGTGATCACCAGCACAGATGCTCCAAGTGGAAGGTCAGGACACACAGTCAGCGGGACTTGAGGGAGTCCTCTCACTCTGAACTACAAAAGATGGGGAGTGTTAACGGGGAATTGTCTCTCAATATCTCTCCCTCCCTCATGCAAATGTAAAATAACATTTTTTAAAATCTGATCAATCGTGATGTTTGTGGGACGTTGCTGGCACAAATTAGTAGTACATTTGCCTACAGAATAATAATCAAGCAATCTCTGTAATGTGATTTGAAACCGTTTGTTTTGTACCGAGAAGTGATATAATTACTCGTTTATATTGGTGGGTGAACATTTCAGTTATTCTGTCCTCGTTGGAATTCCATCAGAACTTCATACAGAAGGGAGTTTCTCTTTCCCGGTGTCCTGGCAGACAATCCCCCACTTAAATTTAAAAAAATTGGTCGCTCATTCCATGGCTGTTTGCAGGACACTGCTGTGCGCAGATGGCTACCCATTTCACCCACAATAGTCGCTCCACTTTACAGTAAAGCCCGTGAAGCACTTGAAGATATCTCAACAATGTGTTAAGGTGCTACATGTGCAAACACTCCCTGGTCCCTAACCAACCAACATCTGCATTATCCATCCTACATTTAGACCTCCCAAGAGCTCAATAACTATCGCGTTTCATAATGTATTTCGTAGCTCAGTTTGTATACCTCTCTAATCTTCAATCCCGTTCCCAAACAGATTTGTTTGGAAGAGCTAATTGACTAGATCGATTCCATTTGTCTGAGAGTCTCAAATATGTAGTGCAACAAAATGAATCTGTACCGTGAGGCTCAGTTATAAACCTCCCTCTCATGATGCATTTGAGTGTTGTTGATAGCATCTTCACATCAATTGGAAATCTGTGAATGATCACTGATTACAGCCGGTTCATTTCCCTCCCAGCGTTTCTAACAGACACCCCTTTGTTACAGTCTTTGCCATTTCTGGTTCCAATATACATCACCATCCATTTGTCTATATTAAAATCTAATAAAAACTGATTACTTAAAATGAGATAAAAATGTCTTCTCGGATAGTCTAACCGGCTAAAACTGCAGAGTTTGCCATTGAGAGCACTGTCTGGCAAGCTTTCCCGCTGCTCGTCCAGCTAGGGCCACCCTATCAGCTAGAGCTTTGGCTCGCAGGATTGACAGGAGCTCAGAAGAATGACTCCCTGCCCTCAGTGACTGATCTGGCCTTACAAGTCCTGCTGATGATCCAGGCTGGCTGTGCTGTCATCAGCAGTGCCTTAGAATACAGCGGACCCACTTGGCTCAGAAATTGCACAGAGGGTTGGCTCAATTATGACATTCTGAATCAGGTGAGAGGTTTAAGCGGTGGCCATGAAGAGGAGTGAAAATTCACGAGGTGATCTCTCAGGCCTGTCACATAAGGATTTGATTCTGATTAGGTGCCAGTAGGAGCTGGGTGCACACAGAATGCTCCACCCAGCCTTTCTTCACAAACAAGCCTGAACAATAGCTTTCCTGATGCAGTCACAATTGAGGAAATTGTTTGAGGGGTTTGTTTGGAGCTGGAGGCTCCTGCTCTCACTGCATCCTTGGCAAAAAAACTGAACAAATCACTTAAACATCAGATACAATTGGCCATCCACTTGTTGGTGGCGCGTGGGGATGGGGTGGAAAGAGAGTAAAGAGACAGATGCTTCTGAGCCAGATTGGAAGAATTCGTAAACAGGCCCGGGCAAAGTGACTAACATCTTCTACATCTGTGACAGTATTCACTGTACCTCCTTGATCTCTGCTACTTTCGACACTGTTCACCACTCTATCCTCCTATCTCTCCTCCCTGCACACCTCTGTGGCGCTGTATTAACCTGGTTTCACTCCTACCTGTTCCAACGTCTTCCCTACATCTCAGCAATTTCTTGTACAGTCACCGCATATAATGTTGTGTTGCTCAGGACTCTCCTTTTCCTCATCTACACGCTTCCCTTGTCATCGTCGTCATCTGCAGCCATGGGGTCCATTTCCTTGTCCATGCAAACAACATCACCTACGTTTCTGTCTCCATCCTTGACTCCAGGCCCTCTGCTGTTCGGACCACTTGCCTGTCGGATACCAAGTCCTCTAACACAAGCTCTACATCACCACCCTGAGGCTATCCTGCTCGACTCCCGCCAGTAAAGATTTGATACTGCATTTTTAAATCATTTTTGCTGTAAGAGTTGCTAAATAACGAGAGCAAGCAAATTCAATTAAATTTGGGGCTTTATTAAGATGCTACATAGCCAAACAGGATTGGTCATTACGGCATAGACTATTTTACTACTAATATTTATTTTTCTTTGATAAACAGTTAATTATGTACAAAATAGTCGCCCAATTGCTGTATTCCAACATTGGATGGTGGAAGCTGAAGGTACACATCTAATCTCACTGTAGTGTCTAGGGCATGTGTGGGCAGGACTACCCCACAATGCAGCTTTCAGCAGCAATGGTGTTCAGGTCAGGCCAGCCATCTCCGGGAGGTGGGTTGACCAAAGCAAGTGACAGTACTGGGGACTCAATTCACCGTGTGGAGTAGTAAGTGTGAAATGGAAATACAGGAAGTCTCAGTATTTGTCGAGTAAGCATGGGACAACATTGTAAGAATAAACAGATCTAGCCAATTTTTTGTTTTTTTTTAAAACCCAGACGTGGGCCACTTTGACAGCAAGAAAGACATCATCGACAGAAACTATTCACGCTTTTTGCCTGCAGGGAGGAAAGGCTCGTTTTTTTAAAAATTTTACATGAAGGTTGTAGCCCTTCCCTCTCAGTCCAGTTGCACACACTGAACCTCGGGCCAGCACCGGCATTCTTAAAGCGTATTTAAAAGAGGTAAATCCTGTAAAGGTACCATAGTCTAACATGATTAAAATTACATTTACAGTATGCTGTTGTCACATCAAATGTCTGTTCTCTCTTCACCTGCCAATAGCCCAGGAACTCTCTTCATATGTAACTTACTGTACAACTAACATTACCCAAGATTTTTCCGACCGAGTTACTGTATGTATTGTGCAAGGGGTAATTAAAGGCAAGGCCCGTGAAATGCTGTACATTAAATTGTTTTTTTTGTATTTTATTTTTTGATCATGAATCATTTCTACCCCATGATATGGCAGATCAAACCAACAAGTCAAGCTAACAAATCACCAGCATGCTTGTCTCTCTACAAAAGCAGCTTCCCTACAATTGTACCCAAGATAAAGAACAGAACAGAGAGGACGATTAGCCGTGTGCTGAGTCCCTCCTCCCTGGTGACGGACCTCGTGCTGGGTGAAGGATGGTTGGGCTGAGGCATCCTCCTCATTCGCAGACCATCATCTTCCTGCAGCAGTAAACAGAAGATTAACGGCATTTGGTTTCCTGTAAATTTGTTTATATTTCTTTCCCCCTCGGACCATCCCATTAAATGCCGTCTACACACACGCTCCTCACCTTTAAGTGTTTATTCTCCTCGCGAAGTCTCTGAACCTCTGATTTAAGTATCCAGCATTCGTCCACCATTTTCCGCAACTCGGGATCATCCAGGGAAGAACTGGTCGATTTGGACAACATAGGGGGCTCTGATTTCGCTAAAGCTGTAGAAAGGAGTTTATTTGTGTCCAGGTCATGCTGTGGAAAGTTAAAATACACATTTATTTTTAATTATTCCCCTCCCTTTATTTTCTGAACAAGCTCCTTTAAGACTCGGTACATAATAGCTACAGAAAGTAAAGGCGCTGCCTTGATGCAGGATTATAGACAGACTAGAAGGCTGCAGGTTTGCATCCCAGCTTGTGTGTGAAACATTGTCTCAACGCCCCTTGATTGGGGAGGGAGTAAACTAGCCGGGGTTACCGCTCCCTGCGATCCCTATTGGAAAGTGCATGTGTGCTTGGTGGTTTTGGCTGTTAGTGTTCTGGCTCACATGTGAATAAAGGTAATTTTGATAAGGTATTGGAGGTTGGTAAGCAATCTGTCCCCCAGCAGATGTTAAAGGCTTCAAGAGAGGCAGGGAAATGCTGAGTAGATAAACGGGAGGTGGTTGGGCGAGAGAAAAGCACCTGAACGAGGCTAGGCAAATAATAACATGCATCTTGGAGGTTAATTCCAGGCTATCTTGGTTAGGAAGACACATGGATGTGTTTTGGATGTGGAAGAAATCTAGTAAAGTATTTCTGAGAGAGATTGGTATTTATAATAATAATAATAATTTCCCTGCTTCACAGGATTAAACGTAAAATGTAGTGACTGTATTTACTGGTAAGTATAGCAGCCAATGTCCCACAAAGAGTCATGAAGTGAATGACTGAAACTAACTGGAGGACTATTGGCCATGGCATTGGGAGAAATTCCCTTCTCGTTTTGAACTTTTTTTTCTCAGTGCCCTGGCCCACAAATTAAAAAAATAGATTATTCACCTCCTGGCTACCTGTGGGAAGTTGCTGTGTGCAAATAGGCTGCCACATTTACCTTCAAATATACAGTTACAGCACTTTACAGAAAACTATGAAGCACTTTAACAATTTGATTTGACAAAGTGCTCTATGTAATCTAACCGTGGAGTCCTGTAGCTCAGTGGTTAAAGCACTCGCTTTGCAAGCGAGAGACCTGAGTTCAATTCCAGGCAGAGGGCGAAACCTTGGGCAAGTTTCCTTACTCCACACTGAGCCTAATAATAATCCCTCCAAAACCAAAAACAATAATAAATTGGTCATTTTCAATCTACGACTGTTTGTGGGACATTGCTGTGCGCAATTGGCTGCCGCGTTCGCCCACAAATATACAGTCAATTCACTTTACAGTATATGTTGTGAAGCGCTTTGGGACGTCTAGAAGACGTGAAAAGCGCTATATCAAATGCAAGTATTATTATTATTAATATATTATTATAACCTAGGGATAATAAACATGTGTCCCACACGTGAAAGGACCATGTGCTGTTACATCCCTCAGGATGTGTAGGTTCTTTGCACACAGGAGCCACATTGGGCTCCAGTATCACATGCACACAGTACAAGATACATGCAGTATCTTGTTTCCTGTTATTAGTTAGTGATTGGATACAACTGACACAACCAATGGCCACAAATAGTGAAAAAATTAACAGTGGTTACAAATCCGTGATTGTCAGTGAAAATGGAGAAAATCTGCAGGGCACCTCCCTTGGAGTCCTTTCTCCTCTTATGTCAAAAAAATAAGTTTGAGAACAAATATGGACTTTTTTTTTTGCAGTGTTGTGCAGCGGCACAGCAGCTGGAACCTGCAGATTTATCCACTGACCCGGCCAAAGACAATCACACGTGCTGTGTTTGTAAGGGCCCGCTTTCCACTCAGTCCACAGAGGATTGGGTGCCTTACAGATATTACTCAAAATATTAGCAGACAAATAAAGGCTATTCTTTTAATCGTCACACACAATGGTTTTGGTGCACATCCTAGCACAGAGGTTTCTTGACTGACCGGCATGCATGACGAGCACATCACACCCACGCAGTAGGGGTGCCATGATAAGCAGTACTTTTGTCCAATTTTTCCAAACAATGGTTTGTGTTTTGCAGCATAGATGGATGTTTATCATGACATCACTACGTACGAGATCCAGTCAAATATTAAATTCAAAAAACCCACTGATTAATAATCTCAAAACCTTCAAAGTTTCTTAAAAACGCCTTACAGTTCTTTTTCTGTGTACTGGACGCCACTGGAACATAGAGAAAATAGTGCATTGGTTAAAACATTCTGGAGAAAAGCAGCGTTTAAATTCAGGAGGTCAAAGCCTCCTGCTCATTGTGAGTGCAGACCAGTATTTCTTACTTATGATGAGCGTGAAAGACAGTGCTCAAGGGGTTTGATTGATGGCAGGTAGCAGCTCCACTCTCTGATGAATCAGCAACATTAAAAGATGCAGGAATGTCAGGCAGGGCTCAGCTTTGAAGCTGGTGCCAGCTACAACTGGGATGCTCTCAGCACTCTCCATCGTCCCCGGGTTGGGGAAAAGAGAGGAGAAAAAGATTAATCTGGTACTATCGTAAATACAAGAGAGATCCAGGAGGGACTGATGCAGCAGAAAATCAAGGAATGTTGGGAGACACAGTAGAATACAGCTGGTACCCTTTTTGCAACTAACTGCATGAGTTTATATTGAACTGAGCACCACAATCTGTGTATATGTGGGTTGATGGCTTTCTTTGGCATTTTTGCTGGAATCAGTTAATTTACAGATTGGTTAAACGTGACCTCAGACAATGCAATAATCTCTCTCCTGATGGTCATTTATCAGGATTTAGGAAACTTGTTTAGAGTCCTGTTAAATTAGTTCACTTATAATTTTCTCTTTAGAATAAAACTCAAAATAAGGTGGGTTTGTGAGGGGGGGGGGAAGTATTTTTTTTATGTCCTCATACCCCAGAATAAATAATTAAACAAAAAAGAATTATTATAGAAACAAGAATTGCAGAGAAGATGAAGGAAAAAAAGAAAGAGCAGAATTGAATTTTATTTAACATTGCTTGTGTTGATTTTTAGAGAATAGAGTTATTGTTAGAGTAATGAAACTGCTCCTGACATTATTGTGATCAGCATTTTTTTCTCAGTGCAAGCTGAAAGCTAGATAACCTGTCCTGCTGATTTCACGGGGACACGTCCTGAGAATATCCAGATTCCCTGGAGATTCCCAGTGCTCTGTATATGTCATTCTTTGCTCATAGGGAAACATTAGGAACAGAATGTTATTGGGCTAAGAGGCTGCAATGTTTGGCCCCATTTCATTTTCTTCTCTTCCCCCCTCACCCTCTCCCAATACCCTTTAAACACTCCCCACTCCAGAAATGCATAGTTGCTTCTTGAACGCTTTCATTCTGTCCCTCATCCACACTTTAATTACCTCCCACTTCCAATTACTCCAACATTCTCGGGAGATGTCCCTGTGGTCTCCCCATTTCCATCACTTACAAAGTTGAACTGATTCAAAACTCTGGGGTCCTTATCCTGACCCCTACCAAACTCCACATCCTCATTACCCCAGTCCTTGGCAGGCTCCACCGGCACTTTGTCACAGAACTATTTCGAGATCCTTACACTCACCTATATTCTGTGCATTCCTTGACCCCTTCACTCCACTAGAAACTGGCAAATACACTCGATAATCAATAGGAAAATCTCTAGGCTCAACATTTTACCATGTGTGCATTAAGTAAAAAGAATTGTAGTACTAAGATTTAAAGAGCTATTTGCATAAACATTAGTCTCAGGGTCTCAGATCAATAACAGAACGCAAGATCTGAAGTGCTGGGAACTCCAGGCGCGTTTACACTAAATTAGTAGCTAAGAAGCTGCTCAGTGAGATTGGGTGTGAAGCCACCAGAGGCTCGAATTATTAAGAAAAATGCCATCATTACAGAAATCACACAAGCCAGGTGGCAAATGGTGACTAGTCACAATGACCATGTTCCAGAGGTACCCAAGCCCCCAGAGACGGCCAACCTCAAACAGAGAATAGCAGCGAAATGTACAGTGACAGATCTTCACAGACTGACTGCGATCAGTCTTGCAACATTAATAATAATCAATAGTCTAGAGTCATATAGTAATTGTTACAATTCTAATGAGTTTCCTGCCTGTTAGTGGACACGCACTTTCAGGATTTCTCTCCATTTTCAGATAAGATTCTTTTCTTCTTACCGTTTTCTCATTCTCAGAGGGTAGCTCAAAGACACACCGCAGCTTAGAGTCCATTAAGTCTTCTGGCTTTGCCTCTTTCCACTGTAACAATCAGAGTAATATAATAAGCACTTAATCACATTTTCACTCCCGTGTTGATTAAGCACTGTGTTGAACAGCTGCTCTTAATCTATTGCTTAAGCAAGCAGTCTGTTACATAAAGAAATGCAAAATCTTGAGAATTTCTCACAACCCAGAGATGTTTTCATTGGGACTTGGTCAGAAAACTGTGAGCGCTTTGACTGACAGCATTATACTTACTCTTTAGAAAAAGACTTCAAAATGCAACAATAGAAACCCAGCTAAAATTTGTTTCAAGTATTTATAAACTGTAAACCTGGAACTCTTACTAGTCACAAATAGCATTAGAAGCTCAACAGTGGAAGTCTGGATGCAATGTTCTAAAGACAATTTTAAATTGGGCGGAGGAGGGGGATTTGGAATAATACTATGGGACCACATCACCCAGCAGGTATGTGGATTCAGTTCTGGGACAAGAGTCTAAGAGTAACTTATGTGGAGAAATCAAGATGCAAATAGGAAGTTTTGATTTTAGAAGATTGGAAGGAAACTTTGCGAAGGGTCAACTATATTCCAAGAATGAGGGATCCCTTACTTACAATAGGTAATACTCTTCCCCATTGTTTTTCATTTGTTCAATACTCACATTTCATTTGTTCAACCCTCACATAGAAATGGCTTATACTAAACATGTAGAAAATAGCAAAGACGACATCTCATACTGAGGCCCATGTGGAGCAAGAAGCAACGCTTACAAGATGGAAATCTAAACAGGAATCTTCACAAACATGAAGTGCAACTGCAATCCTTTATTATCTCAGCCAATGAGAACCTCCTCTGTTGACTGGAAAATGGAATCTGAACTTCTAAAGTCAAAATGTCCTTGCTAGGAGCACTGTGGCTGTTGAGAAAGATATTTGTTCATCTCTGAGTAATGCCTAAGAATTGTAGGAAGCACCCTTTCCTAACAATATTCCTCATCTAAGAATGTAAGTCAACGTTGTACTGGTCTACAGAGTATTGGATACAATCCCCACTGGCAATTCTGTCATTACTGAACTGACAATAACATGAAGTGATTGCATGAACTTGAACAGATGTATCCAAAGGCAGTTTCTTTTGAGCCAGTTAAAGCATCCGGAGGGGTGTCTCAAAAATAAAGCCAGAAACACGATGTAGTTAGGTGTCAGTCTTTAGAGACTGGGGCCTGAAACACAGGAAAGGAGACCTTTCTTCAGATTAATAACAACTGCTCTCTTTTCAACCAATGTATAGTGATTGGATGTCACAGGTCACTTCACCAGCAATGGTGGATGGGGGCAGCGATTCTTCCCACTCAGCTACTGTTAACCCTGAAAGCCAAAGTTTAACAGGTAGGGTAGTTTTAGCTGGACAAGCAGCTTGCCAGAGAGTGCTTCCGATGACAATCCATGTGGTTTTAGCTGGATTAGCTCCAGGAATAACCCTATGCACACTCTGGGTTCGCCAAGCCTTAGCTCTTGGCAACCTGCGCCTAATACACACAAGATTTAGGTGAGCAAGATGCATCTATCTAGGGAGAGAGTGCACAGAGAGAGTGTAGAGATTGCATACATATATGGAACTCTCAGTCTGGTTTGAAGACTCTTAAGCATGAGTTTTCACGTCAAATGCCGAATGACAAAAAAAAAATGGCCAATTTGTGTTGCTGGAAAAATGAACCATTAGTCATTTCAATGGCCAACAGTTTGTATGTATACCAGCACAGGCTGTGGAATTGGCTTCAAAGCCATTTGAGAAGCAGGTCCTTAGCCCTTAGGCTTTCGGCCAAAGTCAACACTGGGTATGAATATTTCCCTGTCCTTGGAACAACTTCCTCCTGTGGTTCAGTAGCAGCATTCTAATTCCTGTGAGTTAATGAGGCCAATGTCAACAGAGCACAGATCCACATTTGCAACAAGAATCCTGATTGCAGTCTGTTTTTGCTATATTATTGTTCCAGCATTACACACTATCAGAGGGACTGAAATTCTTCTGTTCCAGCATCACACAGCTGGAGCTGGAAGGGACAGAGGGCTAGAGGATGAATACACCTCCTCCTCAATCACTGAGGAACATGTTATAATATTAGTCAATCTGGTCAGTCTCAACTGTACTCGGTTCATCTTCATAGCTCTGCTTTGACAAAATGCAGTTAGTTGTATTATAGCACAGAAAACAGACTGGTCGGCTCTTTTCATCAAATTAGTGCTGGTATATTTTTTGTATGAGCCATTCAATTCAATCTCAGTCTCTTGCTCATTCGCTATACCCTTTAATATTCTTCTTTTCAAGAATCTAATTCCCTAAGGAGTCTCCTTATACAACAAATAATATCATTTTGCTTGTTTGATACAAATCACTTCCCAAATCAAACAATATTTACTAAAGATTTTTTTAAAAAACACATAATATATCAGCAGAAATGTGCAAAATAAAAATCAATTAAACAGTGAGATCAGTATATTACTCATGTTCCCACAGAATAAACTGCTGTCAGCAAATGGAGAAAAAGAACAAATATACAATTCCAGAACAAGGTGCTCAATATACACACCAGAGACATAGACAATGGGGGCAATACCCACTGTATTAAGTACACTTGATGTGCTCTGGAACACTTATAATACCATCACATCATGTTTATTGCCAAGAAAGCTCAAATCGTTTCACACGATGGGTTACTTTTATGAAGCAGTAAAATCTGTGCTTGCAATACTGGCCCGCAAAGAGATGAGACAAGTGACCTATTACTTAACTGGTTTTGGTGAGCTTTAAATGAGGAAGGACAATTGTCAAGCATGTCAACAGGAAGTAAAGTATTGCAAGAACACGCAGAGAGACTCTCACCTATTAGTAGAGACTGAACTGGCTCAGGTTACAGCACACTCCCTTCTCAGTTGGGACTTGAGTTCATAGACAAGGCTGACTCTCCTGTACAATACTGACAAGTGCTGCATAGTAAGGTCCTGCCTGACAGAACTTCAAGTGGATATTTAAGATCCCATGACACTATGGACAGAAAAGTGTTTCCTAGTGTTCCAATAATCCTCCGAATAAACTGACCATTCACTGCACTTGAAAGTCATTACGTTACGTACTTTAAAATTTTTAACCTGATGTTTTTCCGAAAAGTTCTTTAGAAATTAAAAAAGTATATTAACTGATTATGCCATCCTGCCCCATCAATTAAAAAGGCATTTCAATAAACAATATCTTATATAAAGACATCTCAAAACACTTCATAGGATTTTACAGTGAAATGTAGTGACTGTGTAGCTGCAGGCAGGAATGCAATAAAAGCTGGATACATACTACTGCTTCCATGTCCTGGATCTCCGGTGGAGCAAACATGGACTGAACCATAAACTTGTGTTTGCTTTTCTCATTGGGATCGTAGTCAAAAGGTTGCAGCATCACTGTAAAAGAGAAGAAAACCTTGTGGTTAAAACCTATTCTGCATGTTCACTGGATTGTAAATTAACCTCCCTAAAGAGCAAATATTCCCTGTAGTTGTACATCCCTCCTACTCATTGTCTTTAGGCTCAACTCCAACAGGGGATAAACTCAAAGGTTCTTCGTGCCAATTTTAAAGGTAGGCCATTTGTTTGAATGATGGATCATGTGGAAACACTTAATGTAAATCCACCATCTCTGGCACACAGGATGAGCACATTCAGTTCATTTTCACAGTTTGCCAATACAGTGAAATTCTGTTCATTGAATACTCAATTTGACAGTTAAAATTATTCAATAAACCAAACTATTCATATAACTGGACTAAACATAACTGGAGACTCATCTCCCAGAGCTCTAAATTCTATTCAATAAACCAAACTATTCAATCATCTAATATTCAATTAACCAAATTCCATTGTACTGAAATTCAATAATATAAGAGAAAGACGAGGGACTGGAGAGAAGGGAAAGAATCCTCTTGTGTTCATATTAACATCCAGTGTTCAAACTGGGACTCAGCATTTAAATTGTTACAAGAAAAAAACATTTTTTTCATATAGTCTTTCATGTAAAAGGGACACCTCAAAGCACCTTATAGAAAGATTAATTAGAAATACTAAATCAATCACTGCTAAATTGCAACAATATACTACAACAAACATGATGAATAGCTAATTAAGTAGAATTGGGGGGGGGGGGATAGAAATAAACCGGGTATTTTTAAATGATTGACAGGCTAGTCATTTGCAAATTCAGCAAAAAGCAAGTTGTGTCCGGCACTGAAATTTCTAATCTTCCTGGCTGCTATGTTCAGGCCTCAGGTCCAGGACGGACGGAGATGTGAACTGGCAGAACGAGACCTGCTCAGTTATGAACTACCACTTCAATCAGTGGAGTGACATCTTCACACGTTGAGAACCGATACTGGCAGCGAGGGGAGGGAATCTGAGATCTCTCCCAAACTGACAGAACCACAACAGGATTCTTTTAAAGCTCCAGAACTAAATGTGAGTTGGAAATAAGGAAGAGTAAAGCACACATGGAAAACATTACATTATAAACATTAGAACTACACGGTGCATCTGCCCCATTGACTCAAAACGGTTTACTCTAACTGTCAAACAGGAACATGGAAATGTATTTTTTATCCCTGGCTGAACAGCTTGGAAGTAATTGAGGTAACAAAGTTCAGATGAGCTTCACCTTAATTGACAGGAAACCATATTTAAACCAAGTATTTAGCATATCCTTTATTCTAAGTCTTGTGATTCTTTGTACCATATTCAAACAATAGGTGAGCACAAAGAGTGAGTGAGAAAGAGCAAGTGAGAGAGTGAACAAGCAAGTCATAAAAAGAATGGATAAAAGTCTGTTCCAATTATTCAAGTGGATACCGCCTCTCACAGCTATTCATAAATTGTCCCTCCATTGCTCTGGTGAGTAATTTACAACCTGTTCATTGTCATCTTTTGAGGTTCAATAACTTACAGATATGCTGATCCAATGAACCAGTCTCAAAGAACACAGACAGTGGAAAATAGATTTATCCTTCCATCACTCTAAAATCAATTTATGTGCCATTAACCAATCCAACAAGGATCAAATTATGTTTCAGTGAGTGACAAATCTGAGTAATACCGGCGACACACATGGTGCATGGTGCATAATACGAGTTCTGGGTCAAGCTGAGAAATTAGTCTATTTTCATTCAACTCTTGAGGATACAAGATACCCTTACGTTCACAACTCTTAACCAAAACAATTTACACTTATACAGCACCTCTCACGATAGGATGTTTTCTCAAAGTGCTTCACACGGGCGAGTGGGAACCCAAACTTGGTTTTGGGAGAGGAGAGGAAGAGGAGCAAGTGGGGAGGGGAGGCAGGCAAAATTGACCAAAAGCTAGGAAGAGAAACTATGTCTTATAGCAGGCTTTAAAAGAGTGAAGCCGGGTGTGGGAGGGAGGGTACAAAACAGACGGGTTTCAGGTTCCAGAGCGGAGGCAGAATGGCTGAAAGCTCGCCCACTGAGGGTGGGGCATATGAGGTGGGAAACATAAAGCTGAGCAGTACTGTCCAGTGAAAAATAATCTCTTTTAAGAGAAATACAGTTCACATATAGTGTATTCAAGAACTCAAAAGTCAATCAGAAGTAACTGTGCACCATAGATTTATGCAATTTTAAACCTGTGCATAACCCACTGCATTTACACACCCTGACTTGTGGTTTATAGAAAATAAACCACAGAGAATTGTCTTGCAATCAACAAAGACCATTCAGCCCATCAATTCAGTGCTGGTGTTTTTCTCCAAATTAGCCATTTAATCTAATCCAATTCTCCTGTTTACTCCCTACACATTTCAATATTCCTCTTTTCAAGACCTGATTCTGTTAGTACTCTGCTTATATGGCAAATATATAAACTTGCTGATAAGCCAGATGCACTTACCATTGATATATGGGATGATGTGCTGAGATCCGGTTTGTGAAAGCACAGGCATCAATATCAAACGCTTTCTGAGAACACATGGGCTACACCATGAACAGCTGGGGTGAGAGCTGTCGTGGCTGTTCCTGTGACGCAGGTCCCTGCCTCGGCCTCTGCGATTACAGTGTGAATGGGATTAACCAGCCCTTCCAGGCAACACACCACAGAGACAATCCAGATCGGTTTCCTTTGAAATTATTACATTTTCTAACAGAGGCATTGAATTTGGTAAACCAAGTGCAGGATAATTCCCAATAGCAAACAATGAGCTGCATAGCTTTCCACATACTGTACAAAATGTGCATACTGAACACGTTTCTCTAACATTTGTGGGGAAAAAAATCAACGAATGGAGTAAATGAGGATCATAAATCATTTAGCTCAGGAATTGTATTCCCCTCAAGTGCCTGCATACCTCCCAGAGGTGAAATTGGCAAAGGCTTCAAACTTGAAATCATTCCGCTGTGCACATTTGTAGGAAAACAATATATCCAGGTATTTCAAGGCCTCCGAGCAAACACTGGAAATGGAAGCTGCTGGCAAAAATAGCAGTGTTAGAGAAATTAATTTTGATTTATTTCAATTAATTTTTACACTAGTCCTAGCCAGGCTCCATTGGCTCCTTATTGCCAAACAAATTGATTTCAAGATCCTCACACTCGTTTTCAAATTCCTTCATGCCTTAGCACCTACCTCTCCGACTTGCTTATTCCCCAACCCACCACCTGCTGCCTCCACTTGACTGGCTCCAACCTCCTGCTCCCCTGCACCATCAGTGGCCGCGCTTTCAGCCACAATGACCTCTATTCTTCTGCCTTGCTTCTGTTTTCCCCACCTTCAGATCGCACCTGAAGGCTTTCCTCTTTACCTATGGTCACCTCCCACCTACTCGGCATCGTGCTCCACCATTGTCAAGCCCCCTGGGACCTTCCCTGCATGAGGGTTGTTGTAGCTGGAAAGCATTCTCAATTTAATAGAGAATAGGAATGGCTGACCTTAAAGGTTTGCCAGAAAAGTTGGAGATTTTGTTCAAACATCTCCGCTCTCTGCAGAGCTCCATGTAACCTAATTCACAATTCTAACTATAAAGCCTGTATGAAGGACAGGTCACTTTGATAGAGATCACTGGTGGTCAAAATAATCACGGGGATGTAAAGCCATTCATCTGTGAGTGTTAATGACTGGAACGTCCTGATTAAGATAATTAAATGTCAACACCATTGTCCGGTTGGTACTGCACTGTTACCCTCTGACCCCGAAAGGCCGGCTAAACATCAGTGTGATCAGCCTGCTAATAGTGAAAATACAGTAAGTTTTTCCCCTCAGGCAGTAAATTACTAGCTTTACAGTAATGTGGAAGATTACATCTGTTCTCTGAAGTAAACTTTCTCTGCCCCAGAATGAATCATCTGAAGTTTATTTTGAATAGGAACATTCTGACCTCAGTTTGTTGTGATTGCTCTGCATCTAAGGCAGCAAACGTTGGAAGTTATTTGAGGCACATGGTATAAAACATTAACCAGTCAATTAACATTTAAAACATTTTTACAAAGCGCTTGGAGACTACTGGGTCAAAAATGTAGCTAATTTGGTCTCACATTGGTGAGTTATACTATAAGAGACTGAAGAAACCCAATGTATTGCTTCCAACAGTCAAGGCAAGGCAGAGAATGGCAGCATCTATACCATGGCTTCAGATTTGCTAGAATTAAATGTCTGCTTATTACTGTCGCAGTATGATGGCTAGGACCTGAGTCATACCTCAGTTAGTTGACTCTTCAAATGCTGATTTGGGAAAGATTCCTCCAACAAACTCACTCCTTAGTCCCAGGGTTAAACAGCCAGTGAATGTCCTTCCTCCATTCCCACACTGACAGCAGCATTAGTATCCCTCTCTGGCTACCACTTGCTCTGTACATTTGGAAGAGTTACGATTGTGTGGCAGTATATTTTTAAACAACTTTTAAAAGAGAAGTAGATAATTATTTGGGGAGGACAAGTTTGCAGGGCTATGGGGAGAGTGCAGGGGAGTGGGATTGATTTGGATAGCTCTTTTCAAAGAGCCATCATGTCTGAATGACCTCCTTTTGTGCTGTATAATTCTGTAGTTTGAAGGGTTACTAAGCATTCTAAGAATGAAGTCTCAATAACAGGTTTATGACTATCAATAACTTTCCCTTTCACTATGTGAATCGCAAAGAGACAGAGACAAATTGAAGAAATTATGATTACATTTCCACCCATTTGCAAAAGGAATCCCTCAAGATCTCTGGCTTGGCCCTGATCAACTCGTGTACAAAAGCCTCAATTCAGATTGGGAACAGAATTTTCCTTGTACCTACCTGACGTGAATATCTATATTGTACAGATGCTTCAATGAGCAGTATGCTTAATATATTATTCTCAGTGTTCTGAAATTCTCCCAGTTATACCGCTGAGTATACCAGGCTGGTCCAAATAAGAGCACTACT